GGGGTAATAGCTTCTTGATCCATTGAGAGATCTGACTGCCATTCTGAGGTCAAGATGGAATTTTTTTTCGTAGTTTGTTGGAGAATTGGAAGTGCTTCATGCTGGGTTCTTGGCTTTGTTTTGCAAAAAACAGCAAAAACAGATGAAATTTGAGCTTGATGGACGCATCTTATTTGTTATTATGTAAGAGTGAGTAAAGCACAATATCCAGTATTTAAAGAAGCAGTGGGCACATAAACTAATAGGTAAATCTTATAATCACAGGCTATAATAAGTACAGACAGTCCTCATTTACTGACTGGGTTAATTTCTTACCGTGAAACTAATTGTTTCAGTAAGTGAGGATGCGCTTGCGAGCATGCGCAAGAGAGCAGGTCTACGTTCAGGGGAATTCCCCAAATATAGACCAGTCCAATAGTGCAGGTAAACTGACGAATCTATGCTTGGGGAAACTTCCCCGAATAAAGATTAGCTTACTAGCGCAGGGAATCTCTGAAATCCAAAACATAGACTAGCACGTGGGGAATCCCTCGAATCACCTTGCTAGAGAGATGGTCATAAGTGTTTGCCGTTGTAAAACAGGTAGGTCATAAAGTGAGGACCATCTGTACTAAGCTACTTAATCTCCACAGGGAGTTCAAATGAAACCATAAAAAAGAAGAACATGGAAGAAAGAGAGCTGCTAAAATGGTAATCTGGGACAAAGGGTGTGGAGGTGACATACATAAAATTTATACAAACAATATAAAATAATGTAAAAATATACACATAACTAATACAACAAATGTTAATCCCATGAAAGTACAACAAATGTTAATCCAATGAAAAGGAGAAATTTGCATCGCCTGGAGAGGGAAAGATTTTGAAAATACCCATAGTGCTATATATGCAAATGAGAATACTTTAAATACTCACAATTCAGTAGGCACAGGGGGAAGTATCTAGACGAACCAATACCACTCAACTTTCTCATTAAGACCATGAGGTAACACTGTGTCCAACCAGTACACCAACCGTACTTCCTTCTGGAGCAGCAACCTTTTAATATCTCCCTCCACCGCCCCAGAAAAAGAGGACACCCTCTCTAGCACCTGATATCTTAGCTGCACAACATTGTGGTGTAGCTCCCTGAAGTGTCTAGATGCTAGAATGCCCGACTCTGTGTTCTAACACAAAACCTCTATTTGGAATTCACAGACCTTCATTGGGCGGATAGTCTTGCTGACATAATCAAGTGTTCAAGGACACTTCAAGAGGAACAGCAAAATAAATCACATGGGCAAGTATGGAAGCCTTTAAGTTTGATTTGTTTGGTGTTTGCATGTGTTGCCCTTAATTACCCCTCTACAATGGTTACAGCTTAGGCATGGATATGTAACATGTACAGGTTTAGACAGAAACAATTATTTTTTTTGTCTTTACGTGTAACAACCATGTCACATATTGAGTGACCTTTCCTGTTGGAAAAATAGAGGTTCCCTAAACAAGTATATCTAATCTGATATAAAAATAATTATAAAGAAAATCACAGAAATGTAATGTACCAAGATAACTCTACCAAATTCTTACCAAGAGTGGCAGTATGATATTTTGCATTAGGTATTATTACAGGTAAACAATAAAAAAAAAAAACAATACATTGAGTCACTTGGCCTGCATCCAATTAATCTGCCAGTCTCTACAGGAAAAGTATTTACCCAAAAGTACTGCTAATTTAAAGCCATTTCTCTTTTCCATGCAAAATATAATCAGGACTCTTATGGGAAATAGGCCAAAAGAAAAAAACAATACTTTCCACAAGGGGGAGCAATGGATCAAACTTTATTGGATACGTCTCATTAAAAACATATAATTAGCTAACTACAGTGGATGAATAGAGTGTGTAGAGGTCAATCGTAAATTTAAACACTACTGGGGATATCCAATTCTCCCCTATATTAAAATTGATTGACCAAACATAAGAAAGGGTAATGTAAATAAACAAGGTTTAAGTTTAACTGGGACACACACACAAAAAAAAAAAAAAACGGTTTTCATAAAAACATAGGTTTATTTCAAAAAGTACAGTATAAAAAAAAAAAAGTGCCTAACTGACGCCGGCAGTCCTCATGCTCCTAGGGCTTCAAAGTAAACAAAAGGAGATATGCATTTGCATATAGCCAATGTTTCAGTCCAACTACCTTGACATATTAAGAAAAGTTTGGTAATGGGACTGAAATGGTGGATGCTGTTGCACAGCTGTAAAAAACAAATTGCGTTATTTTGTTGATTTTGAAGTCCTATAAGTGCGTTCTTCACTTTGGCTGAGATCATCAAACCATAGGAAAGCATTGGAAGGCTATTGTGAATGTGTGGCAAAAAGATGCACGGCCAATGAGCTAGTCCATGGGGAGAGTTCCACACCTCCATGCAGACCCAATCTAGTACGCTGTCCCCTCCCCATTGTATTACACCGCCCCCAAACCTAATACATTGCCCCCAAATCCAATACACTACCCCCTCCCTCTACTTTAATACACTGCACCCTCCACCCACCACTCTAATTTAATACACTACCCCCTCCCTCCACCAGTTGAATACACTTCCCTCATCACCACTCTAATACACTGCCTCCTCCTTCCCCAATTTAATACACTGCACCCCTCACACCCCAAATTAATACACTGCTCTCCCTCCCAAAACTCTAATACACTCCCCCACTACCTCCCCCAAATTAATACAATGCCCCTCTCCCTCCCTCAAATTAATACACTACCCCCCTACACTGCCCTTTTATTGTGGCCAGCCTAAGGCACACCCTTGCAATAATCATGCTGTCTAATCAGCATCTTGATATGCCACAACTGTGAGGTGGATGGGTTATCTTGGCAAAGGAAAAGTGCTCACTATTAGTCAAATCCTGTAGATTCCATCTTAAAAACATAGCCTGCATCCGTCCCTTTCTTACGCAAGATGCTACCAAGGAGCTTGTCCATTCTCTAGTAATTTCCCACATGGATTATTGTAACCCTCTCCTGATTGGTCTTCCCAAAAGCCGTACTGCACTGCTACAGTCCATAATGAACGCTGACGCCAGACTGATTTTCCTCTCTAGTCGGTTCTCTCACACCTCACCCCTCTGTCAGGCCTTACATTGGCTTCCTGTATGCTATAAGAGTCAATTCAAGTTACTAATTCACACCTATGAAGCACTGAGCAATTCTAGCCCCTCTTATATCTCTTCACAGATTCTCGGTCTCTCCGCTCTGCCCGTGACCACCTCCTGTCCGTTGATCGCACCCGTACGGCAACTCACGCTTGCAGGACGTCTCACGGGCGGCTCCTTTCCTATGGAATAGCCTGCCTACTGCCATCCGACTCTCCCCTAGTCCTGCATCTTTTAAGAAGTGCCTTAAAACCCATCTCTTTAGGAAAGCTTATGGCCTCCTCTACCTCACATACCTGTCTCTTGCTCTCTCCTAAAGGGCAGCACTCTACTCTCTCCTCCAGCTCTGCCTCACTCCCACCTTATTTGATTGCAAAATATATGTACATTTAAATAACAAAAACTTGTAGGACCACTGAAAGATTAAGTGGTGCTTCTTAAAGTGTTTCTATAAAACAATGCAGATTGTGACGGTAGACACCATCACCTGGGGTTTCACACGGACACTTTATGTAGAACCCTGGACTATGCCTATGTTTAAATCGCCCTGTACCCATTGTTGTTTTATTGTTATATGTTTTGTGTGATTTTATGAATCACTGTATGTCTATAAAATGAGACAAATACCAGTGTATTTGTTTACACCAAATTGTAATTTATATTGGTACGAGCAGGTTCTATATTGCAAGTATATGGGTGCCCACAAAGGGAAGCAAAGAAATCCAATCTTCACATTTGAATATTCTCTGCAATGAAAAAAAATATTGACTTCCACCTGCATTTCCACCACAATGCAATACTTTTTACAAATGGCATATTTTGGTGGCTTCAGTTGGCTGAACTTGTCAGCTGACTGGTTTAGCCAATCAATGTCATCCAAATTTAAGTGAAATGTATATTGCTAATGCAGAAGAAGAAATGTCAAATTAACAGATAAATGAGGGGCAGGGCCACGGGTGCCACAGGGGCTCCAGATTTTTACCAAACTGCTCAAAAATGGTTTGACTCAGAACAGCGGATTGTATCAGTAGCCTTAAAGCACCCTTATCACTATAACATCATGTAGAGGTGATGGTGACTAGACTCGCCCTTTAATGTTAACAGTAAAAACATTTTTGACATTCATAGCAGGTGGGACAAAAAAAAAAGACTAATGGTAATTGGTAAAATATCCTGTTTGTGTATTTTAAAGTAACTGATGGTATTTTAGGAATGCAGCTTTCTAAAACTTACATTAAATATAAAAATAATTTCTACATGTGGGTATAATGCTCTCTCACATCAAACTCTGTTACAGCAATGCATTGTAGTTTGCTATTGGAGGATGCAAAGAAATAGAACAGTGTGTTTATTGTGTTCATAGTACTCATCCTTGCATCCTTTCTTATTGACTTCTAATGCAGAAATACATTTTGGATTACAAGATTTGAAAGAATGGGAACTGCTATCTCTCTGCTGAGTGACAAAATAAAGCTCTAGCAAAGAAACGTGTTTTCCTGCACTGTTACAAAATGCCAATGCTAAGAAGGTCACTTGGCACTTGGCATTTTGCAATATAAAACAAAAGTAAACACAAATATTCACACTGCTGGTATGGAGTCGATGCTGGGTAGCATGCATGTTTTTCATTTTTACTGTAGCACATGTTCCGATTTGACAGAAATAACTCTCAAAGGCAAAGAGGACCAGCGTAGAAGATAAACCTACAAACATCCTAAACTGTGTTCAACTGATACTATTGTTTTACTTAAGATCTTTCAGATATTTATTAGATTTGTTTTATTACATTCTGTCATTTTTTAAATTTTTTTGTTTCCCTCCAATTTCTCATCCTTTCCTTTTCTGTGTGATATCTCTAGACTCCTCTCTCCTCCTCTCTTTCACTGGCAGATGCTCTCCCCATCATCCTCTCTTGGTATTACTTTAAGCTCTCCGAGATCTGTATCTCCCTTCTGCTCCCTGCCTTTTACAAGGCAACAGCGCAGTGCCTTGTGCCCATCTGATTCCCTATCTCAATATGAAAGTCCTTACCATATCATCCAGAGAGATTATGCCATGATGACCAACTGGTTGCCTCCAACATCTAGACCACTGTTTTACACAGGCTGCTGAATTAGGTAAGATGCTAAAATAATTATTTTTGAGCAGGCAAGCATTAAATGTTTTTTGGATATTTATTTATTTAGTATATATTCGAAGAAAGAAATGTGCGTCCAATCAAAACATCATCTATATACCATTACCTGCACTTAGTACCTAACAATCTGCTAGGTGTCGTATAGGGAAAGTTCTCAAATGTGAAAGCAGACTTTCCTATTATCTGATGTAGTCATTGTCTAGTGTGTTATGGTCATGTATTAGTAGCATCTAAGAAACATGGGCCACAAATAAAGGACTTGATATTTGTACCTGAATAGATCCACATAGTGTATTTAGTACGAGAACGTGGACACTGCAGTACTAGGCTATAGTAGCATGAAAATTTAAATAAACGCAGTTTGTAACTTGTTACAAATAGTCGATTCTTGCTTCAGGGTATCCAGTAGGTCACTAATGGTAGCAGCAGATACACAGTACAGAATTATGTATTTGCGCATTCTGTAGTAATAAAAAATGTTTCTGATCCACAATGGATCAATATGATATTGCACCCAAGAAATGCCTAAATTATAGCAGTATATGAGATATCCAAACCAAATAAATTAATTACACTTCCTATACCAAGTCAGGAAGTAAGATTTGACCAGCACTGTTTACACCTATTGTCTGATGTGCAGATATATAATGGTTGTATATTATTAATCCTATTCTTATTGATATTTTCATAGTTGGAAAGCCTATTCCAAATATACAATACAATCTATGCTGCACATAGATTTTGGTATTTAAAGCACAGATAATACCAACAGTTACAAAGGCCGGAAAAAAACTTGCATCCGTCAAGTTCAGCCTTTCTCACATCAGTTTTTGCTGTTGATCCAAAATAAGGCAAAAAATAAAAATAAAATCGTTTTGAAGGGCATTCCAGTTTTGCAACAAACTAAGAAAATAAATCATTGTTGACCCCAGAATGGCAGTCAGATTTCTGCATGGATTAAGAATCTGGTCTGAAGAATGTTTGAAGAATGTCTCTGTGTGTGTAGAAAACTATATAAGTGGGTTATATACAAATGATTGTTACATAAAAGTTACTTAAAACAGAAAAACTGTAAAGCTTTTTTGCTTTGTTCTTGTCGTTTGGTTTGCAGTTTTTCTTTTTGTTTTTTTAGTAATGTCCAAATTTTTATCAAATACATCCTTGCCAAGCGAGCATAATAAACATACACAATACAAGCATTAGGCTAGATGACATACTAGCCTGAATTTCACATTTAAGCTTCTTCTAGCTCATACACAATTAGCTGTGCCATTATCACTCTTACACATCAGACTGTCTGCCTCCCATCTTACACTGGCATGCCATTCATGTGTCACATGTATAATGCTGGCCTCCAGATGATCTTGTCACACTCACAGAATTCCTGTGTGGCACACTCAGTCATCACACAGGAGGGGGTGACACATCTACAGCTCCATGAGAGATAATCTGCAGGATAACAAGTCATTAGTGACAGCAACAATCTGTGAGCAGCCATTGGGAGATTATCACAGCAATATACAGTATGTTGCAAAGACAGGAGCTGGATTTTACATTGCTACCTAGCAAAAACAAATAAAAAAAATCCCAACTATCACACATTTTGTTATTTCGTGCTACCTTGAACATGTCGTTATGCCAAATATCCACTAGAAAATCACTGTTTTCAGTTATCCTATTATGAATAAAATTTGGAATTCACAATTCCAGACAATTTAGTATTTAGTATTTAGTCAGTGAGAAACTCTACATGATTTGTCCACTGACTGGCTAGGGCACACAATAATAATTGCTTTTAGAATCTAACAAACACTGATGCAGCTTTCAGGTGTCAGAGAGTGTACAGCATTATGTAAAAATAAACAGTGGCTTTATAATGTTAGCAGTAATATTTTTTTTATTTTGATTTTGTCAATGAAGCAAAAGGTGGCCAGATTACAGATTTAGCATTTTTGGATTTTGTAAATTAACCCTTTTTTAGATTGCTGGAGTATTAAATGGACACTCCAATGCCCAAAAACAAAATAAATAAAAATAATTGTTTAGTAGATATACCCCAAATGAAAGCATACATGCATTTAATTGTGCATTTTTTTATATCTAAACCCAACTTGCAAAAACTTCTATTGTCTTCTGCCTTTGCAATCCCTCCCCTTCTAACCCCGTCCAGACTTTCTGTGGCTGTCCAATCACAGACTGCCCAATGCAGCTCAATGAGAAGTCTTTGCAAGGCAGGTGCTCTGAGCAATTGCTGCCTCTTCAGTTCAGTGCAAATAAGCTAACCAAACTAGGAATTAACAGGGCCTATTGTCTGCTTGAAAAGCCAGGGGGGTGTAACCAGGTTAATTTATAAAATTGTAAATTTCTATTGAAATCTGCACTTTTACCAAAATGAAAAAAAGAGGACACACTCTTCACACATAAAGCTTTTCAGCTAGCTAAAGTGCTTTGGGGGTCTGCAGTAACCCTTTCAAAATCTGAATATTTGTACTTATTAACCTAGTCTTCAACAATTAGGTGTTTGGGCTATAACAAATACATAATGTGCAGCTAAAACAGGCAGTTGCACATTTTAAGCTTCCATCTTAAATTTTCTTACAATGCCATTCTCACAAATGCAAGAGTAGCCATTGGACCCATAAATGTGCAGTTGGATTGGTTCGCAAATCAATATACATTATTTAAAAATAGAATAAAGTTTCATTGAATGTAATAAATGTTTATAAAAATGAGAAGTGAAATTTTTTGTCAGTTGTCCTTAAACATTAGGGGGTTAAGGTCTTGTTACAAGGTGTTGGTATTGGCATAGGTGGAGTTACCTCCACAAACCAACTAATGTGATCGAGGAGGTATTTCCCCTTTCTTACAAACAAACATATGCAAAGCTCCCTTCAAAATGATTATACATGGTGAATGGCATCATTAAAGAATGACTTTTGTCTCGGTCTCCTTTCACAGGATTTTGTGTGTACCTTGTTAGGTCGGACTTTCGCACTGGACGCCAGGTGACCATGGGCTTGCTGCCTTCCTCGGAGATTCTCCTGTTGGCTTTAAGTTTGTCTGTCCAACTCACCTCAGGTATTGTAGAGAGACATTGACACAATCTGGAAGCTCTTTGTGAAAGAGTAGACACGGTGTTACATGGAATAGTATAATAACAGTATAGTTTTGCTGTTTAAATGGCTTTTAATAGTTCATACTGGGGTTTGGATAAGTGCAAGATAATGCATCTTGGATGTAAAAACCCAAGGGCAGAGTACAGAATATTTGATAGAGTTCTAACCTCAACATCTGAGGAATGGGATTTAAGGATAATTATTTCTGATGACTTAAAGGTAGGCAGACAATGTAATAGAGCAGCAGGAAATGCTAGCAGAATGCTTGGTTGTATAGGGAGAGGTATTAGCAGTAGAAAGAGGGAAGTACTCATGCCATTGTACAGAACACTGGTGAGACCTCACTTGGAGTATTGTATGCAGTACTGGAGACCGTATCTTCAGAAGGATATTGATACCTTATGGAGAGTTCAGAGAAGGGCTACTAAACTGGCTCATGGATTGCAGGATAAAACTTACCAGGAAAGGTTAAAGGATCTTAACATGTATAGCTTGGAGGAAAGACGAGACAGGGGGATATGATAGAAACATTTAAATACATAAAGGGAACACAGTAAAGGAGGAGACTAAATTTAAAAGAAAACTACCACAACAAGAGGACATAGTCTTAAATTAGAGGGACAAAGGTTTAAAAATAATATCAGAAAGTATTACTTTACTGAGAGGGTAGTGGATGCATGGAATAGCCTTCCAGCTGAAGTGGTAGAGGTTAACACAGTAAAGGAGTTTAAGCGTGCGTGGGATAGGCATAAGGCTATCCTAACTATAAGATAAGGCCAGGGATTAATGAAAGTATTTAGAAAATTGGGCAGACTAGATGGGCCGAATTGTTCTTATATGCCGTCACATTCTAGGTTTCTATGTTTGATTGTTAGCACCCACTACTACATTGAGTTCCATCCACAACACAGTGATAGGAGATGGGGATTTTACTTATAAAATGCTTACGTACTTTATTCAATATCTCTACAGCATTGCATACATTATTATACAGCAAAGGGTTCATTTTGTGTTTTTAGGCTATAAGTTTCTTTTTTTATTTATAATTCTTTATTGAGAAAAAAAAATTCCCCCTTTTTTCTTCCCATATTTAACAATTTATAAAAGTTTAACAGTAGTTATACAGTGAGGGGAAAATGTATTTGATCACCTGCTGATTTTGAACGTATGTCCGCTGACAAAGAAATGATCAGTCTATAATTTTAATGGTAGGTATATTTTTTTTTTAATAGTTTAGGTGCTCGATTATCATAAACATTTGGGTGTTCAATTCAATTGTAAATTATAAACACGTTTAGTTCAATATCTTAAGATCAGTGTTCATGTTGAGTGTCATCGTTTCCGTCTCTCGATATTGGTTTTATTATGCTTATCTATGCGTAAGAGATGGACATGCATTTTGTTTAGTGAAATCTGGTCTAAATAATCATAGCAGATAATAGGCTAGACCGCAAGTTTACATTTCAAGTTATGCTAGGAACCTTGGCATTACGTGTTAGACAATTTCTTTGCGTAACATGCGGGACATGTGAGTAACATGCACAGTTTTTAAGGTATAGAGTAAGTATATATGATAAACAAGCTTGAGCAATGCAGTTGCTAGTCTATGACTGATGCAGGTAATGCTGGTTTGCAACGCAAATTACTTAGACAGGCTAGTGCTATTAAAGCATATAATGACATTCAGGCTAGGTCTCATGCAGTTTACTTTAGAAAAGTTGGTGTAGTCTACAGTAGGGCTACTTTAACTAAAGCAAATGGTCACACCGGTTAGTTAAGTATATCGATAGGTAAAAGCTTAAAGCATGCGTTCATTTATCCACCCCAGGTTAACTCCCCGCCAGCTAGATAAGAATCAGTGTCTGTGTGCTGTGAGGCTTGCTTATGAAGTGTGGTGGCTACAGAGGGTCAAAAGCTTGGGAACTGCCATGTGAGGCACAGTCCAGGCAAGTAGCAGAGTGATAGTCCCCTTGTGGAGTACTTGCGAGTTGTTGCAGTGTCTGCCTCGGGTGGGAGTCAAATCCCTGCGGCTATGTTGTTTTCAGGGTGACCTCGCAGCTGCAGGCTTTCGGTCCGTGTGAATAGGCTTCCTCGCGGTGCTCTAAGAGGCTCAATGTGCAGTGCTTCGTCGCTGGGGCCATGTCTCTCTCTTCGAGGAACCACTCTGTGAGTGCTCGTGGGTGTGCCTGAGTAGTAGATCGCTGGTATCGATCTCAGCTTTATTGCTTTGTATTAGGCTTGTAGAATAACAGTGGGTGCTGTTCTCTTTAGCTGTGCAGTATTCCTCACTTTTGAGCTGGTGTCAGTTCAATCGCTCTAGCAGCTCGCGCACATGGCGGCGGCCATCTTGTGGACTGGCGCCTGTGTGTTGTTCCCCGCCAGGGTGGTTGAATAAGCCCAGGTTGGTGCACTGGATAGTGCTGCTGCAGATTGGGATGACCCCCCCGGGGGGGGACTAGCCGCCGGCCAGGAGACCCGGGAGGGCGGCCGTCCCTTCCCAGCTCAAGCCCCAACGAGCTCTGAGCCCAGCCGGATTACTGTCGGTGCCGGACAGGCTCCCTTGAGGTATCCCCGTTCTCCCCAGTGACTTGGGGTCTGTGTGGTCATCGGTGGGGTTTGCCGGTCGCGGTTAACCTCCAATTTGCGCCGACCTACGGCCCTGGAGCGGGAGCTCAGACAGAAGACGTCTGATCCTGTCGGCGGCCAGGCCCCGCCCCCAATGGTAGGTATATTTTAACAGTGAGAGACGGAATAACAAAAAAAAATCCTGAAAAACGCATGTCTAAAAAGTTATAAATTGATATGCATGTCAATGAGTGAAATAAGAATTTTATCCCCTATTAATAAGCAAGATTTCTGGCTCCCAGGTGTCTTTTATACAGGTAACGAGTTGAGATTAGGAGGACTCTCTTAAAGGAAGTGCTCCTAATCTCAGCTTGTTACCTCTATAAAAGACACCTGTCCACAGAAGCAATCAATCAATCAGATTCCAAACTCTCCACGATGGCCAAGACCAAAGAACTGCCCAAGGATGTCAAGGACAAGATTGTAGACCTACACAAGGCTGGAATAGTGTCAGGACTCAATGAGACCCAACCCGCAGGATATAATAGAAAAACGTATACCGGACCTTAGAGTGGCTGGACTCTATGTTAGACAGCTAGAGAATAGTCAAGAACAAGCCAGGGTCGAGTGAGCCAGAAATCACGAAAACGAGCGTTGGAACTGCTGGAGTGGTGACTGGAAGCAGGAACACGGCCAGAAATGTGAGTGAGCATTACAAATGGGCTACAAGACAATCGCCAAGCAGCTTGGTGAGAAGGTGACAACAGTTGGTGCGATTTTTCACAAATGGAAGAAACACAAAATAACGTTCAGTCTCCCTCGGTCTGGTGCTCCATGCAAGATCTCACCTCGTGGAGTTTCAATTATCATGAGAACGGTGAGGAATCGGCCAATAACTACAAGGGACGTACTCTCAATGGGATTGTTCTGTATAGATAGATTTTTTGGGAATTTACTATGCAAATCCGACCAAGCCACGATATCTCCAATCCTTTCCGAATGGAAAGATATGATGAGAGAGTGTTTAACATTTTCCTATAATTAAATTATAATATATTACTAATATCTAAGTTGATCTTAATACCTAAGTAGTCTATATAAGTTTTATTCCAATTTAAATATTTCGTGTTTGAGATTTTTGAAAGTTACTGTTATAATTTGCCATATTCGTTAACCCCTTAAGGATGGCGGGCGTACTATGCTGTCCTTTGAAAGGGTGGCTCTAAACGCTGGAGGGCGGCATAGTATGCCCAGCCGTCCTCCTGGCCCCTTACACTTGACTGGACCAGCAATCCGCAGCGATCCTGGTCCGGGGGACTGCTGGGGTCTCGTGTCTCCAGGACCATGTGATCACGCTGATCACATGGCCACAATAGGAGTCAATGGAGCTGCCTGCAGGGGGCCTGTCTGAGCTGTCAGGAAGTCCCTCTGGCTGCAAAAAGTAAAAAATTAAAAATCAAATTAATATATTATACATTATATAAAGCATTTTATAATATATTAAACATATATAATACATGTACAGCATGTTTCCAAATCCTGTAGATGCTATCTTAAAAACATAGCCCACATCCGCCCCTTTCTTACGTAAGATGCTACTAAAGACTTGTCCATGCTCTAGCAATTTCCCGCATGGATTATTGTAACCCTCTCCTACTTGGTCTTCCCAAAAACCGTACTGTCCCGCTACAGTTTATAATGAATGCTGCTACGAGACTGATTTTCCTCTCTAGTCGGTCCTCTCACACTTCACCTCTCTGTCAGTTGGCTTCCTGTATCCTATAGGAGTCAATTCAAAGTGCTAACCCATACCTATAAAGCACTGACCAATTCTAGCCCCTCTTTATCTCATCACAGATCCATAGGTATTCTTGGTCTCTCCATTCTGCCTGTGACCTTCTCCTATCCGCTGCTCGCACACGTACGGCTAACTCGCGCTTGCAGGACTTCTCTCAGACGGCTCCCTTCCTGTGGAATACCCTGCCTAGCGCCATCAGACTCTCCCCTAGTCTTCAATCATTTAAGAAGTGCCTTAAAACCCATCTCTTTAGGAAAGCTTATGGCCTCCCAGAGTAACCTCTACCTTACATACCTGTCTCTTGCTCTCTCCTAAAGGGCGACACTCTCTACTCTCTCGTCCAGCTCTGCTTCACTCCCACCTTATTTGATGGATATTTCCTTTCCTAATGTGTTTTATACCCCACCTCGTATAGACTGTGAGCTCGTTTTAGAAGGGCATTCTTCAACCTATCGTTCCTGTAAATTTTCTTGTAATTGTCCTATTTATAGTTAATTCCCCCGTCTAATAATATTGTAAAGCGCTACGGAATCTGTTGGCGCTATATAAATGGTGAGGAGAATAATAATAATAAAAATAATAATAATCTCTCCCAGTCTCAGCGAGTGTCTGTGAACGCCCAGGTCATTTGTTTTAATGTTCCGTTAAACCGTTCGCAGAGACTGTTGAACTGGGGGTGGTAAGGGAAGCTCCCAATCGACTTAATGCCGCAAGGCCTCCAGAGGTGGTGTGTGACTTCTGCCGTGAACTGGGTGCCCTGATCCGACACTATCTCCTGGGGAAATCCCATGCGGGATAAAATTTGCATCAGGGCCTCTATTGTTTCCACATGGATGTCGGTCAACGCCACCGCCTCTGGGGACCTGGTAGCGTAGTCCACCACCATCAAGATATATTTCTTGCCGGTGGGGCAAGGCTTAGCTTAGGGTACCACCAGGTCTACTGCTATTCAGCTAAACGGTTCCTCAATTACAGGGAGAGGGTGGAGCTTGGCTGTGTGGCGTGCTCTCCTCTTACCTACTCTCTGGCAAGTATCGCATGTTTGGCAATACCACCTAATATCCTGAGAAATTCCAGGCCAAAATAAATTTTGGGTAAGCGGATATCTGGTTCAGCTCACCCCTAAATTCCCGTAGCAGCTCCTGCCGGTACTTCTGGTGTAACACTAACTGCTTAGTGGGGATCAGTTCCGACCTGGCCACTACCCTCTCAGACTCCCTCTACAACAGTCCCTTATCCCACACATACCTCTCCCCCTCTAACCCTGCCTGACTAGAGGTGACCCTATCCCTGTATACCTGTAACGTGGGGTCTGTGGTCACCTCTTTCCCAAACTCATTGGGAGTAGCCCAGGGCAAACACTCAAAGGGTGGGGATGGGTCTCTTACCTAAGCCTCTAGGTGTGAGCTGTGGTCTTGGGTGGGGGCCTGTTGCTTGGTGGCTACCGGGTACAATTCCTCCGGTTGTACCTGGGGCTCAAAAGCTGATGTGAGTCTCCCCAGGTGATTTCCCAACAGTACTTCAGCCGGGAACTCTGGCATCAACCCCACCTCCACTACTCCAGACCCCGCTTCCCAATTCAAATGTACCCGGGCAGTAGGTAGCCAGTATACTGCTCCCCCGGCTACCCGTACTGCCACCGTATTCTTGGTCTTTGCAGTGCCCGGCACCAAGTGGCTTTTTACCAGGGTTAAAGTAGCTCCCGTGTCACAGAGCCCACAGATTATGGTCAGCCGATGATGTTGGCAGTTATCTGCTTTGGCCAGTAGTAGGTCCACTTCACGCAGGACTTGCCAGTGCTCTAGGAATGGTGCAGGGGTGGCATACTTGGTGTGAGACTCTGCCTGGTAGTAGTGCGCTGCTGCTCTGGTGGGTGGTGGTGGCCCCGGGCGGATACATGGAGCCGGTCTCGGTTCTGGGGGCAATCCCTGTGCATATGCCCCATGTTTTTACAGATGTGTCTCTGGACTTGGTTTTGCGGGTGGAAGCAAGGCTGTGGGGCAGTAGCATTATTAAATTGCCTGGGAGCTGCCAGTGGACCAGGAGGTGCTGCTGCAGGTCTGAAGAAGGGTCTGGACTAGACCGGTCTCTGCTGTCAGCGGGCATTTATATATTCATCGGCGCGCCTTGCTGCTTCGGTGATGGAAGTGGGGTTGCTGTCCCTTACCCACTCCTGGATGTCTGGTGCCAGCCTGTTAAAGAATTGTTCCATCAAAACCAATTGTAACAAGTCTTCCATTGTGCGGGCCTTATGTGCTTGTACCCACCCAAGAGCGCCTTGGTGCAGCCGGCAGGCTCATTCAGCATGCAAGTCTTTGTCCGACATTTTTCATGTCTCTAAACCGCCTTTGGTATGCCTCTGGTGTGATGGCATACCTGGCGAGTATCACCTCTTTTACCCAGCCATAATTCAAGATTTCCTGGTCTGGGACAGTGCGGCAAGCCTCTGCTGCTCTCCCTGATAGTCGGCTTGCCAATAGGGGAACCCATTCCTCAACATCAATTTTATGTAGGGTACATTTTCTTTCAAAATCCTGGAGGAATGCATCAATATCTTCCTCCGCCTCTACATAGTTTTTAAATGCATTATAGGGTATTTTGGGCTTACCCTCTTGCACCACTGTCACTGCTTGGGCTCTTTCAGGGTTTTGTTGATCCCTTTGCCTTAGCACGAACTCCTGGACCTCCGACATGGTTCGTGCAATAATGTCTGTAAATGGGCTTTCGCTTTAAAAAGACAACTAAAATTGTAATTCCCTTTGGAGATCCGTCTGTTCCCATTTGTGTACCGAACTATTATTTGTTTGGAATTCCACCATTACTTCAGCAACGGGGGTAGCCTTTTTCTTGCTGCTCGCTGATATCCCTCTTGCCTCTAGGAGATGCTTTAGCGTGGATCGTTTCAGGATGGAGTAGTCAATCTCCATCCACGGTCCATCTGGCACTGCTATATCCACTGGTTCTTGTTCCTCTGTGAGCTCTGGATCCTGACGCTGCCTAACAATGTTGCCAAGCCCTAGTCCTAGCAGGGACTCTCCTCCGCTGGTTACACCAAAGTACAGTCAGGAACAAGTAAAATTATCCAATACAACAGTCAGGCACATCAAAATAATCAAAGTAATTTCCCACCTGGGGGTATAACTGAATTTTATTCACACATACACTGCTTTTATGCCATCTCCCATGCAACTTGTCTCACAGGCAGAAAATGCAAGGGTTTCAATAATTGCCTGAGTAAACTCCTTCAATTTAATTATCTCTCAAGCACAAAAAATCCCCCAAATATCCCGTAACCTAAAAATTCCCCAACCATTCATAGGAACCCCACAAAAAAGTATCTTCCCTGATAGCCCTAATCTGAGTGACCAACATATCCAAGAATCACTCAGATCGGTTTGGTAGAACGGAAATGGCATCCTGTGAAAGATTTGATCCGCCAGACACAAGGTGATAGCTGAAAATAGTTCCAGGAGAATAGGTGCTCTGGCCGGTTTCTGTTTGTGAGGTTCCTGTGTGAAAACCATACAAGGGAATCTCTTGCTTTCATGATATGAATGCTCCCCCTGTTCAGTACTCTATATCTCCTGAACGCCGTTCGCGTAGATGGTCGGGAACAGAAATGGGTAGCGTTCGACAGTTTACTGGTGTTCGCGCGAGTGCCAAGCCAAAAATAGTTCTAGGCACTCGACAACCAAGTACTGCTGCCCTCATTCGGGAGACAGGATAGCCGCCATTCTCCCAGCCACATGTTCAGTTATCCGAAATGGTGGCCACCCCAGAGAAGCACTCATTAATTGTTTCCCTTGTGGTTTCGCACTTAAGTGGTTGGTGTTAACGTTCCCTGTTCGGAAAACGAATGGATTCTGTTCGTATGAAGTCTCCCGAGCGGCCAAAAAAGAACCAATCAAAATAACCGGGGCAAAACACACAAAATAATAGGGGGATGATACGGACAGCCAACATATGGGATAAAAAGTAGCTTTCAGATGTCCATTCCGCTACAGTAAGTACATAAAGTAAGGGTGCCAAAGGGCAGCCTTAATGGGTGCCGTTCGAGATGATAAACCACTCGGATTCGAATAGTGGGCCCGTAACTTTAGCTTTAGGATTAGAATATAAAGCCATAATATTATCCTTAATCCAGCTTGTGAAAAAAACTCTCCAGGACAGAGTCCAAATAGCTCCACCCCACTCTATTGAAGGCTTATTCTGCATCAAGAGCCTAAATGGCCATCCCTGTTTTAGTTAGTTCTGTTTTGTGAATTATATTTATTATTTTACGGGTGTTATCTATTGGATTTCTATCCAAGACAAATCCCGATTGATCTTTATGAATAACTTGTGGAATTATCAATTTGAGTCGATTGGCTAAAATCTTTGAGAATATCTTTACGTCTACATTTATTAGTGATATTGGTCTATAATTCGAAATAGACAAGGGATCTTTACCTGGTTTTAAGATCGGAGGTACCATGGCCTGGAGCATCTCATTTGTGATAACATTAATTGAGAAATCATGGAATGTCCTAAAAAGTATAGCCAATGGAGTCACTATGGGGGCCAGAGGGGGCCATAGCCCCCCTTACATAATGCAGTGCCCCCCACTTGTGCTCCCCTAATTAAAATTGAAGTCGGGAGAACTGCATCTCCCTACACAAGCTGAAGCAGCAGCACTGTCACTGTGGATCCCTTCTCCCATAAGCAGCCAAAGGGGGCACTGTGCTGGGAGGACTTCCTCCTGGGTCATAGAGAGCAGTGCAGAGGAGAGGAAGCTCAGATCTGCACAGAGGCATCCGGGCAGCTGCTGGTAAGAGTGAGTCAGTGTGTGTGGTTCAGTCTCTGTATGTGTGGGGAGGGGGAGTCTGTGTAGGTGTATGGCTCTGTCTGTGTGTGTGTGTGTGTGTATGGGTCAGTCTGTGTGTGGGGGTGGGGGTTCAGTCTGTGTGTGTGGGGGTCAATTTGTGTCTATGGGTCATTCTGTGTGGAGTGGGTCAGTCTGTGGGGATGGGGGTTCAGTCTGTGTGTGTGGGGGTCAGTTTGTGTGTATGGGTCAGTCTGTGTGGGGGGGGTCAGTCTGTGTGTGTGTGTATGGGTCAGTCTGTGTGTGTGTATGGGTCTGTTTGTGTATGTGTATGGGTCAGTCTCAATAAGTGCTTGAACTCCAAGAGAGATACCTCTCATCTTGTGACCTCCCTTGTACCCGATGGATAGGCAGGCTTTTCAACCACCACAGATCTGATTGTGCCACCCCCTCCCTGCAAGGTAAGATGAGGGAAATGGAAATATTCTTTTTTTTTTGTGAACAATTATTAAAGTAAAAATTGTAAAGCTCTTCCCTATCCCAATCTCTACACCCCCTGAACACAGTACACCCCAACAAACAGTGAACCCCCCACATACAGTACACTCCCACCAACACAGTGCACCCCTCACACACATCATCTTCTTTTCAACCACATACACTTCTTGTAAAATAATTAAAAATCGTCTCATAATTTTTGCTCTCTTTTTTTACAGGTCTAACCTCGGTTTCTGCACACCTCAACCGACTTTGTTCTTATCAAATTACATTCATTTTAACCATACGTTCCACTATTATCCCGTACACAAAAAAAAATATATATATATATATCTACTTGATAAGCACACAATGCAACCCCAGTACACATATACTCACAATGCAGCCCCTAGATGCGCACGCACACACTTTACAGGCTCTTTCAGCGCACACACACATTTTCTCACACTCTCACAAATTGCTATTTTTATTTTAATTTAAATCCACCCAGCCTTTGGGAGAGCTGAATGGATCTTTCCCTGACGTCCAGTGTGTCTCCTCTCAGTCTTCCTGCAGTTTCTCTCTGCTCATCTGCACGCTCTCTGTAGTGATGCCGGGGCCAGAGTGACATCATATCACTAAACAGCGCGCAAGGGAGCAGAGAGGAACTGAAGGAAGGTTACTGCACCTTCACGCTCTGCCTCCATGCACCCTGCAGTGGCTGGCTTTAATATTTCCTGCGCGGCTTAGCAAGGGGCTAACAAATGCCAGGCGCCAGGGCGATATGTCTAGTCGCCATGGCAACCTGGCGCCTGGAATTTGTCGAGTCCTGTGTATGTATATGTGTGTATATGTATATATATTAAAAAAAAATATATATACACACACACACACGTTTTATAACTGCCCCCCTACTTTTGTCCCCAGTCGCTCTAAGTATGAATCCTGGAGACGCCACTGAGTATAGGTATAAATATATTTTAATTTTTTTTTAAATAAAATATAGAGAAGTAGTTGTCAGGGCCAGGAGCTTTAAAGGGTTTCAGGTCACAAATTACTTTTTTAATATCTATATCTGAAAATGATCTATTTAGATTTTGTAACGATTCTTAATTAATTTGGGGAATTTCAAGACCACCTAAAAATTCCACAGTCTTCGTTTTTGAGGGTGGAACGATCTTTAAATTGTAGAGGTTTTCATAGTAATGGGCAAATGCCTTAGCAATATCTTTTGGGGAATGAAAAAAAAATATTATTTATAATTAGTCTGGAGATAGTATTCTGTTTCCTGTCTTCCGACTTTATTGTTATTATGGTACCACTTTTGCTTCAAACGAAGGATAGCTTTTTCGACTTGAGTTAATACCTTGTTGTTTATTTCCTTCCTGATTTTATCTATTAATTTAGTCCTTTCAGAACAGATGTTATTCATGTTTAATCTTTCATTTTTAGCTAACTCAACTTGTAGACCTAGCAGCGATTTCTGTTTGCATTTCTTTTTTGTGTACCCATTTTAATAAGTAAACCTTGAGTAAAGCATTTAAGAGTGCACCACAAAACAGAAGGTGAAACTGGATCGTTATCATTAATTGTCAGAAATTTCTCTATCTCCGTTTTGGTATTTTTTTTTCAATATATATTCAGACAATTTAGGGTGGTCAAAAAGAAATCTATCAGAGAATAGAATAAACTTGGGAATAAAAAGTATATTCTCGATCATTTGGATGCAATACTCGCCAACAGTCATAAAGGGAATTGGATATTAAAAACTCTTGCATTTCCTTATCTGAGGATATATTCAAATGTTTACTTTGAGTTTTACATTTAGGATTTCTGTCCAGATTAGAGTTAAATACAATATTGAAGTCCCCTCCTATGAATGTTCTACCAAAAGTATATATTTTATTATAAAGGTTTTGAAAAATTTAGATGGTGTTTGGTTTGGAGCATATATATTGATTAATGTATATATGTCATTGAGTTTAACTATTACAATTTGTTATCTGCAATATAATGCATAACTTCTACTTTAATTTTATCAGAGTTAATAATTGCCAGACCTCGTTTCTTTTTTGAATCAAACATGTTTGCTTTAAAGATATTTGGATATTTTATAAATTTATATATTTTTTGTGATCTTGCACCTAGTGTGTTTCCTGAACCAAAGCAACATCAATTTTGCTTTTAATTAGAAGGCTATACAGACAACCTCTTTTTTGGGGGGTGTTAAGCCATCTGACATTTCAAGTAACAAATTTAAGTGACATGGATGATTCGATTTTTACAGTCAATACACTGAAATTTCTCTCTTTTCAAGATACCCAAGCATTCAAACATTACTTTATCATGCACACTACATAACTTACTTACTAAACAAGAGCTGTTAGGAAACAACATCCGCAGGGTTTTTAAGGCTATACGTTTCATTATACAGACCATACTAGCACAGTCTGTAGTTTGAACATTGCCTGGCAATAGTGAAGAACAAAGGTTAATGCTTATTCTCAGGACGGTATTTAGGGCCAGTGCAAGGATTTTGGGCTACACAGACACATGCATTTTGCCCCCACCAACCCATCATACTCCTCACACTATTCTCCCCCTTAATTGTGCAGAACTCACACAGATATCATTACCCAGCATTACCCAGCACTCAGGAGGTGTGTGTGTGAGAGCTACATAATTGCTACATAATTGTGACTCCCAAACACAGGCCAAGGCGCCTGTTACTTATCTCCCCTCATCAGCACATCTAAGCTCCAAGCAGGCACACTATATGAGCTGTAAATAGGAGCCCCCTACAGGACAGTTGGCTGTAGGCAGGCGCCTACTCTGCATAATGCAAACGTAGTCCCTGGGAATAGCACAATAGGGCTTTAAGTTGTAAACACGTCCCAATAATGGGAAGTATGGATACAGGGCAGGTGGGCAGCCAGGAGGGGAGTGCAACAATGGACAGACCCACACAAGAAAGGGTGGGGGTTTTCTTCTAAAGTAGGAAGGTGTGCCAAAAACAGTGTGTGCCAGTCTGGTATGTGTGAAACAGGAGTTGTATCGTGTAGAGGGGGGCATAGGGGCATTTAAAAATATATATAGTTATAATGAAAATTATTTAACCCCCATTACAAATAGGTTTATTGTCAAACTGTACAGACTTTCAGCTGTTTGCAGTGAACAAATCAAACAAAAGCAAAGGGGGTGGGGCCGGGCCGCCTGGCCGAACAGACGCATTATGCATGGGCTCCAGCATTAACCTGAGCAAAAAGGCACAAAAGGCCGTTCCAGACTGCTAAAAAGTCGGATATCCCGACAACAATTAACAGGGAGCAATCCCAGCGCATCTCAGACGCTAGCACTAAGCACACCTCACAAGCCGGACGGGCAATGGAGGGCGAGCACGGCCTACACGCGGCAGAGCACCCGACCGCAGTCACAACATGCGGCGTGAAGCCACAGAGAGGCGCAGCCCCGAAACATTTAAGCGGGAGAGGCGCCACACAGATTGTTCCCTTTTCACCCCCGGCCCGGGGCACGGCCCTGCCCCCCCCCCCCAGTTTATGGAACTGCTCCAACACAGCTTAACATACCCGGAGAACCACAGTAAAATTTAACAGGGGGGACTGGCATGGACGGCTCATGCAGGCCCAGGGCGATGCTGAGCGCTGGGCGGGACCTGCGCACCGCCCACACGCCGACCCGAGCAGTGAGTACCCCAGTCTCTGGGTATGGGGGGTCCCCGGAGAACCATGTCCTTGCTGCCGTGAGCCCTGTGAAGCGGGAGTGCGCTGCCCTGCCGGCGGACCGGTGGCCGAGAGGGCTGAGTACCAGCTTTAAGCGTGAGGCCGGCATTGGGAGAGACACAGGAGTGCTTGCTCCATAGGAAACAACGTGGTGCTGGGGAGGTGCAGGGGGCGGGAGAGCTGCGGACTTTGTGGTGGGGTCCAGTGGACAATCTCTGCCCCTGAGTGCCCACGGCACCGCTGAGGACCAGCCGGTGGGCGATGTGGGGTGAACGGACGGAGGCTCGGTGACCTGAGGACTGCACCGTAGCTGAGACATGTTGGGCCTCCCTCAGACTGCCATACAGCCTCCTCTCAAGTTCTTACCAGCCTTGCTTCCATATTGTTACAGTCCGTATTATTGTTTTTTACTTTTTACGCATTCATTATTATTGCATGCCTGTGTCAGAATTCACTAGGTGCTGATTTAGGACAAACAGTTATGACCTATTACAGCCTTATGTTGCCTGCTTAATATACTATATTAGTCGTGTAGACGCTGTTCATGCAGCAGTGCTCATATGAGCTAAAGTTTAAGGTCACAAATTATTGCACACACTACCTCACCCGGAATAGCTGTAAGCAATATGAAAGGCCTTGCTTTTTCATTATACTCTTAGATAATCTTACAAAACATCACTGCCTCTATAAGCCCCTTTACTGCAACACTGCACACTTCTTTTTTTTGGGGGGGCTTGTTAGGGATTGACCTAAACTGTTATTTGCCTTACTTAAGTTTGACGTGTTACTACAACAGCACATTAACCTCGGCTGAGATCTAGTTAATTTTGTATTCTCTCAGGTAGCCATACCAACATCACTGCCCTTACTTACCTGCAACACTGTACTTCTATGAGGCTCCGGTAAGGATAGACCTAAACTGTTATTTGCCCTAAGTAAGTTAGACCTGTCAATACAACAGCGTGCTTACTTCGGCAAAGATTTATTTCATCATTTTATTTGTTACACGCAGATCGACACACGATGTATGTTCATGATGAGAAATTCAGCATCAGCCACCGTGACTGAGCAAGTAGCCAGACACATACAATTAAATACCTTTCATATTGTAATAAAGGTTGGAACACAACATCAGAATGCTACTGTCACAAGTTTGTTTTAGCCTAGACATATAAATCCTCGCAAAGTTTATGCACGTTTCAATGATCTGATATACCCGCCTCTGCGCAGGCAACCATCCGCATTTATTTTCGTATACAGATACCCGCGCCTCTGCGTAGGCGACTACATGCTTTAACGTAAATATGTTTGATGTATAAGTATATGACATGACAACAATAAAAATATTCAAAACAAACAAAAGCAAATAAAAAAGCTCAGCACAATGAATACTTCAAGTAAGTGGTTTCCTCAAATTCAACTAAAAATATAACCTATGACTTTTCCAGTCTCAAAATGTTTTCAAACCCCCAAATAGAATCCCTCAGAACAGCACAAATATGCCTCATATGTCTCAGGCACTCCTGATGCAACTAATCAAGGTCTTCCAGGTGTGCTTGAGCTGGAACACTTGAAATACCTGAACTGGCTAGGGGTTTGTTAAGTGTCACTTTTGACTGCATGTTAGAAATAAGTCAAAAGAATGGTCCACAAAGTTAAGAGAAAGTTAAGAACTAATCATCATTCACAAATACAAAAAGATAGCGAAGGCATAAAATGGTTTTTAGATACACCATTACAAGCACAGTTTGAAAGTTTAAAAAGTGCTTTCACAGGGGGCGGGGCCTGACTGCCAAGATGGCCGGACGCACTCTCTGACAGCTCCGGCTCCAACGGGTAAAAAAATCACGAATCCCGATCTACCAAGCAATGTCAGCAGTGCATGGTGCCAGGAAAACGATACAGGACCCTGCATGGAACATATCGATACCTGTCCCGCATCAAAACGCGAAACGAGTGCTTGAACCGACCATGAGGCCTAAACAGGAGCGGAGCCTAACGCCTGGGGGAGGCGGCCGATCTCCCGGCAAGGGAACCGCTCATAAGCATGAATCAAACGCTGTCCTGCTACCCCCCCCCTGGACCGGCGGGGGATATCCCGGTCCAAGCTGGGGAAGCCCACCCCCGCAAAGCAACGCGAACAAGCGACAAATACTGTGGTGAGACGAAACCGCCAGTGCTCAGGCAAGATGGCGCCACTGGCACGGCCGGCGACGCAACACACCCGTTTACAACCACCCAAGCATACCTTGGACTTCTTTGACCAGCTCTGCGCAAGCCTCTAGACGAAGCTCAGGGACAAAGGTCATGCCTTCAGACTAGCAAGGGGACTGGCGGCAGCATGGATTCGCCTAGCAGTCCGGCGACACCTGAGTGGAAAAGGCGACATGTCCCGCAGGCAATAGTGATCACTCCCACACACACCAGGGCAAGGCCAGCCAGCATACCCAAGCTGTCTACCACCCAGTGATCTCGGAGACTTACGATCTCCACGCTAACCTCACCAACCCCCGAACCCCAGCTTGCGACAGCAAGACTCACCAGAACGGTGAACACCGCACAGGGGCCTCGGGAAGGGTCCGGCGAGAAGAACAACCAAAAGCTTTAACCCCTTGTATGCTGGCAAGCGAGGGAGACAGACACCTGTACACCTGCAGCTTCCCACTACAGGGCATCGGCTGAGCAGTCTGCAGGGATGCTCACAGCACGCATAGGGTCCTTTTGTGTTTAAACTGTTAACTGCAAGTATTCTGATTATGGACAGATTCCTACCATTGCCTATTCAACCTGATGTATATATGTCACAGCTCTATACTAACAAACATATCTCTTATACGCTAAGGTATAGGACAGTGAAGCTCATATGACATCTTACACAAAGGCTCTGTCTTGTATACAACATACTCCTTTATTGTATTTTACTTACTCTTAAGGAATATTGTATAGACCTAGCATGTTTACACACTGTGCGCTCCAGCATAGCATTGCGCTTAACTCTATTCAGTTACTAAGTAGATATGCATTCAAACGACTGAACAGCGATACCCAGTATAATGCTACCTAAGCTTGTTCTCTACCATGTTAATATGACTCACGGAAATCCCTGTGTATATACACACTAGCCTTCACCCAGAACGTAGGTTTAGACCGAAATGTCTTGCTTTAGTTTAGGCTTGTTGCCCATCCACGTTACTTACTCCTTAACTGTAATAACCTGTAAACGATTAGCAAGCCAATCCAAAGACAGCACTTAGAACTAGCCTGTAGCGCATACTGATACATGATTTGCGACGCCAGCAACTCATATACATGATTTGCGACGCCAGCAACTAGTTAATATGCCGAACAAGACTACTTAAGGTCTGACCACTCTCTAAAGTTGCTTATGTAAGCTGATTGTATTACTTAACATTGTACTCGAAATATGCGCAGTTAAACGACAACCTTTATACTTTAAAAATGTGTGCACTGTTATTGCATACCCCATTGTTATAATTGTAATGGAACTAACGTGTGGAGTGCCGTTGAGGTACCACACGCATGTCTGTTCAACCCATATGCACTGCAAAAATAAAGAATTAAAAAAAAAAAAAAGTGCTTTCACTACCTGGACTGGGCAAAAAAGGGAGCTATCAATAGCTGCAACCAGATTTCTAAGACAGGTTGTGAAAAATCCTTGAGTGACTGCAAAAGACCTGCAGCAAGACTTAGTGGTAACCGGCACTGAAGTTTCAGTGAGCACAGTAAGGCAAGTACTAAACGCAGAATGCTTCCATGCCAGAACTCCAAGATGTACACCACTACTGACCTAAAAGCACAAGATATGTCAGCTCAAATATGCTCAATCATGCAGATAAGCCACAGAAGTTTGGGGATTTTGTTCTGTGGAGCGATGAAATATAACTGGAACTTTTTTGACCAATTGCTCAGCGATATGTCCAGAGAAAGAAGAATGAAGCATATGATGAAAAGAACACTCTGCCTACAGTTAAGCATGGTGGTAACTCGTGATGCTTTGGGGCTGCTTTGCATCCTTTGGCACTGGAAACATGCAGCATGTGAAAGGCAAGATTCATTCATTGAAGTATCAGGAAATCCTAGGTGAAAACGTCATGCCATCTGTGAGGAGGTTGAAGCTTGAGAGTCATTAAACCTTTCAACAAGACAGTGATCCCAAGCATACCTCAAATTCCACCAAGGCTTGGTTGCAGAAGAAGTCCTGGAATATTCTACAGTGGCCATCACAGTCACCTGACTCTGATGGGATTTGAAGAAGGTGGTTGCAACACGCAAACCCAAGAATATTATTAAACTGGAGGCCATTGCTCATGAGCAATGGGCTAAGATTCCTCAAAAATATTGCCAAAAGCTGGTATCTGGCTAGGCATCTCGTTTTAAAGTCATAACTGCAAAAGGGAGCTTTTCTAAGTTATTATAGATGCTTGCCATGAAGGGGTTGAATAATTTTGAGAAGTCATTATAAGTTGGGGAAATCACTTGAAGCATTTGTTGCGTTTGATTTGTTTATTGCAAACAGTTGAAAGTCTGTAAATTTTGACAATAAACTTGATTTTCAATGGGGGTTAAATAATTTTGTTTACAACTGTATATATTATATATAGCACTTCCTCTAGCTGGGTCCCCATAAAGTATCAGAGTGTTACCGTGGTAAACTGCTGCAATGCTCTGGTACATTTGTGGAAGACCATATGTCTGAGCTTGCCATGAAGGAAGATCCTTGATTTCCTCAAATACCAGGGACTGTCCCAGCTCCCATTTTAGGCCAGCAGATCTCCCCACCATGCATTTGTCGTTTCAGCAGGGACCATCTTTGATTCCACAGGCTGGCCCTTAGTACAGCGGTTCAAGACCCCAAATTTAGTAAGATCCAGTACAGATAGGAAGTGATGCTGTGGCCATATCTGCATATTTTTTTAGAGATAGTGCTTTTTATAGAAGCTTTGGAATCAGTTCTTGATACAAATGTATGATCATTTTAGAGTACCAATGTTAAGTGATGCATTTTCTGAATAGTGGGCTGAAGAAAAAGGTTTTATAATTTTTTTTAGTATTTAGTTTTATTGTCTCCCCCCTCATTATTTTTATGGTGAGGGGGTAGGTGGGGATTGATTTATTTTATTTTGTTGGGGTGACAAGGGGCTTGGGGTCCCCTAGTCACAGGGGGGGATGTATTTTCATTTAGGGCCCCACACACCACTCATGGGTGGCGGCCCCCCTTACTGTTATTTAGGGGCCCCACCCACCTCTTAGGGTTGCGGGCCGGGTGGAGGACAATAGGTCCCCACCCCTTATTGTTATTTAGGGCCCCCAACCACAGCTCACGGGTAGGGGTTGGGGGGGGCAATAGGTTCCCCCTTCAGTTTTATAGCTCCCACTCGCATGGCATGGGTGGGGGCTTGGGAGGGGAGATACTAGGGTTTTTGGGGGGGCTGCTCACTGTTTAGTAGACATGCCCCCTACTCGCGATATAGTGAGTAGGGGCAGACTTTACTAATACTAAGTAATCTTGTACCATGGGAATTAGGGAGTTGTGGGTGGGGGCTGGGGGGAGGACAATAGGTCTCCCCCTATTGTAATTTAGGGCCCCCAACCACAGCTCACGGGTAGGGGTTGGGGGGGGCAATAGGTTCCCCCTTCAGTTTTATATCTCCCACTTGCATGGCATGGGTGGGGGCTTGGGAGGGGAGATACTAGGGTTTTGGGGGGGGCTGCTCACTGTTTAGTAGACATGCCCCCTACTCGCGATATAGTGAGTAGGGGCAGACTTTACTAATACTAAGTAATCTTGTACCATCGGAATTAGGGAGTTATCTACTAAACGGCTGCAAGATGCAGCCGTGGCACGAATGAGATAGGAGTTTCATTCATATGAATGAAATTCCAATATGAACAAAGTCCCGAATTGCGTCCTAACATGAATGAACAAACTGTTCTCATTCTGTTAGGACGTATTTCAGTGGTTTTGCCGGCGTTCTGTCTAAATGACAGGACGTTTGGGAATACTGACAGGAAGCATCGCGAGATCACGGAGGAAAGGTAAGAATTGTGGGAACATTACTCTGACCACAGGAAACGAAGCACACTTTGCTCCTCTGCTGGTCATAGCTGGTCAGGCGTAGGAAACCTCCATAAGACAAAGTAGTCCCTATTTTGTCCTATGTTTTTAAAGAAAACTAGAGCAGACATGAAGAAAATGAAAAACAGATCCTGACAGAGGGAGAGAAGAGGAATCGATTAAAGAAAGGTAAGTTCGGCATGACAGTGCCCCTTTAAATACTTCGCCAGAATATTAGCCTTTACTTGATTTTTTTAAATAGATTTTTTTAAAAGGTCAATTGCTGCATTGCTTTTTTTACGGTTAAAGGATATATCATGCAACAATACATGTGGTTTAAACTAGCTTGTAGCCAATTCAAAGGTAAAGAGAAGTTATGTCGACAGAGGTCTTTAGTATATCTCTATAATGACTGTGGATGCTGAAAAACCAGAACTGAAAGTCGATAAGTTACCTAGAAAAGTGAATGGAGATTTACTGAGTAATCTATTTTCAGAAATTGTTTAACATGTTGAGTACCAAATGTTTTTTGGAAAGTTAATTCATTTTTCTTAGTGCATTTTTTAGGAAAACCTCAACACAAGCTTTTATTTTGCTAATTGTAGAATATACCATGCTTCAGTAGTCATGAATAGAAAACACTAATAGGGAGGAGTACAGAGAGGAATGGAAAGGATGATTTTAGCACCAGGATTCTGCTTCAAGAGTTTTTAATGTATTTGATGCAAGGCCAACAAGACCTGGTTCTAGCATACCTCACAACTGTCCTAGTTCCAGCAGGACTGTCCTGAATTTGGGCTACTGTCCCAGGTTTGTTCCTTGGTGTCCTACATTTGTTCACACTAGCTTAGCTGGATAAACTGAGGGCATTTGGTCCTTGGTCAGAGTACTTCATAAACACTCTCTACATAGACTGCCATGAATTGGGCCAGTATGACATGCTTCTACTCAGAAGGCTGACTCGATCCTTTACCATGTGACTTCACCTCTCACTGCTGCCGCCCCTGGCACCTCTATCCTGGTGTAGTAGGGATATTCTGGTAGTCCTGACCCAAGCAGGACTTACTAGCATGCATTCTTGATCTTAAAGTTTATCTGTCTTTTTCACGGGTCTTTGCATATTTTGCATATACCCCTGAAGGTGACATCTCCAGTTAGGATGCAGTGGCCGTTGCGTGCTGTAGAATGTAGTTCTACTTATCTGAAGCGATCACTTGTGACCATCGCCATCTTCTTCCTGAAGACCTTCCGCGGCTCCTGGTGCCTCATGTGCCAGGAGCAGTGTCAGCAGTGTACTCTCACACATGTCGGTGCCTGTCTGTCTATGAGGCAGATTATTTTTCATGATTATAGTTTTTGGGATTTAGTTTATGAACAAGTGTATACTGTAAACTATGCTTTACCTAGCTATCATGCAGAGAACTTTACAGGGTTTCTTCATGAACTACCCGAATACATTTTGTTGTATTTTGAGAATTGAGGTCAACTGCACATGGCAGCAAATATGCGGAACCTTTATCTCAATGATTAAATTCAGAACCAGTTTGGGTGCTTAATAAAAATCCAGACCCATATAGCATGCATATAGGACTTATTTTGACCACTATAATAGTAGACACTGGATTGGGTGCATGTAGATTTGCAAATTCATTGAAGTAAATACTCAGATTTCCATTTTAGGTTGAATTCCAATACTTGTAGATTTCGCAAACCAAACTCCATATTGTTCTCTTTTCTTGTTCCAGGTGACCAGTGCTCAGGGGGCAGCAACATTTTCACAGAGATTCCAGAGAACAGTCCCAATGGAACTTTTGTGGCTAACCTGACAGTATTTGGAGATCCAGTAACCACTACAGTAAAGCTTTGTTTAAGTGGTACAGATGCAGACTGGTTCTACTTGGAAGGGAAAAATGTTTGGCTTAATGTGTCTTCAGGAAAAACACTGGACAAGGAGGTAAGACAATGGCTTTGACTAGAAGCCTCATTCTAGAATATGATTAAAGAAACAATGTAATCGGAATCGAATGACAGAGCACAATAGCATGATAATTCCTCCAAAAGTTAAAATGAGCACTGTAAGCACCATCACCACTACAGCCTGTTTAGTGGTTATGGTGCTAGGAGGCATGACCCTCGCTCACTGGATATCTAATGTGGCGTTTCCGATTCTTCTTTAGCAATTTAAATTTTGTCCAAAATTGGAAGTCATTATTTGGCTGACCATATCTATCATTTTAACTAAAATTCAAAACTACAATAGATCATACAAATAAATAAACATGGCATATGTAGGTTTGTATAATCAAACAATATAAGAAATGCAGCATTTTACTCTATTATTTTTAATACATACAGTAAAATTAAAAAGTCCAATAACATTTAAAATACCATAAAATGTGGTATAATAATATAATATATATTATATTAATATTATATTAACAAATAATAATGAAGTGTAAATTATTGCACATCCCTTAATATTGTAAATGAAATATCTTGATTTTTACAGATTACTGTAATTTTCCCACCTGTAAACAATAATTTATGATGCAAAAATTATAGTAGGAAGATCACAGATCTGTGAAACGACAATTAATATAATATTCCTCAGTTGTTGTTTTTTTATTGTGTGGAGTTGATTATGAATAAAAAAAAAAAAAAAAGAAGGAAAGGTAGATTATGCTCTTCAGACTATATTTTTTAGTACATAAACTCACATAGTTGATTGTTATGGATTTATTTATAATGGTTATATATATTTAAGTAAAAAACTATTGGATCCAGAGTCGTAAGAGATGCAGCAATCATGATATCACCATCTAAATTATGTACACTGATCAGCCATAACAGTAAAACTACTGACAGGTGAAGTGAATAACATTTATTAAATTGTTACAATGGCACCTGTAAAAGGTTGGGATATTTCAGGCGGCAAGTGAACAGTCAGTTCTTGAATTTCATGTGTTGGAAGCAGAAAAATGTGCTATTGAAAATATCTGAGTGACATTGATAAGGGTCAAATAGTGATGACTAAACAACAGGGTCAAATTAAGCGACCTTGTTGCAGGGATGGATGTAAAATTGAGCCTAAGGAAAAGAGATACACAGTTATTTAAAGGAATTTACAGGTAGGAGTGGCAAACTGGTGGGGAGAAGGAGGAGAATTGAGTTCCCTGATGACAGTGACCTCTTTCGGCAGGATAATGCACCCTGCAAAAATTGTTCAGGAATGGTTTAAAGAACATAAAATAGAGTTCAAAGTGTTGCTTTGGCCTCCAAATTCCCCAGATCTCTATACAATCAAGCATTTTGTGCGATGGCCTGAACAATAAATTGGATCCTTAGAGAACCCTCCTAACAACTTGGGGTCTCCATGGATCTACTGCTAATGTCTTGGTGCCAAATACCACAAGACGTGTTTAGAGGTCTTGTAGAGACGAAGAGGTCTGAGAAGAGGCGAAGCAGCATTTAATGATTCGCCATCACTTTCCAAATCATAACTTCTAACTTCTTATGTCCAATCATTACACAAAGCTTTAATGTCAAACCCTAACCTAACCTAATCCTAACCCCAGTTCTAGGAACCTTTCCCGCCCCCAAAAAATATTTACTGGACAGATAAAGACAATACAGAGATAAGTTTAGTAATCTTACACTGGCATAAGCCCAAATGTTTCACATTACATAAAAACTGTAAGTGGGAAAGTATGTCCTATCATTTTGTCTTTATATCATCTGACAAGCAGTGATTTGACATTATAGTTACCCTGTAACTGCTATTGAAGCATTTACTGGAGTGAGATGTGCAACACAGGGAACTAAAAATTTTTTACCTCTTCTGATCTTCAGGGCAAATGATTGCCCTGCATACACATATCCACCATGCATAATTTTCCGATGATTCTCTTCACACACATGCACGAACTTTCTGTACATCAGGAGCAGAGGGACATATGAAATGTGGATAAGAAGCTCCAGAATTCATGCTGATTTGATTAAAACAAATATAAAAATGGGTTTTAGAATAATCTTAAATAATTACTCTCGATATTATTTGTATTGCACCACCTTCAAAGAAAGAAAATAAATAAATACATAGCTTTATAAAGTTTTGGTAGCTACTTCACTGGTTGAGGGATTGTTTCCTTCCATCTCAGTTGTCAAGGCGAAAATTAAATTAAGGCAATTGTGCATTAAAACTAACCATCTAATCTAACATATTGCGGTGGTTCGTCTGTTTTACTGTACTGCAAGAGAATTGGATACACTTTTATAATTCTTTTCTATTGGTATGTTAATTTATTGCCATGCTTTGTTGTATTTTTTATCTTTATCAAACGTTCACTGACTTTGGTGCATACTACTTAGGTACTTATAATTCATAATATTCTCAAAATGCTGTTTCTTATTTGCGGTCGATGCAAAACAAAAAATGTCAAATTTATTTTAAATAAATAGCCAATAGCCCACCAAAGTGACAGTCCCATTTAATATCAAAATCACTTGAGCCTTAGATGCACTTTTATTATTAATTCCGGGGCTGCATGAAAACTCAAAAAAAAAATCACTTATGAGTAGTTAAATTCACAGTGAGTTCAAAGACCCAACTCTTTGTATTGGAAAGCTATTTAACACATATAAATTAAGAAAGAAATTAGGTAATGGATTAACTACAACCTGGGTTCTTAACCAGTGGTACGTGCACGCCAGCTCGTAGAGTAGGCACCTTTTTACTAGGAAGGTGCTGTGTCCAGATCGGAGAATGAAGAGGGCAGCGAGAAAGCGCTGATGCCTGTGCTCTTCCATCACTGCTCCCTTGCGCCCTGTAGGGATGCCGGGAGACCGTTACAACATCACTCCAGCCCCAGCATCACTAAACAGCATGCAAGGGAGCAGCAGCCACACTAATCAGGGAGATAATCACTAGTCTTTAAGGAAAGAATCACCACTGAACCCAAGAGAAAGGATCCACTTCAGCTCTTCCAAAGGTAGGAAGGCTGGGTGGACTTAAATAAAAATAATACGTAAATAAAAATAGGTGTGAGCATGTGTGGAAGAATGTTTATGTGTCTGTCAGTGAGTGTGTATGTCACTGTGTGACAAATCAGTGAGCCTGTCTTTGAATGAGTGTGTGTATCTGTCAGCTAATTTGTGTGTCAGGTGTCTGTCAGTGTATGTCAAATCAGTGAGTGTGTCTGTGTCAATTTCCTCTGTGTTTAATTGTGTGTCGGTGTCCTCTGTGTGTTACAGTGTGTTTGGCATCGTTCTCTGTGTGTAATTGTGTGTTCCAGTGTCCTCTGTAGAACTATTATGTGTGTGTGCCAGTGTCCTCTGTGTGTAAACGATCAACCTTGCATTATATTTTCATTTTGAGACTTTAATACTTCAGATTAATAGTTCAGACACTCCTCCTTACATAGACAATATGCGCATCATTTAAGGTAAAAATTATTTTTGAAAATATTCTTTACTACCTTTAATAAGGATTGATCTCTATTTTGGGATTAATTTAAATATCAGTGTCTACAAGTTTCATTTGGAATTAAAATCAATAGAAATTACTTTCACGAGACAGGGGTACTTAAAAGAAAAGTTTCTAGACCAGCATGAGTACTTCTCCATAAAAAGTTAAGCAGCATGGAACTAAAAGGTCAGATTGGCATTTTAGGTGCTGACATGAAAAATATATATCTCTGCAAAACACAAACATAGTTTTTTTTGTTTTTTGTTTTTTATCCCCTTAAGAACACAACTTCTGGAATAAAAGGGAATCATGACGGAATATTTCCGTCATGTGTCCTTAAGGGGTTAAACCCTGCATTTTGGGTTTTTTTATTACAAAAATTTTTTTTTGCTGTTTTCCTGATGGATTATGACATCGATTTTGTTTTGTTTATTCTACAGGCTTTGGAGTCCTCTGTACTTTTGGTAACACTAACTTGTTCTGAAGAAGGATTCCCCACGGTAACAAAACAACACAGTTTTACATTAATGAACACTGGTACATGCAATATTACAAATCAAGCACATTCACAGCTATAATACAACAATAAAAGTGCATGATGAAATTTTCAAAGTGTTGCCGAATAATCAATATCGATATTATTGTCACCATTTATCACTTTTGAGAATGTTTTTTCTTTTGAAACACTCTTTGCTTATTGCATTCCATTTTTTGCCCCAGAGAAACTATATTTTCTGGTGTTCATTTAAACCACTTTTATGTTACGTAAGAGAGAGACAGAATACTTGTAGAACATTGGCCAAATAGTCTTAGTTAGTAGGATACAATTGTGGAAGAGGAAAAATCTATTGGAATATACAAAGAAGAAAAAAGGCAAAATTCTACCTTTAAAACACCTTGATAAATTAGAACAGGTATTTTTAAACCCCACTCCTCCCCAAATTTTTTTTAAAAAGACATGACACAGAGCACTTGATTCCCCACCACCGTTTCTGCATTGTTTTATATTACATTTATGAAATGGGGTAATACAAATAATAACGCACCAATGATCACAAATTTAAACAGCTAATAACTTTAACTAGTAATTCCTCTTCACTTAGCCTTGTATCTACATTCTCCAGGTCCATTACCGGATCATTGTACAAATTCTGAATGAAAACGACAATAAGCCACATTTTTGGGATGAGTCAGTAATGGCACAGAACATCAGTGAAGTACGTATAAAGTATGGTAAATATGGAACTCATGCAACATTTGACTAATACAGTGATGGCTAATCTTGTTACCTTGCATGTTCTGAACTATATGTCCATGACTGCTGACCCCGGACCAAAACTCCCACCACCTGTTGCCCAATAAATACACAACACCTTCTGTATGGGTAAGGGCAACGGCCACAGCTTTATTAACAGAATTAACATCGATTATAACCAGCGTCCACAACCTGTCAGCTGTTGGGGGATTACCAACAGACAGCTCTATCAAATGACCCACAAGTCCAATGCAGCCTGCCCCCACCATCAGCTCTCAGCAGGCTGCGACTCCCCAAGCCGCTTGGGCACTTTCTTCCACACCTCTTCGCTGGCCAGGACTACCGCGAGCTGTGACAAAACAAAGAAACAACAGCACACAACCAACAACAACACCATCATAAACACTCTTTTTGGGTTACCTTACATGTTCTGAACTATATTTCCATTATGCTCAGTCATCCTTAAGGCTGGATGAACATCATGAGAAATGTAGTTCAGAAAAGCATGTGCATAAGTCTAATATGAACCATGCATTTTATTAATGTTCAGCATTATATTCTGTTCACTACATAATAGTTACCCAATCATGAAGGCATAAATTTAAAGTGGTTCGTTAACAGGAGCTTATTCTAAAAAGAACCCTTTTTTTAACGAATTGTAAAAAGAATATCAACAGAATTCTTTTTAGCTAAAGAAATAGGTGTAAAAGATTTAGAAACCACTTGAGAGGAAATAAAAATATTCCAACTTCCCAATTTCCAAAAGGTACTTCACGTGATACCAGCATAGAAACATGAAAAGGGAAGAAACACAAAAACAACACACTCCAGTGTTATGTAACAGATATATCTCTTCCTCCTCTCTCTTGCCCTGTTTCAGAGAGTACTGGATTTGTCTTTTGCATTAATTACTATAATGCAGGCAGCATGGGATCTTGGTCATGAGCCATGATCTACAGGCAGCTTGTAGTTTTAAATATATTTCTTTGTTATTAATAACATGTTTGATTCACCTAGAACCCAATTTCCTGACAATGACACACGTACGGAGTTAAAACACTGATCATTTAATGAGGAACATTCCTGTACTTGATATCTGATCATGGCATCTCCACATGAGCACTCAGTGGGAAACATGCACATGTACAACTACAACCACATACATTACAAAGAAAGAATTACAGTTAATTGATCCTCTGCAATGTCTTACATTTTGCTTTTAACTGTATTAAACCCAAAGTTTCCCTATTTGTCTTTTTATCACAATCAATTATTTTGACAATTACCATGTTATTGTCTTTCCTCGTATCTCATCAAATACCTTGTGTCTTGTAAACAACATTTTACTTTCTAAATAATTGTTACGTAAAATGCTGTCTTCCTCTCTCTGTGTTATGTAGAACACTCTGCAGGGTGCTCTCTCTATTTGTATTTTAATGACAATGACACTGCATTCCAATTTCTCTTCACACTATCTGTCTCTCCAGCTAGCAGAGGTGGACTCTGTGGTTTTCACAGCTCAAGCTCTGGATCGAGATGGAGATACCTTGATGTATGTGATAGACCAATCCATGGTGAGTGTCTTTTAAGTTTCCACCTCTTCTACATGAGCAAACAAGTGGCATCCAGACAACCTGCTACAAATCTCCCCATAGTCATGGATCAACATGCTCCAGACACAGCGTGCTGACCTTGTACATGCCTATATTTCTAATAAGACTTTAATAGTTATTTTTCTGTTCTGTAAATTGAATGGGGGATCATGCTAATGTTGTAATGCAAACACTGTATGTAATGTTATCATTTTGGCACCTCCTAAATTAGAACTGGTGGTTTCTCCCAGTGGTATAGTATGGGGTCGACCAGAGGGGCAGTTGCACTGGGTGTAAAACTCCAAGGGGCACAACATTTCGAAAGAAATTAAAGTAATAATAATAATAATAATAACAACAACAAAGTATTTAACCAGGAAAAGCACATTCAGATTACTCTGGTTTTCAAGTACATCCTGGGGATACTAATTTACCCAACATCCAGGGGTTCTTACTATTACCCAAATTAGCGCGCCCTCCACCTTACACAGAAAATTTCCCAATGTTTGAACATTCTACACAGTTCTTCAACATGACGGGTCAAATATACATTGCCATGTAACATGTTACAGTATTTTCCTGATAATTCCAGCCATACTGTCCCTCATGTAATCATTATTGGCAAATTACATAATGCCCATTAATAGTGTGATTTTCTGTTTGAATAAATCACGCTATTAGTAGGCTTCATGTAAATGCCTAGTTAATGGTAGCAGATGCTTAAATAAACTATAAGCATTAGTTTAGGGGGCATAATACTTACCTTGCCCCAGGTGATGGCAACCTACGCTACTCCACTCGTACCTCCATCCCATAATGCCTAGCAAATAACCCTGTGTTAAGCACTGTGACTCCCCAAGTTTAAGATAATGGCAGGAAACAAATGTATATGCATCTTTCTTACCAGCCATAATTGTAGTTCTTACACTAATGCCAGGGATGTCCAACAACTTGCTGTAGAGAGTCATGTCTCACTTCAAAGTACAAAAAAGGCTATACATACCAACCTAGTGGCAGAACTAATGTAGAGAGGGCCCTGGAGCAGGAAAAAATTTTGGCCCTCTACTAGTGCAAGAAAGGTCTACCTGACTGCCTCACTTAATATTTTTGCTCAGTATTTACAGATGAAAATGAAGGAAAGGGGCCTCAGTTAGGAAAAAGGACAAGTGAGTCATTTGTTACATGTGAGTTTACAGAGAAAGGAGTTCTATTTTAACTGTCAAAAGTAAAGCCAAATAAGTCAATGGGACCTGATGGAATACACCCAAAGTTATTAAAATAGCTTAGTGGTGTACTAGTAAAACCATTAACAGATTTATTTAACCAATCATTGTTAACAGGAGTAGTCCCAGAAGATTGGAAGTTAGCTAATGTTGTGCCCATTCACAAGAAAGGTAGTAGGGAGGAGTCGGGCAACTATAGGCCAGTAAGCCTTACTTCAGTAGTGAGGAAAGTAATGGAAACCATGTTAAAGGATAGGATTGTTAAACATCTAAAATCAAGATTTCAAGAACAGAGACAACATGGGTTTACTTAAGGGAGATCATGCCAAACTAATCTTATTGATTTTTTTGATTGGGTAACTAAAATAATAGATCAGGTTGGTGCAGTAGACATTGCTTACCTAGATTTCAGTAAGGCTTTTGACACTGTTGCACATATAAGGCTTATCAATAAACTGCAATCTTTAAGTTTGGATTCCAATATTGTTGAATGGGTAAGGAAGTGGCTGAATGACAGGCAACAGAGGGTTGTAGTCAACGGAGTATATTCGAAGCATGGGCTTGTCACCAGTGAGGTACCTCAGGGATCTGTACTTGGACCCATTCTCTTTAATATTTTTATTAGTGATATTGCAGAAGGTCTTGATGGTAACGTATGTCTTTTTGCGGATGATACTAAGATAGGTAACATGGTTGATGTTCCAGGAGGGATAAGCCAAATGGCAAATGATTTAGGTAAACTAGAAAAATGGTCAGAGATGTGGCAACTGACATTTAATATGGATAAGTGCAAGATAATGCATCTTGGACATAAAAACCTAAGGGCAGATGAGAGAATATTTGATAGAGTTCTAATGTCAACATCTGAGGAAAGGGATTTAGGGGTGATTATTTCTGATGACTTAAAGGTAGGAAGACAATGTAATAGAACACCAGGAAATGCTAGCTGAATGCTTGGTTGTATAGGGAGAGGTATTAGCAGTAGAAAGAGGGAAGTACTCATACCATTGTACAGAACACTGGTGAGACCTCACTTGGAGTATTGTACACAGTACTGGAGATCGTATCTCCAGAAGGATATTAATACTTTAGAGAGAGTGTTCAGAGAAGGGCTACTTAACTGGTTCATGGATTGCAGGATAAAACTTACAAGTAAAGGTTAAAGGATCTTAACATGTATAGCTTGGAGGAAAGACGAGACAGGGGGGATATGATAGAAACATTTAAATACATAAAGGGAATCAACACAGTAAAGGAGGAGACTATATTTAAAAGAAGAAAAACTACCACAACAAGAGGACATAGTCTTAAATTAGAGGGACAAAGGTTTAAAAATAATATCAGGAAGTATTACTTTACTGAGTTGGTAGTGGATGCATGGAATAGCCTTCCATCTGAAGTGGTAGAGGTTAACACAGTAAAGGAGTTTAAGCTTTCGTGGGATAGGCATAAGGCTATCCTAACTATAAGATAAGGCCAGGGACCAATAAAAGTATTTAGAAAATTGGGCAGACTAGATGGGCCGAATGGTTCTTATCTGCCATCACATTCTATGTATGTGTCTGTGAGTGTCAGTATGATTGTCAGTGTATGTATCTGTGTGTTAGTATGTCTGTCAATGTATGTGTTTGTGTGTCAGTATGTCAGACAGTATATGTATGTGTGTGTGTGTGTGTGTATGTGAATATAGTCAATGTGTTTAACTGTATGTAGTCAGTGTGTGTATTTGTACGTAGTCCATGTGTGTATCTGTGAATCTGCATGTGTGTCAGTGTGTGTATCTGTTTGAGTATCTGCATGTATGTCAGTGTGTGTATCTGTTTGTCTGTATCTACATCAGTATGTGTGTCTGTGTGTATATCTGTGTATCTGCATGTGTTTCAGTGTGTATATCTGTGTATCTGCATGTGTATCACAGTGTGTGTGTGGCAGTGTATGTGTACATGTATCTACATCTCAGCATTCAAACGTCAACACTACACACAAATACACCCCTGCATTCAAACATCAACACTACATACAAACACACCTCTGTGTTAAACACCAAAATTATATATAAACAACTCTGCATTCAAAAACCAACACTACACATAAATGCATGCTTGCATTCAAACGCCAATACTGCATTCAAAAGTCAACACCACATACACACACCCCTACATTCACACAAACATACTCCATAGAAAACATGCTTACATTCACACACACAGACACTTCTCAGTGCTACATACAACCCTGCAAGCATGGGAAACTGGTATTGCACCAGGGCCCTTTCTACTTTAGTTCTGCCACTGCGTTGGGGTGGAGGGCTTGATTGCATGCAGGGCAGAACTAAAGTAGGGGACCGATCAATCTTAAAGACGGCCCTGCTCATATTGACCCATAGCTTATTACTAGCAATGACCAGCCACCACATGATTAACCCTTATACCACCTAGGGTTATCTAACTGCCTGCCCGCTGGTTGCTAGCCCTGCTAGTGGGCAAATAATACATAAAGTCCTCTTTCACTTGCAAAAAGAAAGTAAACAGCAATTTGTGAATTTGCATCCTGCTGGATTCAGTCCACAGACACACATGCTCACTACAGACAAGCTCACTGACACACATAAAGACAAGCTCACTTACTAGCAGACACACACACAATCACTTTCATGGTCTGAAGCTGACCTGGCACTGGGAGGTGAAGTTGTCATTCTCTTGCCTCTTCCTACCGGCGTTAAATGACACATATACCTTAATTTCTAGAGGATGGAAAGTATGATGCTTAAAGCGGTGTAGCTGACACATCCCAATTGCAATTCTAAAAATGCATTTATTTGGGGGAGGTGAGAGTGTTATTGGTATTGCTAGTGAAATATGGCTAATTCGATTATTTTGCCCTGAAGTATATGTGATGTATCTAATTGGAATTTCAGGGGGATTACAAGTATTTCCATATGGATCTTCCATATAATGGCAAGGTTCTACTTTCTCGGCCTCTAGACTACGAAAGCAAACAGGAACTGGAGATTGTCATTTATGCTGTGGTGAGTGAGTTTATGTTTTAATAGACCAGGACACAAATCTAAACAAAGGCTGTATTGCCATCACCTAAAAAAGGACATTTAGTTATGTATTTATCTTCACTTGTCATCATAATTGAAAGAGAAGGAACAAGTACATTGCTAACTTAAAAATACACATGTACTAGAAGAATTGTCTGGTAAGATACTATTCACAAAAGAATAGTATAAAGAAAGCCCAATATATATATTGCATGTTAAAAACACAGAAATGAATATTAGAATTACAGATAAAAGTTAACTGGTACATCTAGACTATCTTTTTCAGCTCTTCAGAAGTAATTTCCTCTGACACTTATGCAGACAAATCATACCTCTTGAAGTTACCACTAAATTTCCTTTCAGGTTATGTCTCTTTAATCTCTTTATACAGAAAGAAATAATGAAAGGAACACTCTTGTCCTATATTAATATTTACATTATTTCACAAGGCTACCTAGTGTCAACATATTCCACTTCAGTGTTTTATCTGACACAAAGACTTATGAAAGCTTAGATGCCTTATATGATAGCTTCTCTGCATCTTTTCTGGAGCTGGAGGACTGTGACATTATCTGACACACAACACTTTTTACAATCCTTCCCATTCCTTTTTATTGGATTTGGTGGTCACAGAGTGATGTCTAATTAAGGCAAGACTCTTGGGTTTTAATTACCCTCCTATAATTGTTTCTGACATGATCCTGTCAGTCACCCATCTTAATTAAACCCTCCCCTGAAGCCTTACTAACTGATCTCTAATGATGTGTGTGCCAGCTGTTCATTCCAGACTAAATACTGACCATTACAAATGTCCAATTGGCAAGACTAAGTCAGTTCGCTAGATTGTTGAGTGGAAACCTGTAAATGTGCTACAATGCAGACTATGCTGGCATTAACCTACCCATCTGTGAAAGCCACAGACAGAACTTTAAAACACTTTATAAAATATACCATATAAAATAAAAAGTAAACAACATCATACTCAAATCTTCCTAGAGAGAGGGGATATCAAACTGGAAAGGGGATTCATTATTTACTGTGCATGTTTGATCACATTGATGGATACTTGAAGTAGAACAAGACAGGGATAACTTACCAAAGTCACAAAATTATGTTTTACTCTGGTCACATCTCAATTCAAAGTGTCCTTTTCTTTTTTTCTTTGTAATTGTAGCACTGAGTATGTGATTGTTGTTTTAGACATATGTGTGCTTGTTCTGCTTAAAGGAACACTATAGCTTTAGGAATACAAACCTGTATTCCTAATGCTATAATGTTCCTGTCCCTACGTTTGTAGCCCCTACTGTTAAAGGATTAAAAAAACATTTTTTTTAAACCTTAACTCTTTCCAGCCCCCAAGGCTTCCTCAGATCTGGCTAGGCAACCTCTCATGCAACGTCATGACCATGGTGGTACATAATTCACATGTGCGTGAGGGAAGTGAACACATTCAAGCTTCCTGATAGGAAAGAATTGAATCAGTGCTTTTCTAGGGAGAACATAGAAAATGTTAGATGTCCTCATACGAAGCTTGAGGATGTCCAACATCTTATAGGGGAGTAAACATCTGCTATGAATCCAAAAGCAGCTCTAGTAGTGGTCATGGAGACAGCCTCCAGAGGTGGAGTTAACTCTGCAAGGTAAGCGTTGCTTTTTCTCAGAAACGGTTTTACATTGCAGGGTTCAACAGAAACAGGCACTGCATCCAGACCACTTCAATGAGACAAGTGGTCTGGGTGCCTATCATGTCCCTTTAATAATCAATAGTTAATACAGTACTACATTTACATTGGCAAACTCCCTTCATGTCTCAGATGCAGATTAAATGAATATCAAAAATCACTGAGTACATTTATCACTTCAACTTGTTCTTAAAGTGAACTGGCCATGACAAATACAGGTTTGCAGTTTTCTAACCATCCAGCTTGACTTGTGTTATACAATTAAGTGTCTTTTCCCTTAATACTATTAATGATTCCAATAATGAGTTATTTCCATTACTCATGTCATGTTTTCAGTGGGTGTTACACTTGCTGTAAGACATTTCTCTCCTGCAAACCACTGTTTGGAAAACACAACACTTTATATTTGCTTTGTATAAATAAAACATACCTGTATTCTCTCTCTCTCTGTTCTCTGATTGCCTGTTCAAAGCTGCTGCAATAAATCATTCTAGCTCTTTCTTCATGTCTCACACAGAGCCTGCCCCTCATCCCTACTTCCCCTTACAGACATTGCTTTCTCTTAGGTTGAATTCAACCAGGATTGATGACAAAAAGGAGGGTTTATCTGCTAACAGACATGCAGAGCACAGCCGTCTTTTCTCTGTGCTGATCAGTACAGGTTCGACCCAGAACTGGTTTTAACCTCTGATCTTAGAGATATGTTGACAATTCTTCTAGCATAATGTATAGACAAAATGTGTTTCTCTATCATTTGGATTAAGTTGCATTTGTCAGGTACCCTTTAATCTTTATTGACAAGGATAAAATATTATTGGCTTCAATTTTTAATAGAATTAGTAAAACCCATTTTTTCAGTTGTTCTATAATACTTACTGACATAAATTCAGCAAAATTAGTTTACTACAATCTTCAGGAGGTATGGGGGTCTCCATTCCATGTATAGTGTTTGATTTCCGAGGCTGTAATATCAACGTGATATCACTGAAACTAGCATGGGGTATAGACTAAGGAGTTATAATCTACTGCTGTAAACCAAGAATTGTAGTATGATGGCAGTCAGTCTTGAAATGTATATGAACAAGAAAACCTGAGAAATAATAACTGAGAAATTATCAGTAATTTTTTCCTATATTGTGCAGTAGGTTTGTGTTTGAAAACAAAGTCAAACTACTACTGTATTTGATTTGCACTGGTTTTTGTTCGTGGTTCCAACCTTGTGTCCAGATTAGTAGTATTATTTGTTGTTGTTTTTTTTTTTGTTTTTTTTAAGTGACTTTTGTCTTTCACATTTTTGGCTCTGAGATTCTTAAGCATGGCTCATATCACAGACTATATTTGTATTACTATAATATAGTGCACATTTATTTCATGCAATTGACTGCTTTTACACAGTTTGGGAATAAATAGCAGCAATTTATACCACCATATTTAATGTATTAAATAGTTAATACATTTAGCCATTAGCATCTCTACTGCAACTTCCAGTAATGACACTTATCTGTAATCTTCTGTAATAGTATTTCCCATAAACCATTGTCCTGGGATAGTCACAGGTCTTGACAGGGTCAGGTTGGGGCTTTTCTATCACCCTTCAACTCACGGATTAGCAGCTTGAGCTTACAACATGCTCTTTGGTGGTATTATAAGAGATACAAACTAATACCCAGTTGTAGAATATAATAGCAATACTGACCAATGAGCACTCCTCACAGAAATAGAAGATAATGAGCATGGCAGAGAAATTCTATTCATTATACCGTGAGTGCAGATCAAGGAAACGGTCTCTCTAGGGGTGATAGAAATAGAGTCGACTTTTTTGTGTATTATATATTGCTCCTACTTTTGGGCCAACTTCAAATAACTAATTCAGGAATACTATGTATGCATGTTTTATCATATTTAATAAAAACATAATTTTATAAGGAATCATGCTGATATTTATATGGCTAAGGTCACTGATCCTATTACATCGAAAAAGCCTACAAATTTAGGATGTGGAAGATAATGCAAGTGTGGAACATTGAAACTATGGAGTGGCGTAAAACAGTAACATAGCAAAATACTATCATCATCAATAACTTTGCTAAATACAGTCTATGCCACAAACCAAGGTAGGTTGGTGAAGTACTTACCAGGGCTGCAGTAGGAGTAAGATACTGAAACAGAGGAAAGTCAAACACAGTTACAGTATCCAGATATTCCCATGTTATTCTACAGCTCTGAACAATGGGTAGACAGGCACGGCAAAAGACAGTTTGTGATAAAATTATTTGCAATGACGGTCCTTTGCAAAGAAACGTGCGCATGAATTCCCTTGGACTTTGACAGTTTTTGTGATAATGGTGTTTTTCCCACATTATAAATGGGTGATCTTATACATATCCCACAGGAAATGACCACCAGAGAGCGCCAGAGAACATCAGCAAGAGTTCGAGTGTTTGTACTGGATGGAGATGACCAGTATCCACAGTTTCTTCCATGTCGATACATGTCACATGATGGTCTTAACGTCTGTGTCAGCCCTACATATACGGTTAATATAACTGAAGGGGAGGAACAGGTGGGTGCTATGTTTACCAACACAGATTGGATGTCACTTTCTGTGTCGGCAGAGTACATATTATCAGAGTGGCAGTAAAACTTTTTAATCCGTTAAGGACAAAGGCAATTTCTGAACCAAAACAAAGCCTAGAATTAGTGCCATTAGTTTGTTTCACCATAATTTAAGAGGATCTCTTAAATTGCATCCATAAATATTATATATTGTTTCTTAAAGAAAAGATATGGATTTATTTTACTATCCTATATTTATACATATCTAAACAATAAGTATGGATAAAATGTTAAAAATTTTAAAAAATATTGTTTTTCACAGTTTGTTTTAAGCTAATTTTAACACATTAAGTGCAACTAAAGAAAAATGAATTGACATATCAGTCCTAACCATTAATTTCTCATATGTATGGGATCTAAAAAAAAAAATGTAGGCTTTGAGTGCTTAAATTTGGGAATAATGAAAGGGTTTCTTTAGGTTTTAAGGGGCTTCAATTTAGGGTTAGTGAAAAGGATGCTTAGGACATGTGGAGTTTGAAAGGATATTTGCATAGTAATCGCCCTCCTATGTCTTCTGTAGTCTAGTCAGCCTTCTTTGATTGATTGCTGAGCTGCAGTACCTTTTACATAGTGTGCAGCAGTCAGCGCTATCCTATGATATACAGTGTGCATCAATCATTGATGTTCCTGCACTTCCTGTGTAAGAGGCTGTTAGTGGACAGGAAATTATCTCTTCCACTTCTTGTCTAGCCTCACACACAGACACTGAAGGCACTAGGACGGCCTCTAAGAAAAATCCTGCAGTTCTACTTTCAAGCATAGAAAGATGGTGGGGCTATAGAGGACACTTGCTCGGGCTCCTGGTAGTTATCTCCCCACTTAAGCTCCAAAAAGGCACATTATAAGTGCTGAAAACAGGCGCCCCCTAGAGAACATGCACCTGTAGGCAGGTGCGTACTCCATCTAATGAGGAATATGGCCATTAACCATTGCCTTACCCCAATACTGGAACACGTGAGTGATTCTTTATATTTTTACAATTTACAAGCATGCAGCACTATATATATTTTATCCTCCACAGCACGACATGCGATGTCTTAATGTCCTTAAAGGGTTACAACTAGCCTCAACATGTACTTGTATCTTGTTAAAAATATATACTGGGTGTATCTCACTAATCTCTGTACGGTCAGACAGGGCCTATAATATTCTCCCCGGGCCCCATCTTTGCTGAGGATGGTGACAGAGGAATAATGGCTCCAATCTCATACTCCTTTCTTTCAGGTAAGATAATTAATTTAGAATGCAATGCATATTTTTTTCAAAAATATATATCAGTCATAGTTTTGGAATAAGCTCAATCTATTCGACTACCACTCTGTATTACATTTTTCAAAAATGATCTGTAGGCAGAGAATATTCAGGAATTTTCACGTTCCTTTGGAGGGGGAATAAGAAAACCAGGAAGGACGTATCTCTTTACAATGTAAATAAACAGTGTTCCACACTCAATTTAAAAGAAACATTTATATATAAATCAAGAGCATATGTGATGTACTTTGAAAAAGTCAAAGTAATCAGCTAATTACAGTGCAGTAAAGTAACAAGTTCACCAGCAAAATGCACGCAAGGGAGAGACGTACAGTAGAATTGCAGTAAATTACTCCAAGTTTACAATTGTATTGTAAACACTATGCAATATCTATGTCTAAGCCCTTCTTTGGGTATGTATCTGTATGTCAGAGTTCTAAACTATTGCCCCCTATTGAACTAATGGAAAGCAAGTATGACAATGTGTTTTTTTTTTCTTTCAAATGTTCTACTATGACTTTCTTTTCCCACTTACAACTATTCAGGTCCTGACAGTGACAGATTTTCCATAGACAATGTGACAGGAGTTGTTTTCCTGATACATACTCTGGAGAGGAGACAAAATGCCTCTATCCTCAGCCTGAAGGTTATGGTTGGTATTCACAATGATCAAATCAGTAGCTGCTGGCTGTTTGTGATATATGTATATCTCATGAGTTTCTAACAATCTTTTTTTTTTTTAGTACTACTCTAAACAAAACAAACTAATTATGCATGCATATAAATTCACTTACGATATTAATAATAGTATTATAGTAGTATTTTTAGAATTCATACATAGTGAAACAACAAATACACACAGGTCTGCCGCCAGCGGGTGACAACCATGACAGTTGTCACGGGTCTGGCGGTACTGGGGGGCCCCCCATTCCCAATGTGCACACATATACGTAGCTATTATCACTATATATGTGCCTTGGCAGCGGTGGAACTACCTCCGGTGCAGTCGATGTGGCTGCATCGGGGGCCCGCATGCTTTCTAAACCAAATCTTTTAATGGTTTACCCTACACTCAAACCCAGGGCAAACAACAGCAAACATGATAGCAACTTAGTATTGGTCAGGCCGAATGGGACATTTTAAGCACCAAAATAACATTTATGGAGTGGCTTTAGTATAGATTATGCCCCTTCAGTCACACTCCTCAATAACGTGCTAATTAGGAGTTAAATCACTTTGTTTCAGAAAAACAAACTTGCACAGTCTGTAGCTCTAGCCAGTGGCACACCACCCCGGTATGTGACTCTCAAAGCCCATCTAGATACTTCCTGAAAAGGAGTCTAAATTTGAATTTAGAATTCCTTATCTCGTGCTATGTGAATTATCTACTGGAGCCTGCAACAGTGTCCTGTGCATGATTAAAGTGCAAATAACAGAGAAAGAGATAAAAGCTTCTAAAGTAAACATACTGTATAATAAGGTAAAATTGTAATTCTTCATTCATGGAGCCTGTGTGTCACAGCCAGAAAAGATATGGCTAGGGCTGCATAAACAAAGTGATTTAATTCATAAATGGCAGACAATTAAGCAGTGGGACTGCAGGACCATCAACTATAGAACTTTATTAAGCTAAATTTGTGGTGCTTAGAGTGTTCCTTTAATGTATAAATGAAAGAGAATCAGTCTGCAAGCAGACAGAGAACAAACTGGTCCAGACAAAAGTTCTATAGGAGAGTGTCATAAGTGACCAAAATGATGCCAGCTGCTTTGATTCCCAAAATAAAAATTTAGCAAGTCAGAATGACTGCAATAAGCCACCAGAGTAGAGCAGACCACATCTGAAAGGACACCAGAATGACACACGACACCATGCAACTGAAGTTCAATGAAAAAGCATGTGACGATGTTTTGGTCACCCATTGTGACCTTTGTCAAAAAATTTCCTGACTTGACAAAGAGCACACAGTGTGACCAAAACCTTGTTACTAAGTTTAAAAAATATATATATGTTAATATACGGTAAAGGTTCAGGTAAATATACTGTAAAAACTTTGACCTTATTTAATTTAGAGCAGCAATGAACCTAATTTGAAAGGACACTTCAGCTAAAAAACATTGTTTTAATAAAAGTTACCCTTTAATCATTATGATGGTTATGAAAGCTCAGAGCAGGAAATTAATTTCATCAAACTTACCCCATTATGAAAAAGAAATCTATACGTATTTTGTGATAAATGTATTTCCAGGTGAGTAGAATTCATTGTTGCGTTCCTTAATTCAGTATTACTATTTAATGTTGATTCCCTCTTTTGGAGTTGTGTGCATTCTTGTTGTAGTGATTCTTTCCATTTATTTATAGAAAATTGTGATCCTAATCATGATTGTAATATAACATTGCTTACATTACAGGCTTCACAGGTTGGTGATCCCCGAAAATTTTCCTTGGCTGAAGTAGTGGTGCGAATTTTGGCAGTCAACAAGCATGCCCCACGTTTTGGTTTTGCCCAATACCAAGCCTTTGTGCAGGAAGATCATAGTCCTGTGGCCCTTGTCAGCACTTACAATGGCCGAGTGCTCTCACTAATGCCTTTTGATGGAGATTTCCCAGATGTAAGAAATGTATTTTTATAATTATTAATATTTATAAAGTGCAAAAAAATTCTGCAACGCTGTACAATGGGTGGAATAATAGAAAAGTATTTGTAACCACACCAGTTGAATGCATAGGAACAGACAGGGTTGAGAGCCCTGCTAAAATGAGCTTAAATTCCAGAGATGCCACTTCCACCAGTTGACATGTGTTTCCAGAAATGTTTCTTTTTGCATATTTACTTTTGTTCTTTACTTTTCTTTGCTTTCCTGTTCTGATATTTTCAGGGAACAAATCCAGAGATTCATCTTAGTCTGAACTTCCTGGCCAATGACAGCCAGCTTTTTCAGCTCACACAGAGTGGCCTACTGATAGCCAAATCCAACAAACTGCAGTCAACAGAAACGTATCCCCTTCAGGTAATCTACCATCAATAGGTGGACACAGAATGTATTTTTTTTTTCTCAATTTGTCAACGAATTTGCCTTTTATTTTTTGCTGCCCATCTCCACACCATGAATTGAGGTGTCTGCCCAGACCCCTACCGCTAAGGGTTCTAGTGCTAGCACAATAAGGAGTGGGGATAGTGAGCATCCCTGTTGGGTTCCATGTGAGATTTTAAACTGGTCCAGAAGAAAGCCTGCATTAAGCACTTGGCTGCGGGTTTTGGGTACAGTGCCCTGACCGCCAAAAGAAAGATCCCCGGAGCACCAATTTTGGCAGCACCGTTTCCAGAAACTTCCAGTTCAGACGGTCAAAGGCCTTCTCTGCATCGAGCGATAGGAATAAACCTTTGCGATTAGTGGTACGGAGGTCGTGTAAGATGTTCAGCACTTTACACGTGTTATCTGAGCCCTGTCTCCCTTTGATGAATCCAACTTGGTTGTTGGGAATAATTTCAGGCAATATGGGTCCCAGTCAAGTGGCAAAGATTTTTGCAAATATTTTGGCATCTAAGTTTAAGAGGGAAATTGGCCTTAAATTTTGGGGGCAGGTTGGCGACTTGTCTGGTTTTGGCAGTGTGACGACATGTGCAAGTAAGATTTCAGGTGGTAGTGATTGGGAGGTTATTGCATTGTTAAAGAGCAGAGTCAATTGTGGGGCTAGCTTGTCTTGAAATTTTTTGTAGTAAGAATTAGCAAATTCGTCGGAATCGGGTGATTTACCTGCGGGTAGAGATTTAATGGTGAGCTTGACTTCAGCTACTGTTATTGGTGCCGATAGGTCTGTTTGTTGTTTTTGGGTTAGTTGTGGTAATTGTAAATTATTTAAATAGCTTATGTCTTCCTGTGTAGGTTGATGGGGCTTTTTGGGTCTTGGCTCAAATGATATAAATTTGAATAGTAGGTAGAGAACTCATTACTAATGTCTTTTGGGGATATTATTTTGTGGCAATTCCGTGATGTTAAGTAAGCGATTGTTTGGGTAGCTTGTATTTGTTTAAGTCTGTTGGCAAGTAATATCCCTGCGAGTAATGTGTGGCCTTCATCTTTCTTAAATGGAATCCTACTTGGTGTAGAGCTTGTTGGTGGATGTTCTGTTTAATTTGGGACTGTAAGTCCAGTGATGGGTTTAGTTGGTGGCTTGTCGTTAGTTTGTACAGCTCTTTTTGCCATTGTAGTAGCTGATCTTTATTTTTGTGTGTAGGTAAGACGCCCTTTTGATGAGTACACCTCAAATAACTGCCTTATGGGCTAGCCATATTGGGTGGTTTGGTAGGTCTGAGATCTAGTTATCCGCAAAATATGTTTACAAATCTGTAATGAGTGACTTTGCAAATTCACGGTCGTGTAGGAGGGACTCATTGAGTCACCATGGGTTGCGGTTTTTATAGTCATACATGTCTTTCAGTGTCATAGTAATAGGTGTGTGGTCAGACCATTATTTGCCCTATCAAGCAGTCCAGCACTTGGTTTAAGTCCGAGCCTCTCACCAGGAATCTGTCAATACTTGAGTATGTATTGTGGCCTGAAGAGAAATAAGTATATTCTCTATCGCCAGTGTGGGTTGTTCTCTATATGTCATACAACTGGTGTGTCGATAGACGTTTAACAAGGGCATTGCATTGTCTTTTTAATGGGCGGTATCTGGGGCTCTGAGGAGATAGTGTAGTGTCTAGGCTGGGGTCTAACACATGGTTAACATCTTCGTATATTATCAGAATACCTTGTTGAACAGAGTTAAGTCTCTGGAGGACTTTATATAGGAAATTGCATTGCTGTGCATTGAGTGCGTAAATGTTGGCTATGATGTAGAGAACATTGTTAAATTTACCAATGATTATTGAAAATCTCCCTTCCCTATCAAGCTCCTGTGACAACAGTTCAAATGCAATCTGCTTGCCAATCAGTATCAGCTAAGATAGTCAAATAAATGTTATAGGTTGTATTAGACCTTATTCTAATCAAAAATGTGATTCATAAAAGATATAAAAGGTTATATAATAAAAATACAAGCTCAGTAAAAGATAAAATTAAAACAATAATAAAGCAATGCTATTGTGATTTAATTTGATCTTTTACTGACCTTGTACTTTTATTATTTAACCTTTTATATCTTCTATGAATTTATTTTTTGATTAGAATAAAGTCTAAAACAACCTATAACATTTGACTATCTTGGCTGTCATTGCATCTCATTGTTTTAGCGTCCTCACTTTTATAGTCACCGTCTACTATTTGTTTATTATAGGCTTTTTGGAGTGTGCCTATCGAGTGGCTGCTTTCTGTGTTGAGATCCTTATATATGGATCTACCCCCCATTATATGCCAATCCGTATCGACACCTCTGGGCTTGGTGGGGGAAGTGTAGTGGAATTGGTGTGGATAGGCAGTGGAGAGAATTGTTGGGTGTGCACCAGTTTTGAAATGGGTATCTTGTAAGCAGACCACGTCTGCGTTTTGCATTTTAAAGGTCTCTTCCTAGGTGGTGTCTCTGCACTGGAATGTTTAACCCCTGTACATTGTGGCTGTATATTTTCATGGGGGTTCAAAGGGAAACATAGTAATAAACAATAACCAGTACAATGAAATTACTAAAGGCATCGCCCTTCCCAGCGGCTTTGCTTCGAGCCAAGCGATATCTCCTCTCAAGCCTTTCCCCACACCTCCCTCGGCCAACGTGCATTTTCACGTCCTGTGATATACTCATGCTATGTCCTCTCCGGAACTTGGGCCCTTGCAAAAGTGGATTTAAGAGTAGTTCGGTAAAGGTTCGGTAACTGGTAGGTTGATTTGTTGCATTACTTTATAGGTCATTACAAAATAACAAGAAGAAAGGGGAAAATAGCATAACCAAAACAAGGAAACATACTGAGCTATTGTATTTGACATAGAATGTATCTATAAAATTATAAAATAAAAAAAAATAAACCACTTTCCTTTACTTATCTTCATTATATGCTGTACAGGAAAATTTTATAGTTTTTGATATGTTTGTTAATGATTATATATTTTGTGTTACTATTTTGGCACTATGTTTGTTCACAGGTTATTGCAAGGGACAGAGAGTCTGGGGAAACCGCACATTGTATGGTGTATGTAAATGTCTTGGCTCGTGGTCAAGCAGGTATGTAATAAAAGGAAAGTGTATCTTTACAGGCTTTATGCCCTTCTAAAACATTCTTCATTACTCATCTAAACATTTAATCAGGATGTTCAGTCTACTAAATTCTACCTCTTGGTGTGTGTCTCTGGGTAAAATAAAAAGTGTCATAATTTAAACTTTAAAATGTTCTTCCTTTTACATTTATTAAACATACCAATTTTACCACACTGTGACCAGGGCTGGATTTTCATCTCAGGTGCAAGTTTCACAGGTGCTTTAACATCCTACTCACCTCCCAAAAAACTACAACTCTATTGGCCATGAGACTGTCAGCCACTATATGCTGCTCCTTGAAACCTTCAACAATTCAGCATGACACTACTGAATGCATACAATACGTCTCTATGAAAACATGCATCCAGCAATAACCTCCAACTGAACATTTTCCAGTGTGTTAGCTATGTTATCCCTATTTCCATATTCTTATATGTCACTCACATTAACACTGTATTTTCCAAGCATAATTTATCCAAAAAACCATGCTAGATACTGTGTGAATAGTTACTATTTTTAGTAGTAGGATAATTTGCCAGCCATTATCTTTGGTGATATGCATCATTATATTTTTATGGTATTATCCACTTCATGTGTTGTACTCTGTTTAACATCTTATACTTTTGTTCTTAGACATCTATATGTTGTGGTTCTAAGAATAGGGCTTCTCTAAACTTCAAAGTTGAATATATAAATGATCAGTACACCTATGTAATTTTTAGAGTTAAACCCATGAGTGGGTTACAGGTAAAAGGCAAACCCTTGCAAATCACCATTGCCAGAGAAAGCCTGACGATAGAAACAGGGTCCAAAAGGAGTTTGTGGTAGCACAGTGATTTTATTAAATAATGCAATAGAAGAAACATCCAGGGATATCTTGTCAGTACATCAGAGCTAGTGAGAGATGCAGCAGGATATCTGCCAGGGGTCAAATGTAGACATAGGTAGGACAGAAAATGGAAACTGAAATATAGAAATGATCCAAGGGAAGCAGGACTACTAGCATCAGGGATGCACAATAACAAAACAAGATGTTGTGTGGTTTTATAAGTGGAGACTGACATGTGCATTGCCAGGAACGAACTACTCGATTACCTAGTGCAGGGGTGCCCAAAAAGAAAATCCCCAGATGTTTTAAAAAAAACAGAAATTTTTACTTACAGTAAATTCTTTTTTTCTTAATATGGTGGCAGTACCTGTGGGTTGTGCCTCCTTAATTGGGACAAGCATCTACAAGATATGAGTTAATTAAAAGTCTCTTCCCTTTATCCCATAAAGAGCTTCCCCCGGCAAACCCACCTTCAAAGCAAGAAAAACACACCACACAAGTCAAATACAACAAGTATTGTCTGTTGATGTAAGAGACCACTGTATTGTTGTCTGACTGTATTCTTACAGGCCTCTTTTCTATCCAAGATCTGAATCGGTGAAGAACTGCCTTCAATTCTCTGTAATTTGTTGACCTGTTTATCTTCTGTGGACCAAGTACCTTGGCACATTAACGAATTTAGATGAGCGCCCCAGCCTACGTTTGACACATCTGTGGTGATGGCCACCCATTCTTTTGGTCTGAAGGTCAGACCTGCTGAAAGGAAACTTGAAGTTTTCCACCAGTTTAACTGAGCTTTCACCTAAAGAGATATCTGGAGATACAAATCTAAGTCAGTATCCAACTGTGTTCCTGAAACACTTGTTTGTGAACCTTTTCCAACAGTAAACTTCTGGAACTTGCTATAAGCAGCCAATCGTCCATGTAGGGAATGAGCTTGACACCCTGCCCCCTTAGATAAGCTGCTACTGGCCTAAGAACCTTTGTATATATTCTTGGGGCTGATGACAGACCGAAATGGAGGACTTTAACTGGAAATGTAAAATCTCTTTTCCCCTTTTTATGGCGAATCTAAGGAATCTTCTTGAGGTAACTGCCATAGGGATATGAAGGTAAGCATCCCTGAGATCCTGCTTCACCATTAAATCTCCTTTCCGAAGTAATAGTTTCCATTCTGAAACTTTGGGTTTTTTTAAATCTAGGATCGACCGAAAGGAATGGTCTGGTTTCGAGATTAGGAAGAGTCTTGAGTAGACCCCTTGGAATTCCTGGGTCACTTGAACCTTTTTCTTTTTTTCTTTTTTTTTAATAGCAGAACCGTTTCGTCAAATAGAGCTTCTGATTTTCGGGAGGATAGATAAAGCGAAATGAGGAATTCTGGTTTGGGCAGGTTTGGAAAGTGCAATCTGTACCCTCTTTTCACCAGATTTAGAATCCATGGATTGCTTGTAGTTTCTTCCCATATTTTGAAGAAATGCTGGATTCTGCCTCCTACTCTCTTGGTGTCAGAAACGCCTACCTTTGTCAGATCTATCCCCTTTTTTCTCCTCAAACCTCAGATTTTTTCCTCTTTTCTAAAAATAACAAGGCCTATTCTGGTAGGTTCTTTTATTCCTATACTGGAAATTTTTATAACCAGGCTTCCAATAAAATTTCCTGTCTTGAGGAAAGGCTTTTTTCGTCTCAGACATCTGTTTAATGATCTACTCTAAAGGAGACCCGAACAGCTTTTGTTTTTCCAATGGGAGTTCACAGAGGACCGATTTTGAGGCTGTATCCGCCGTCCAGGCTCTAAGCCAAACGGCTCTACGGCAACTGAAGATAAGCCCATGATTCTGGAAGCCAACTTGAGCACTTCATTCGTCATATCCATAATAAAGGTATTAGACAATTTCACATTTTATAGCAACCTAACCAGTTGCTTGTCTGGAGAGTCCAACATCATCTCCTCTAAAGATTGCAACCACAAGTTACTCTGGATACTGCTGCCCCTGCCAGCAAAGCTTTACATTGGAAACCAGCCGACAGGAAAGCACGCCTGCTATCCATAGGATTCCTTAAAGCTACTGCTTCCCCTATTGGAATAGTGGTCTTTTTAGAAAGCTGAGCCACCTGGATATCCACTTTAGGCAATTTGTCCCATTTAACATCATCCGTAATCTTGAACAATTCTTTAAAATTCCAGGAGATAAAGGCTCGCTTTTCCAGGTTTTCCATTCTCTGTAAATAAGGTCAACCAGGGCCTGAGGTACAGGGAAACCTTTCTTACACTTAGCAGTATCTTCCTGCAACAAACTCTGATTCACTTCCTTTGTGAATTTCCTAAGTTCATCAGGTGGGAACCCAGACTCTACACAAGATGATAAACTAGAGTCAGCAGTAGACGAACATTAGCCTGAAGATGTCAGAATTAGAAGAAGACCTTCTTTTTCCGGTTCTAAGGACCACCTAAGGCACGGCAGCAGAAACCTTATGTGACTCTTTAAACGAATTCAAAGTCTGAGCCAGGTTATCCTGAAACCAGGACAGGAACGATTGCATATCCTTTTGTTTGGATTTTTCCAAAGACATTGCTGCACATTGATTGCACACTTTATTCCTAGTGCCATCCGGTAGGGGGGTGGAACAATTATTGAAAACGAAATGTTTGGCTTTGGATGAGGCCTTCCTAGTTGCAGGAGTAGGCATGTCTTTATCCATTTGCTGAGGGCTAGACATATCTGAAACATAACAGAAATATACCTTTAAGACCCTAAACCGTGAAGGCGCCCCCTGACCCGCCCATAATTACAAAGCCGAAACATAAATACCTGAAAGGGCTCCAGGACCTCCATGGACAGAGCCATGCCGCTCAGCCTACCACCTGGGCAGCTATCAGGCTTCTTCCCCTAGACATCAACTTGTGTGCCTCACCTCAAATAGAAGCTTGATCTGTCCCGTGCTGGGATAAGAAAGAACTGTGGTGGGTTTGCCGGGGGAAGCCCTTTATGGGATTAAGGGAAGGGATTTTTTATTAACTCCAATCTTGTAGATGCTTGTTCCAATTAAGGAGGCACAACCCATAGGTACTGCCATGATATGCCAGAAAAATACAGCTTCCATAAGGCTTTTAACATTCTAACTCATTCTAAAGGGATGCAAAGCATCATAAGAGTTATAGTTCTACATCATCTGGGGATCTACCTTTTGGGCACCACTGGCCTAGTGCATGCTGCGTCACTTAGGGACGCAAGAGATTTTAAAATCATAGCTGCGTGTACATGTGGTGTCTTGACTGACAAGAGTCAAGACGCTACTGTCTGGCACCAGATGTAATGGATGCATTGTGATATGAGTAGAGCTAATGCACTTCAATCAATGGTGAAGTTCTTACCAGGGATTTCTTCGTTTTTTAATATATCTCCTTCAGGCGGATGTTTTACAGTGTTCATTTATGTTTCCCAGCTCCACGGGACCCATCAGAGCCACGGCCTATGTTTAATCTGCCAGACCTACCTCTTGTGGCAGGTGGATTGGGTGCTCTTGTGCTATTGTTAGGAGTCCTGCTTTATCTGTTTATTCGACTACTGAAGAGTCATCGACAGCAGCAGCAACAGATGAGTCGGACATCATTAGTAACAGAGAAAGACACAAGCGTGGTATGAAAATACATCTGCCTTAATACTAATCTGTTTTATAAAGTTTGTAATTACTAAAGTGCTAACATCGAATAAAAAAAAAAATTGCAATGCTCCGAGTACAGAATCTAAACTGGAAATAACTAGATTACATAATACAGGGCTTGAGAAATTTGTTTGAAATCCAGGAGCCAGCTAAAAAAAATTAGGAGCCAGATTTTTAAACGTCAAAAATACAATTCTAAAAGAGACACTATAGTCACCAGAACCACTACAGCTTAATGTAGTTGTTCTGAAATCTCTATACTGTCCCTGCACGCTTTGAAATGTAAACACTGACTTTTCAGACTAAAATTTACATTGTTGCCTGGTAACACCATTAGTGACAGTCACTCAAACGGCCTCCAGAAGGGCTCCCCCGGTCAGTTCTGCACAGTGTACAGCACCTACATTAATGCCCCCCGTAGGGATGTATTGATTCAATGCATCTCTATGAGAAAAAGTTAATTGCGCAGCATGGCGTTTTTCTGTGCATGCACAATAGTCTCCCAATGTTTTTCTATGGGGAAGCATTGGGTTGGCTCAGGTCATCATGATTGATGATCTCACCCATGCAAGTAGAGCCAGACATGGCATCACCAGCACAGCGTGGGAAAAGGGGCGAGTAAAAATACCTTTCCAATGTGGTTGGAGAGGGGCAGGTCACCTAAACACACACTCACTGACAAACAGACACACTGACTTGATACTCACACACACATTCACTGATTTCACACACTCACACACACTGCAACACTCACACTGATTCACAAATCATTACTTTTATTATTTTTAAATCCACCCAGCCTCTCTACCTATGGGAGAGCTAGAGTGGATTAGCTTTCCCAGAAGTCCAGTGGGGCTGCTGTCACCTCCCTGCTCTGCTCCCTAGACCGCTGTTTAGTGATGTGGGGCCGGAATTACGTCATATTCCGACTCCCAGCATCACTGGAGGGCGCACGAGGGAGCAGGGCTTATGCACGTCTGAGCTGGCAGGCAATCGGTCGGCTCATTGCCAGCCTCAGCCCTGCGTAAGCCAACTTCCCACCTTCAATCTCAGGCAGCCAGTCACCTCAGGCATTGAACAGGCTCATAAATCCCAGGCACCAGGACAAATCTTCTGGTCGCCAAGGCGACCTGGGATTTGTCAGACCTTGACATAACAGACAAATATTTATCAGCTATGCACTGGGCACGTTTATGATGGTTATCTAGCGGCTGACGGCACCACTAACCTTATTTAAATTTTTTACCTTTACTGCTGCTGTGAAGAGCTTGAAATGGTTCCAACCGGTAAGTTGTGAGAGAACATTGGTTTGATATAATATTTATTGTATGTAGTATTGTATCTTAAAGGTGGACTTGACTTTGAAACGTACCACGAAAATTAGAGGAAGCATACGTTAATGAAGCAGTTTTGTTGTATAGATTATGCTTCATCAGTCTCACTGCTCATGTCTGTGCCATTCAGAAGTTAGATCACTTTGTTTTTGCAGCCCTAGCAACACCTTTTCTGGCTGTGATTTATGCAGCCTACTTGAAAAAGGTGTCATTTCTACAGCATATTGATTTGTTTTAGATTGTATCTCTTGCTCCTTTTATTGAATTTTAATCACACAAAGGAGGCTACTACAGACTCTAGTATGCAACAAACATTCAAAATTTAACACAATGTGTGCAATAAAAGAAGCTACAAAAATTGCACTCTTTTTCAGGGATTGTGTATGGATGGGAGTCTCAACTGGGGTGTGTGCTATGGCTTAAAAAATAAAGTGAATAGACTTCCTCCCATCACTTGTGAAACCGCATTGGATGAGAAATCAGTAGCTGCAGCCCTGTATCCTGCATTAAAGGGTGAAAAAAAATGCCATGCGCTAAGGTTTAAATCCATATTTATAAAGGACGTTGTCAGTGGGTGGAGCCTAGCCGTCAAGCTGAGCAGACGTGTGGATCATGGGCTCCTGCAAAACAAGCAGATTTCTGGGGTTTAACCCCGGCCACCTAGAGTCTTAACCCACCGAGAGGCATCACTACCCTCAGGGGGCATGCGCACATTAGCCTGATCCACTGCGCTGGCCTGCTGCAATAGAGCCGGGGAGATGCGGCCGATCTTCCCGCTCATCAGCAACCGAATAGTCCTTACTCGCTCCTAACTCCTATGTTTATAGTGATCTATTCCTATTCTTGTTTTACATTTGATCTTTACTTTAAAACCTAGCCCCAGCGGTCTTATCCTACCTACTCGCCACCTCAAGACCACTAGTAAGGCAGGATACTTATAGTAACATGGTTCCAGTGGCCAACGCTTAAGCCAGATGCTCATATAGGCAAGTCTAATCTCTTGCAGCGAGCTTCGTTATCATATAGCCAGCAGCATCTGTAGAAGTGTAGTCAGCGTGCTTAAAGGACCACTATAGGCACCCAGACCACTTCAGCTTAATGAAGTGGTCTGGGTGCCAGGTCCAGCTAGGGTTAACCCTTTTTTCTATAAACATAGCAGTTTTAGGGAAACTGCTATGTTTATATTAGGGTTAATCCAGCCTCTAGTGGCTGTCTCATTGACAGCCGCTAGAGGCGCTTGCGTGCTTCTCACTGTGATTTTCACAGTGAGAGCACGCCAGCGTCCATAGGAAAGCATTGTGAATGCTTTCCTATGAGACTAGCTGAATGCGCGCGCGGCAGTGCATTCAGCCGAGAAGGAGGAGAGCTCCCCGTCCGGCACTGGAGAAAGAGGTAAGTTTAACCCCTTCCTCACCCTAGAGCCCAGCGGGAGGGGGACCCTGAGGGTGGGGGCACCCTCAGGGGACTATAGTGCCAGGAAAACGAGTACGTTTTCCTGGCACTATAGTGGTCCTTTAACTACACATTACTTAGCCTAGCTTGTTTGCATAGCTATACAGCTCACATAAGTTCACTCACTGTTTAAAAAACAAATGTGCATGTCATGTTTTCACTCCTCTGATCATCTCTCCTCGAAATTTATGCCTGGCTAACTTACTTAAAGGACCACTCTAGGCACCCAGACCACTTCAGCTTAATGAAGTGGTCTGGGTGCCAGGTCCAGCTAGGATTAACCCATTCTTTTATAAACATAGCAGTTTCAGAGAAACTATGTTTATGAATGGGTTAAGCCTTCCCCCAAAGCCTCTAGCGGCTGTCTCATTGACAGCCGCTAGAGGCGCTTGCGTGCTTCTCGCTGTGATTTTCACAGTGAGAGCACGCCAGCGTCCATAGGAAAGCATTGTGAATGCTTTCCTATGGACTGGCTGAATGCGCGTGCAGCTCCTGCCACGCATGCGCATTCAGCCGAAGAGGAGGCGGAGAGAAGGAGGAGAGCTCCCCGCCCGGCGCAAGGAAGGGTGGGGTCAGACAATAGCAAGGGCTGATGGGAGATTGAGGAGGGACAGGGCAGCTAGTTTAAACTGCTTTGGCAGTGTCCATGGGACAACGCCCTGCTGGGGAAACAATAGGACAGGAAAAAGGGGGGATGGAGAGATGCACAGACTAGCAATGCATTCAACATACCCTGCAAAAATAATAAGCACAATGTGACAAAACACAAAAGAGATTTGGGAGCCCACCCATAGTGTCTGTCTTTCATCCCCAGTGATGGTGACTACCGTCACAGCGGCCATTGTGTGGACGGAGCTGAGCCAGCGCCGAGGGACATCGGTGCTGGACCCAGGTAAGTGACAGAAGGGGCTATTAACCTCTTCTGCACCACGGTGGAGAGGGCCTTGACAGAGGGGGAAGCTATAGTGCCAGAAAAACAAGTTTATTTTCCTGGCAGTACAGTTTCTCTTTAAGCCCACCATGTCCTGTCTCATGGAATGGTTTGAATGCAATAGTTTACCTTCTGCAGCAGATAGTACAATGTTTAAGAAACATTCCAAACACATGCACTAAACGACATTAACTTAAAGGGGCACTGTAAGCACCAAAACAACATTAGCATTAGATTAACATTAGATAATACACCAACAGTTTGCATAGTGAGGGGCAGCCACCAGGCGACCGTCTCTAATGCTGGTGTACTGGCAGGGCCGGATTAACATAGCAGCATGCTAATTTAGCTCCAACTCAGCATCCCATGCCCAAATTTGACTCTTTCTCCTATATTACTCCTGGATAGTGCTGAGAAGAAGTGATACCCCATATCATTTTCTCCCAGCACTCTATGAAAACTGCACAAGAGGGAAATCCTGCACTAGCCACACAGCTGAATCTCTTTTGGACTCAAGGAAAGCCATCATTGGCGAGGGACCTGCAATCTGTCAGGGCCATGGATCTGGTTTATGGAGGGTCACATTAGTGGACTTGCCTCCAGGCACCTTGTGACCTAACTAGACCTCTGAATTAAGGAGTTAGTTCCTGTTTGTGCAGCTCTAGCCACACCTCTGCTAACTGTGACTCACAATCTCTGTGGGGGGTGGGAATGGTTTAATTTTAAGTAGTATATTACAGCATACTGTGTTTACTTTAAACGTTATTTTTTCCTGCTCTGTTAATCAGACTTTAATTATACACAGGAGGCTATTAACAGAGCAGGAGATAAGAATTTCTAAATTAAACACACTGTGCAATAAGGGAAGCTAAAAAAAAATGTAGACTCCTTATTAAGGAAGCGTGTAGGGAGGCTGTATGAGGATCTTCCAGGGGAGGTATGGCTAGGGCTGTGTAAACAAAGTGATTTATCTCTCTTTTGAGTTTAGTCCAACTGATTTAAACAACTGGGAAGTAACAGTACTAATTGTCTGACAGCTGGAGGGGTGGGGACACACTGTAGGCACCCAGACCACTTCTGCCCATTGGAGTGGTCTGGGTGCCAACTCCCACTACCCTTAACCCTGCAAGTTTAATTATTGCAGTTTTTTATAAACTGCAATAATTACCTTGCAGGGTTAACTCCTCCTCTACTAGAGGGCACTTCCGTGTCTATAGCACAGGTCGCTCAATTCCCCATAGGAAAAGCATTGAAAGCATTTTCATTGCTTTCCTATGGAGAGCTCTAATGCGCGTGCGCGGCATTGCCGCACATGTGCATTAGGTCTCCTCAGCCGGCGGGCGGGATCAGTCTCGCCCACCGGCTGACGTAAGGAAGAGGAGGAGCGGCGGCGAGGTCTCAGGTAAATGACTGAAGGGGTTTTCACCCCTTCAGCAACTTGGGGCGGGGGGTGGGAGGGAGAGGGTACCTGCAGTGCCAGGAAAATGGATTGTTTTCCTGGCACTGGAGTGTCCCTTTAACCATTGCTGCATCCATACCAACTTGCCACTGTACCTTCATCCATATCATTAATCTTGTGATTTCACGGTCATTTTAGACAGTTCTACATTCAAAGTCAATACTCTATTTCCTCACAATTAGGGTAATCAATGTGTGAATATTTGGATTATCAGTATATGAGTAATATCTTTTAATAGAGATTTTTATAACTCAAATTTAAAAGCAATGTGTTTTTTTGTTTTTTGTTTTTTAGGTGACTTCTAGCAAAGCTGCTTCACAGACAGAAGAACAGGGTTACCAAAATGCTGCTTATAGTGAGACTCCTGGAGAAGAAAGTACTCACCAAGAGAAGGGCCAGGGACCCCCAAAGAGTGGACAGAGCAAGGAGAGTAGTAAGACTGATGCACCTCCAGGGAAACAGAAGAGGGCACCAGCTGTAGCAGTGATATCTCCAGGCAACCAGTGTAGTGGAAGTTCTCCATGCATAAATAGGGAAAAGGCAGGTATGTGTCTTAAAATGACAACGGGGATGGAATCATGATTTGCAGCTACAACTTCTGTCCACATATTGTGGACTGTAATTGATGTTATTTAAAGGTGGGCTTCACCTTCAAGCTGAGGTTATGATGTGATTTACTGTGATGAGATCTCCAAGTGCCCATAAAAACACAATTTTAATGGCACTGCTATTGTTGTCCCTAGCCTCAGTATAATTATTTAGGGTTAAGGCATTATCCACATTATTAAGGGGGCACACCTACACCAGAGATGTTATGGACTGTAACAATAACTCTAGTTCAGGATGACCGTTTTATGGTCTCCAGTAGCACCATATGTAATGGCATGTTAGGGTGATCTTGATGTACACAGTACGTACATTACGTGCTATTATGGCTACCATTATCGCTACTATGCCTTTACTGCCCTGAGTGGGGCTCTTTAGCTGTGTCACTCCCCTTTGTGGTAAGACTTTACACTGCATCATTGTTACACTCCTTACTGATCCACCCCAGCGCATGTTATCCACAAGGGCTAGGGGGCACCTTCCAAGTGTCCTTATTTAGGAGGCACAGTCCATCTCCCTTTTTCCTCTTTTCTATAAGCGTCATATTGTTACTGTATCTGAATGTATAACGGCGCTCCACATCAAATATGCCCAAAGTAATCTTTACAAAGTAATCTATAAGATACTCACAATAACGAATATATGAGTATCCACTGGAAATCAAATAACCAAACTAATAAATGTAAATAAATACTATGAAAGATAATAGATGGAAATACATACAATGGGAGAATACAATAGAAAGAATACTAGCAAAAGATCAGACGGAAAAAGAAATAAATGCCTAATGGCTTACCTCCCTTCTTAATGTCTCTAAAAATAATCACTAAAGTTCACAGACTTAGACTTTAATATAATCCTCAATAGGTCAATGTCTGTGACTACAGTCTTCTATCAATAAAAATAATAAGAGACATTAGGGACTTGCTAATACCCAGTGGGATTCAAGAATGCTCAGAATATAAGCATACTGATAAATTAAACTACTACTTTGTGATATAAGGATATAGATAACCTTAGTAGGAAAGAAAACCAACTATCATGGATAAATAGTAGTATCACGCATCGTGTTTTGAGGGTTTTTTTTGTGAGTATCTTATAGATTCCTTTATTAGGGGTTATGCCCCAGGACACTTCTGGAGTGTCTTATAAGGTGTGATTCTACAGGCTGAGTGGATTAGTCTGTTTCTAGACAGCCACCACTTGTAGATGTTTTTTCCTCTTGTATAGTATCTTTACAAAGTAGTCTTTAAACTACAGTAAATGTTCTTTTTTCGAAATGACATTAGTTGCATAAATTTGTACTAGTATGTCACCTAAATTTTCTCAGAACTATCCTAAACTTTGGAAACACCCCTATAATAAAAGTGTCAATTTTTATTAATTTGAAATGTTGGTAAGTATACATTAATCCAGCACTCTTAGAAATAAAGCGATATTGTGGAGTGTGCGGATTATCCCCATTGCTCCCGTATAAATGCAGCTCCAATGATGATTGAAATGTTCACACTGCTATTTGGATAGTGATTTTAAAAGCATTCAAGTTTTGTTGTCACACTATGGAGGGAGATGATCCATGCTTCTTTTTGCCCTATAAATCCTGCATTTCTTTTTTGCAGCCGAGCCTCTGAATACCAAGCAAAGTATTCAGGAAGTAGACATATCCACAGAAGCCAATTCCAAAAAAATAGGGATCACCCAGGCCTTGGTGATTAAAGAAGGAGTGGACAGTCATCCAATGAAAATGAAACCAGAACCAGTGGAGAATAACAGCCTCGCAGCTGTCACTGAACAAAATCCATATTCTGAGCCAAATGGAGAACCCGTAGACAGAGAGGATAGTGTGGCTGCATGGCCAGATCCCCCTATTCTCTCCAGGCTGCCCATTGTGGTAGAGGTGAACGAGGAGGTAGTAGAAATTGACGCTGAGCTAAATGACCAGCAGCAACCATTAGGCAGTGAGACTATAACACCAAGCTCACTCATGCAGCTACTTGATGATTCTATTGAATGCTAGTCACTTCAAGACTTTGGTGTGATGCATCTGATGGAGTTGTGGGTCTTTCTGTTCAGCTATTCTGTGCAATTCTATGGACACGATGATACTGGCACAGTGAGCATGGTCCAGAACGTACTGAAGACAAAAATAGGTGGTGCGAACAACATATTGTTAACAATAAACAATGGCTTATTTGGGTTATATTCAAAGATTTGAGGAGATTACAGTCTGTTAATAGTGAGTGAGTGAGTGTGTGTGTTTTATTTTTGCAAAAAAGAAAATAATAAATAATCTATAATATTGTGAGAAATTGAAAAATACTTAAAGGCCCAATATAGGCACCCAGACCACTTCAGCTCAATGAAGTGGTCTGGGTGCCAGGTCCCTCAGGTTTTAACCCTTCAGATGTAAACATAGCAGTATCAGAGAGTATCTTCCTGACAGCCGCTAGAGGCGCTTAAACTAATGATTGTGGTCCTACATTGGTCAGCTGCAAAGAGACGTCCAGCTTCGCCTATTGGAGAAGGCCAGATGTAGTGGAGGCTGCCTACAACTGTAACCACAATCTGGTATAGAGCCCAAACACACACTTGCAACATTACAGAAGTAATGTAATATTACAGGGTTCAAGTAACACATACACATTCATAACCACCTATACAAAATAAATAAAATTATCATTAGCTGTGTGAAACTGTCAAACTATATTTTTAAAAGGCAAATACAAATGCACTATTCGTTTGTGCAGCAAAAATTAAAAGACCACTACAGTGCCAGGAAAACACACTTTTTCCTGGCACTATTGTGCCCTGAGGGTGCCTCCACCCTCAGGGTCCCACTCCCGTGGCGCTGAAGGGGGAGGAAGGGGTTAATCCCTTATCTCTTTTACAGGGCCGGGCTCCCTCGGCGCTGGGACTCTCCTCGCTCTTCTTCCGCGCGCACGCAGCCAGTCCATAGGAAAGCAATAGGATTAACCCTATTGTAAACATTTCTCTGAAACTGCAATGTTTACAGCAGAAAGGGTTAAACCTAGCTGGACCTGGCACCTAGACCACTTCATTAAGCTGAAGTGGTCTGGGTGCCTAAAGTGGTCCTTTAAGATTTGTGCCACTTTGGTTTACTCAAACCAGTCCACTTTCCACCCCATGTTATTAATTTATTTCATTTAAAAAAAATTAAAAACAGCATTTGTTTGTGCTTAAGAGATATGGTGCGTTATATTTGGTCAACCTCCAACCACTTTGCAACCATGTAATTAAAATTTGAATACAAGTTTCCCATTTGTTTGTGCCGATCTTTGACTCAAAACATTTGTGTAGTTTTGTCTTCCGTGATATTACACATAATTTAAAGACATGTGATCTCACCCACCTTACACTTTGCACCCCGTGTTATTATTCGTAAATAAGAATACAAAATGTTGCTGGTCTGTGCAAAATTGTGTGTGTTTTTTAGGGGGTAATTATAGGAAACTAGGGATTAACATTAGACCACACAGGTTAATGTGCATGGGGGGGGGAGGGGGGCGAGGGGTTAAAACGGCAACATAATGTTTAATACAGCATACACAGAATTATTAAAGGACCACTATAGGCACCCAGACCACTTCAGCTTAATGAGGTGGTCTGGGTGCCTGGTCCAGCTAGGATTAACCCTTTTTTTCCTATAAAACATAGTTTCAGAGAAACTGCTATGTTTATAATAGGGTTAATCCAGCCTCTAGTGGCTGTCTCATTGACAGCCGCTAGAGGGCTTCCGTGCTTCTCACTATGATTTTCACAGTGAGAAGACGCCAGCGTCCATAGGAATGCATTGTGAATGCTTTCCTATGGGCTGGCTGAATGCGCGCGCAGCTCCTGCCGCGCATGCGCATTCAGCCGAAGAGGAGGCGGAGAGAAGGAGGAGAGCTCCCCGCCCGGCGCTGGAGAAACAGGTAGGTTTAACCCCTTCCTCCCCCCAGAGCCCAGCGGGAGGGGGACCCTGAGGGTGGGGGCACCCTCGGGGCACTATAGTGCCAGGAAAAAGAGTATGTTTTTCTGGCACTATAGTGGTCCTTTAAAGCTAATGTATTACTCCAAGCACTGTGATTAGTTATTTGAAGTGGTTGTGGTGCCTGTAGTCTGAATATGCAGTGTTTCGCTATTAAACACACTTACGAAGTTTAAGCCCTATGCTGCTATAGGTATCATTGCCAACATCATTAGGATGTCATCATCCAGCCCAGGACTAGAGATCCGGGTTGGCTATTCCTTATGTCAATTCTGTGCAAATTTCATTGTTCAGAATGTTAGTCAGTCATTGTCTGAGAACGGTCAGCTGGTACTCTTAGCCAATGAATGGCGATGGCTTCTGCCAAAAGGTGTGTCACCAAACCACCAAGGAGCCTCGGAGACTGACGAGTACCCGATAAAGGGGGCAAGAACATTGATAAACGGCTCGTCCTATTACCAGGCATCATAAATACTACAGAGGGGTTAAATATATAACATATTAAACTGCATGTTCACATATTAACCCTCTGAATGCCACATTAAAGTTTCTGATGTATGGTTAATCCATGGCTGATGTATGGTTAATCTATGGCTGGTTTACCCATAAAAAAACTAAACAAAAAATAACCACCCACAAGTCTCAATCTAGTCCAGCAAATAGTGTTTTTATTTTTTTATTTTTTTTATTTATGTTTAAAGGACCACTCTAGGCATCCAGACCACTTCAGCTTAATGAAGTGGTCTGGGTGCCAGGTCCTTCTAGGGTTAACCCATTTTTTTTTATAAACATAGCAGTTTCAGAGAAACTGCTATGTTTATGAATGGGTTAAGCCTTCCCCCTAATCCTCTAGTGGTTGTCTCATTGACAGCCACTAGAGGCGCTTGCGTGCTTCTCACTGTGATTTTCACAGTGAGAGCACGCAAGCGTCCATAGGAAAGCATTGTAAATGCTTTCCTATACGACGGGCTGAATGCGCGCGCAGCTCTTGCCGCGCGTGCGCATTCAGCCCAGGAGGAGGAACGGAGGAGGAGAGCTCTCCGCCCAGCGTTGGAAAAAGGTAAGTTTTTAACCCTTTCCCCCTTCCAGAGCCGGGCGGGAGGGGGTCCCTGAGGGTGGGGGCACCCTCATGGCACTATAGTGCCAGGAAAACGAGTGTTTTCCTGGCACTATAGTGGTCCTTTAACTACATGCGGTGCAATGTGCAACCTGGGTGGATATTGAAGTCATATAGTCTCTCGCCTTGACTATTGCAATCTGCTTCTCAGTGTTCTTACGTGTTTCTAACTTGCCCCTTCACAGTCTATAATGAACGAGGCGGCAAGGCTCATCTTCCTGTCTGCTTGCACCACCCATGCCTCCCCCTCTGTCAGTTCCAACATGTGCTTCCCGTTAGATACAGGGATCAATTGAATATTCTGGTACTTGTTTACAAATCTCTACACAATGATGCTCTAATCTTACTATCCTCAGCAATACACAAGAATGTGCAGTCTAGGACCATACGCTCTGCTGAAGACCTACATCTATCTTCTGCTCATACTTTCACCTCTCTAGGGCTGCACCATCGCTGAAGAACTTCCTTCCCTTCTCCATTAGACTTTAACCCAGTCTCCAGTCCTTCAAAAAAAAAAAAAAAATCATTGAAAACTAACTTCTTCAAGAAAGCATATCAATTGAGCTGTCAACAGCTTTTCTTCCCCATACCCTAACTCTTCTCTTGCAACGGTCATAAAAAAAAAAAAAAAAACACACAACAAAAAACACAAAAGACCTCAGTTTTCTACCCTACCCTTACCTTCCTTGTCACTATACCCCACTCCCTCTAGCATGTAAGTTCATCGAGCAGTGCCCTCAACCCCACTGTTCATATGCGTCCATTTTATCAGGTTTAAAATTAAGCGTTTGTCAGTCCACCTATTGTACAGCGCTGCAGAATCTGTTGGCGCTTTAGAAATAAATAATAATAATAATAATAATAATAATAATAAGGCCAAAACTACACAAATGGTTTTTTAGACCCAAAGCTGCACAAGCAAATTTGTATTCACATATGTTAAGGCTTGGCCTGCAGTTGTGGGAGGGGCATGGTACCTATTTAAACCCCCCTACTCACCTTCCTCCATCCCGTACGTTTTTTAGCGACTCGCATGTCGCTATTTCTGGTCGTCCTTACCTGGTCCTCGTGGCTTCTTTGCCTGGCCTGCTGTTTCACTGCTGCTCGTCTGTCCGCGGTCCTCCTGGGCTCTGCTCTGGCATTTCCCGTTCTCTTCCTGCTTGCTGGAAATTGTGGCATAGGGAGGGCCTCACCTGTCACTCCCATTCTATCTTATGTTTAACTGTCACCGAGAGGCCGACACCCCGCCACAACGTTGCAGTGGCCACGATATCCTCTCGCGCCAATGCATAGATAGAGCCTCTCACGCCGTTAGGCATTTGGCAGGGCCTCACCTGTCACCAAACCTAGTTTAATTGTTTCGCCTTTTGGCTTAGCTAGTGTGCCAGCACTCCCGCGCACAATCACACATACACCACCACGATTTCTGTTGCCTACTGCCAAGCTCGCTCCTTTCAGCCAGTCCGCCTGGACTCTGACGTGCTTACTCTGCTTTCGGTTATGGTCGACCCTGCGGTATTTCCTCGTTCACCCTCATGTTTTCGATACACGTTCAGCACATCCCTCCCCTCTTAGTTAGCTGTGGCTGGTTGTCAGGGACCTAGCGTCCACTAGTTTGTAATTCCCCGGCTTCTTCACCTTAGGTTAGTGGTCCCGCGAGGCCAACGCCCATCCTCATACTCGGAGGTACTACGCCCTTCAGGCCAAATCATAGTTAGTCGCCTCACATTGTGGCATAGGGAGGGCCTCACCTATCATTCCCATTCTATTTTATGTTACCTGTCACCGAGAGGCCAACACCCCATCACAACGTTCAGTGGCCACGTTATCCCCTCGTGCCAACTCATAGAGCCTCTCAAGCCGCTTGGCATCTAGCAGGGCCTCACCTGTCACCAAACCTAGTTTTAATTGTTTCGCCTTTTGGTATTAGCTAGTATGCCAGCTCACATACACATACCCACACGCACACGCATTGGGTTGCTTGCGCGCTGCCTATTCGTCTCTTTTTCTAGCAGGTCTCCGCTGCTAGGCGTTGGCATGGTATTGTCTGCCTGGGCTCTCTGGCTTGGTCTGGTACCCTTCACGATGTGGTGCTTCGGCTACTCCTACCTTTTTTTCGGGTCCTGGGCCCTTCGTTGCTTCGCTGCGGTTCCCGCGAGTCCCTTTTTTCACCCCCCACCCGGCAGCCTTTCGGACAGCTGAACTCTCAGTTTGCACTCCACAGGTAACGCTGTTGCTGGTGGGGGCTCCCCGAGTTCACTCTTACTTCTCCGTTTCGCCTCCTGGTAGTCTTCGCTGCTGTCTTCTATGGGGCGGTGTCAGATGGCAGTTTGGGGTAACTGACATCTGACACTTTGGCTGGTTCTGATCCAGGCTTGCAGCACCTTTCAGGGGCCAGACCATGGGCTGCCAGCCTGGTTAGCGCGTAGTCGTCTTTTTCGCGTCTGGCTCTTTTTCCAATGCTCGCGGTTTTGTGTGTTCGGGCCTTCTTCCCCTTTGGGTCTCCTTCTACACGTATACCGATACTGTTTCTGTAGCTCTGTTGTCTGCATTTTGGTTTTGCTTCTTTTGCCACCTCTAACTTGCATCAACTCTACCTATCCGGTTCACAACTCCACATGTTGTACAGGTTTACCATTCATACGCAGTTTCATGTCCTCATTCCAGACTATTCGCATACTCAAGGCATTTCAGGTTCCAGGGAATTTCAAATTTACAGATTTCACATCAACATCCAAGTATCTCATTCACTATCAGACTTATTAAAGGACCACTCTAGGCACTCAGACCACTTCAGCTTAATGAAGTGGTCTGGGTGCCAGGTCCAGCTAGACTTAATCCATTCTTTAATAAACATAGCAGTTTCAGAGAAACTGCTATGTTTATTAATGGGTTAAGCCTTCCCCCAATTCCTCTAGCGGCTGTCTCATTGACAGCCGCTAGAGGCGCTTGCGTGATTCTCACTGTGAAAATCACAGTGAGAGCACGCAAGCGTCCATAGGAAAGCATTGATAATGCTTTCCTATGTGACCGGCTGAATGCGCGCGCAGCTCTTGCCGCGCGTGCGCATTCAGCCGCATGGGAGGAGAAGAGGAGGAGAGCTCCCCGCCCAGCGCTGGAAAAAGGTAAGTTTTTCCCCCTTTACCCCTTACAGAGCCGGGCGGGAGGGGGACCCTGAGGGTGGGGGCACCCTCAGGGCACTATAGTGCCAGGAAAACAAGTGTTTTTCTGGCACTATAGTGGTCCTTTAAATGCCTGTCACTACGAACCGGGCATTAACCTTCAATGTAGGGCAATAACTGCTTGATCCAAGGAAATCTGACTGCCATTATGGGGTCAAGAAGGAATTTTTTTTTCCCAGCTTGTTGCAAATTGGCAGCGCTTCAAACTAGGTTTTTTCGCCTTCTTTTGGATCAACTGTTTAAACACAAATGTGAGGAAGGCTGTACTTGATGGGCACTAGTCACTTTAACTTTGTAATCTAGTTGTTGAGACACTATTCTTGCTTCCACAGTTTCTTGGATCTCATACTTTCCTACAGCCACCACGTCCTTCTTGCAGCATTATCTTAGGAAGTCTCACCTATTCATGCAGTCTACGGATTACCTTCTCTACCCCACATTTAGTCTACCCTAGGGGGCCAAACACATTTAATATACCTTACTTCCCCTCGCACAATTAAGAGTGCCGACTAAAGTGCTGGGCTACTATTTCCTCGCTCGGCATTTATCATACAGCTAGGCAATTAGGTTTTGTTGATTGTTTTCGTTTCTGACAGGTACCCAATTTTTGCCCTCTTACTACAGGCCTACCACGACGGTTCCGGTACACCTCAACCGACTTATTTCCCTTCTACTTCCTATAAGGCCTTATTTGCCCCTCACACAAATGTTAAGGCTTGGCCTGCAGTTGTGGGAGGGGCATGGTACCTATTTAAACCCCCCTACTCACCTTCCTCCGTCCCGTACTTTTTTAGCGACTCGCATGTCCCCACCCTCCACTCCCTCTATCTATACTTTCATTACACCTCATGGGTAAGCCCTCTTTTATTACAGGCCTACCACGACGTCGGTTCCGGCACACCTCAACCGACTTATTTCTCTTCTACTTCCCATACGGCCTTATTTGCCCCTCACACAATTTAATAATATGGGATGCTAAGTAAGCTGGGTTTGATCCAACATAAAAAGCAGTACATACATAAAATGTGGCACAAATCAGCACAAACCAAAATTGAATAACATGGGGTGAAAAGTGGGTGGGCTTTGATAAAAATGCTGCACAAATCAGCCCACATATTTAAAAGGTAAACAAAATTTCACTATTCATTTGTGCTGATTTGTGCAGCAAAAATGAATGTTTGTGTTGCTTTGGATTTGAAAATATTGTGAATTAGATTTTTAATCAAACCCCACAGCTGTGTTTATTAATATGGCAAGCAGAATCAACAGCCTCAGACATATATATCATAAATTGAGGAAGGAATTTCTAATTTAAATTAATTAAATCTTCGGAAGTGGCTAATTATTAGCCAATTATGACCAACAGAGTCTTGAAATTAAAATCCCCAAAACAAGGTCACAATATTTAACACATTTGTTTCAGAATAAAATATGAAAGGATAAACTAGCATAAGGGAAGAAAAAAACAGTTCACAGGAGTTATGTGAATCAACAGTACCAATGCATATATCAAACATTCATGGTGCTTCTTAAGATGACATATTTGAATCTGGCAAAAAAAAAAAAAAAAGCATGAATTTGAGTTCACAAACGCACTTGAGTTGTGATGGTGCCCCTAAAATGTGCAAATGAATGTAAACATGTTTTCATTATATTAACTATGCATATCTAATGGAGCAGTGTAGGCATTTGTAGTCAGGTATATGTAGTTGCTATGGTACTTTAAGGTTGCAAGTTCAGATTCTCAGTTCTTGGTCAAACTGTTAGCAAAGTTTCACAAAGCCCAGGGTCCCTTAGGAACACTCAAACTGGCCCACGCTAGCTGGAGTAGGGAATAAATAAGTTTCACATTTACATTAGCAATATCAATTCCATTCATATTTCATTGTCATTCACTGGCTTCGTACACAAGCTGGGCTGTGGATACCTCGAGTATCCTCAATTTTAGGCAAACCGATTGTAAATGTTTGGAATAAAAACCAAGGGAGAGTGACGGCAGCCTAATGGCAGCATATCCACAAGTGGTGTTCCATCATCTATAAAACTCTCATATCACATATGGCTTTATTTTCATTTATTTACAATCCGAAAAAAAGGTCACACTAATAATTCGTTGGACCGCCTTTAGCTTTGATTACGGCATTGTTTCGATAAGCTTTCGAAATGTCAAAAGATTTATTTCCGTCCAGTGTTGCACTAAATTTTTCATATAAAACAAAACAGCAAAAAAGAGTGTGGTGCATCATAATGAACAAATATATATAGTGTGTGATCACACCAAATTTAAAACTTAGTATACATACATTAGAATATACTTCTTGTTCAAAGTATAAATACAGCATTCAGGATAGAGATAAAACTCTGATCATAAAAAAAACAAAACAGAAAAACAACATAGCGTAAAACCACACACAAATGGAATAAAAAGGGGGATAATATTGCACTCACAAACATAAAAAAAAACAGGCACATCAGAAGGTCCAAAGACCTTTCTACCATATACAGCAGTGGTCCCTCAGCATAAGTCCCAGTTGGAGTCCGCCCTGGTTTGTGAAATATTGCCAAAAGTCAGCAGGGTGTAGGTTCTCCTTGAATAGTTATCAGTCCAGGCTGCAGGGTATCACTGAAGACGCTTGAATACCGACCGGTTTCGTCAGCAAGACCTTCTCAGGTAAATCAGGTGATTTTCACCAAAATCTTGTGTTGATGATGGGAGAGTCGGACCACTGCGCAAAGCCTTCTCCAGCACATGCCAAAGATTCTCAATGGTGTTAAGGTCTGGACTCTGTGGTAGCCAATCCATGTGTGAAAATTATGTCTCATGCTCCCTGAACCACTCTTTCATAATTTGAGCTAGGGATCGACCGATATTGATTTTTTAGAACCGATACCGATAATCTGTGAATTTTCGGGCCGATAGCCGATAACTTACCAATATTCTGTACATTTACCATTTTGAATTTTTTTTATTATTTCTAAAGGTAAAATGCACAAAATATACATGCGACATGTAGTGGATGCAGTGTGTTTAGACAGGGGAGCTGTGTGTGTTGGTGTAGTATGTGTGCAGTGGATGCAGTGTGTATTTGTTTAGTGTGTGTGCAGTTGGTGCAGTGTGTATTTGTGTAGTGTGTGTAATTAATGTAGAGTGTGTTTGTGTAGTGTGTATATAATGAATGCAGAGTGTGTGTTTATATAGTGTGTGTATAGTGAATGCAGTGTGTGTGTGTGTGTGTGTGTGTATGTTTATAATGAATGCAGAGTGTGTGATTGTGTAGTGTGTATAGTGAATGCAGTGTGTGTGTTTGTGTAGTGTGTGTCTTTGTGTAGTGTGTGTATAGTGAATGCAGTGTGTGTATATAGTGAATGCAGTGTGTGTGTGTGTATATAGTGAATGCAGTGTGTGTGTGTGTATATATAGTGAATGCAGTGTGTGTGTGTGTGTATATAATGAATGCAGAGTGTGTGATTGTGTAGTGTGTATATAATGAATGCAGAGTGCGTGATTGTGTAGTGAGTGTATAGTGAATGCAGTATGTTTGCTGTATGTTTGTGTGTGTGTGTTTCTGTAGGCCAGCGAGGGGGGAATATAGCATTCCCTGGTGGTCCAGTGGCATGGACTGTTCAGTGGGGGCCCAGCAAGCTCTTGCTTACCTTCCCTTCAGCTCTCCTGTCCAAATCCCCGGCCTTTTTGCCGCGCGGAGCGTTGCCATGGTAACCCGTGGCAACGCTCTGACGGCCGTGAGAGTCACGAGATTTAGACAGGGGAGCTGAAGGGAGCTGCTGGGAAGGTAAGAGCTTGCTGCGGGCCCTCCAGGACCAACGGACTTGTCATGGGCCAGGTGGTCCTGGTATGTATTATCATCAATATCGGTATCTTTATTGGCAGATACCGATATTGCCAAAAATACCGAATATCGGCAGATAATATCGGCCAGACCGATAATCGGTCGATCCCTAATTTGAGCCCGATGATTCCTGGCACTGTCATCTTGGAATATGCCCGTGCCATCAGGGAAGAAAAAAAATCAATTCATGGAATAACCTGGTCATTCAGTATATTCAGGTAGTCAGCTGACCTGAGTATACGGTTGCTGAACCTAGACCTGACCAACTGAAGCAACCCCAGATCATAGCACAGCCCCCACAGGCTTGTACAGTAGGCACTAGGCATGATGTGTGCATCACAGCATCTGCCTCTCTTCACCCTGATGCGCCCATCACTCTGGAACAGGGTAAATCTGGATACATAATACCACATGACCTACTTCCATTGCTCCAGAGTCCAATCTTTATGCTCCCTAGCAAATTAGAACCTTTTTTTTCTCTTCTAAATAGCTGATTAGTGGTTTTCTTAAGGCTACACAGCTGTTCAGTCCCAATCCCTTGAGTTCCCTTCGCATTGAGAGTGTGTAAATGCTCTTACTTTCACTATTAAAGATAGCCCTGACTTCTACTGTTTTTCTACGATTTGATTTCACCAAACATTTAAGTGATACCCGATCAATCAGGATTTTTTTCCGACCACATTTGTTCCTCGAAGACGATGGTTCCCCACTATCCTTCCAGTTTTTAATAATGCATTGGACAGCTCTTAACCCAATTTTAGAAGTTTCTGCAATCTCCTTAGATGTTTTCTCTGCTTGATGCATGCCAATAATTTGACCCTTCTCAAACAGACTTACATCTTTTCCACGACCCTGGGATGTGTCTTTCGACATGGTTGTTTAAGAAATGAGAAGCTACTCATTGCATCAGTTGGGGTTAAATAACTTGTTGCCAGATGAAAGATAATCGCCCATGCAGTAACTATCCAATAGGAGACTCTTACCTATTTGCTTAGTTAAATCCAGGTGGCGACTTTTTTTTTTGTCCAGGCAGTGTGTGTGTGTGTAATATATATATATATATATATATATATATATATACACACACACACACACACACACTAAAGTATATAGGGCTAAATATGACTTCTGTCACTATTGTGTTTAACTATTTAGGTTCCAGACCCACTTATATTGCATGGGAAATGTGATTTTTCTCATGTTTCATCCCATGCCACATCTGACTCACCACCATGGCTAAGATTATCAATTTTAACAATCTCAGCCAATCCAATGCTTTCCAATAGGTAGCATTAGGAGGTTATTGCACATGCATGGCAAAATGTTGCGCTGTGCCAATCGGCATCTCTTCATAGAGATGCATTGATACAATGCACCTCTATGGGGAGAGTTCAGGGTCTCCATGCAGAGTTTGGAGATGTTGAATACCAGTACTGTACATTGTGCAGCACTGACCCAGGAAGCAACTCTAATGGCAGTCTGGGTTGCTGTCACTAGAGGTGTTCCTAGGCAGCAATGTAAATCCTGTGTTTTCTCAAAAAAGGCAGTGTTTACACGAATCAGCCTGCAGGGACGGACTGTACTCACCAGAACCATTACATTAAGCTGTAGAGGTTCTGGTGACTATAGTGTCCCTTTAAGACTCGAGTACTTAACTTTTTACCAGCCCTTGTAGCATACATCAGTAAAATTCGATACATGCCACTTTTACACACACAATTAAACTCATTTTTACATATGCCACAAAAGAAGTTCATTTCATGTACCCGGTTCTAAAATCACCTATTTCAATGCAAACTTTAAACCATTTACCCTGAATACAAACCACACATCACCTCCGTTTACCTTGATAAATAATGCACTCACATCTCGACCTTTACCTTGGTATACAGTGAACACACACCAATGAGCTGAGCTGCGGAAGGGAGGGGTTAGTGCACCTGGAGCACTGAGGTCTGCCCTCCTCCCTTTTTTTTCCACTGACATGAAGAATTTAGAACCAGGAAGTGCTACCTCCCTCCTCCTCTTTGCTTTCACATCCAGCTTCTGCTTTTTGTTTATTTTCAATGTCTTTTGTGACTCTCTGCCAATCCAGGTCACACTGGCTCCACTCACAACTTGGTATTTGAAGAGACCCTTTATCACTGTTACTCTTTGATCTGGCTCCTTGCAAACAGTAGCCAGCAGATCTTGACCACTGGGAGGATTAAGAAAACAAGCTTCCCACGACTGCTTTCCTTCTGACCTGTCTGGGGCTGATTATTTGAAATCCTCCAATGTGTTTGAAACCTGGATCCTAGGCATGTCCGATTAGGTAAGTGAACTAATTCATGAAAATCAACAAAAAGTAATGTATTGATTTGCAATGCAATTTATGCACCATGCCAAGCTTGCCATTATTTAATTCCAAACACCACCACCAGTTACATTGCCAAAATATTGACCTAGAGCTTTGATCTCTGCATTAGTTTTTAAGACAGTTTTCCTTATATAAAGTAATACTTTTGTTATCCTTTTTTTATTTTATTTTTTTAAAATATATATTCTATAGTATGTACACTATTTTGTAGCCATGCATTGGAATTTTGATTCACTAAAGGGACACTATAGTCACCCAGACCACTTCAACTCAATGAAGTGGTCTGGGTGCCAGGTCCCCCAGGTTTTCACCCTTCAGATGTAAACTGCTATGTTTACATTGCAGGGTTAATCCAACCTCTAGTGGCTGTCTTCCTGACAGCCACTAGAGGCGCTTCTGCGACGCTGGATGCGAAACAGCGTGTAGAACGTCCATAGGAAAGCAGTGAGAAATGCTTTCCTATGGACTGTTTGAATGCGCGCGCGGCACTCAGGAGCTGATGTCAGCAGGGGAGGAGAGGTCACCAGCGCCGAGGGAGCCCGGCGATGGATTAATGTAAGTGCCACGAGAGGGGGGCCCTGAGGGTTGGGGGGTCCTAAGGATGTTATAGTGATCCTTTAAACATGTTTGCTGTCTTGTTACACAATGTCAACCCAATGCAATCAAAAGATACAAGGCAAAATAGTGGCTATTTTTGTCATGTGTACAAGCTTGAAGGTGACAAAACTTGACAAAGGCGGAGCTTCTGCAATCAGGTTTTGACAACTCCAATAACCATTGCTATCACCAAATTTGGAAAACCGATAACTTAAAAGTCATAAAAGTCATAAAAGTTTGTCTATGGAAGGACTTCTGGAATCTGCCATAGACTTTCCACTAAGTGGGGATGTCGCCTTCGCGAGTCTTATCAAAATATGCAAAGACCCCCAAATATGACAGAGCCACTTTAAGGATCTTCCTTTGCAATGCAAGCAATAATATTGTTTTCAGAGTTCTTGGGGTATAGCCTTTAAATGTTTATCTTCAAACCGTTGAGTTTGAAATGCAGATTATTGTTTGCGCAATGCTGTAAATAATATTTATTTAAAAAAGAGCTTAGAGCACTGTTCATAATGATGCTGGTTTAAATAGCTTTCAGCTAAGGTTGAGGTAGGGGGCACTTATAGTTATGGACTACTCTCTTTAGTTTGTTGGGTACATGCTTCTACTTGAGCGCAATGGGGACTTACTGCTTGCCACAGGATGAGCAACAGTGGTGGAGTATTATATAGCAGCATGGCATTAATGCGTCTTTTAAACTGCATAGGTACTGCGGTATCCTATCTTCTTCTTTCTGGCCACGTAAAAGTAATGTGAGTTACTGTCTAGGTAAGGACTCATGGGAGTTACAGTCCCCAGCATTTCTAGTGTCCGCAAGTAATCTTGTGTTCCAGAGCACTAAATTTATGGATTACTGCTTGATACAATATAATTAATATAATAGACCCCATTATAAACTGTGACAACACTTACTCTCCATCCAGCCATTTTTAACGTGCTTTTTTATTGGGGACATTTTGAGTGAATGAGTCATCTAAGCTTATATAAAGATCTGCGAAAACCGTCCTAACCACACACCAAACCGGCTTCAGTTTAGGACAAATTTACACTAGAAAGTATGTGCCAGAATTTTTCCATCAATTCTGATTTAAGATTTTTCACATCCCGTATACGTACACTGGAGTGTGGCCCCAACTTGAAACTGTGTTAAACTGGTCAACGCATGTTAAAGGGAAACTGTCACTACTTATCTGGCCCTCTGCTACGATCTCCATAACTAATTTACCCTTCAGGGCAATCCTCCTCCCTGATGCCATCGTCAATTTACTATGGCTGGAGAGATGTTCAGTGGGAGGTCTTCTGCTCGCCTTGTCTTTCAATACCTTGCCATTGAGTGTCTGCCAAGGACAGAAGGGAGCAAAAACTATTATAAAAAAGGTTTTTATCCCATTCTATACATTTGTTAGCACAATATACAGACATAAATGTCATGCTCTAAATCTAATGAGCATATGTTATTTGAGGCATGACCGATTTATTTTAACACAATGGGAAAATGTGTTTTGTTTTGTTTTTTTCTAAACAAATCGCATCCACTTCTGGTTCTTACAAACATCTTATTACAGCATAACTCCTAAGTGTCCCCATTTAAGAGGGACAGTCTCTGTTTGAGGCCCAAATCACTCTCTCCTCTACAGCAATAATACTCCCAGTAATGTCTTTTTAATGTGTTTATAAATGTGTCTGTGTAAATATTATACATTGTTCTTGTTATAAATTGTATTTTAGTTGTATAAATTATTAGAAAGTAACCTAAACCTTCTCAGAACAGCGACCCCCACCCCTTCCCTCCCCCCAATTAAAGTGTCCCTCATTTGCTATGTTGGGGGTATATTATAGGGTTACTTACTAAATTTCAAAGTCATTTTTAAATGTTAGCTGAATCTAGCTGTTTTCTCAAGCATCTATTGTATGTGTTGTTGTTTTACCATATAATTAGGCCACAGGTCACAGTGATAAAACAAAAAGGATGTAAGGATCCTTTGGTGACGTATTGCGAGAAAATTTCTGAGTTTGAAACTAGTTGGGCTACTAATTAGTTTGAAAATAGGACTTCATTGAATAACATAGCCTTCTTCCTCTGAGTAAGCATACCCCATGGAGTTCTTTGTGGACAAGAGTATTCTGGAAGAACCAGAAAATCCAGGTAAATAGAGTTCTACAATAGGACTGGTAAATCATTAGGGATGTATCAGATTAGTATGATTGTAAATTCTTTGGATGCATGACCTTGTTATACGTAACTTATAATTAACATGAATAAGCATAGTGGGGGTTTCATTCATTCATGCCTACACTGTGGCAGCGATAAAGTTATAAAGAAATTACGCATTTAAAAATATTGTTCTAGTCTATATTTAGATATTGAGGTACACGTTTGCCAAGTTTTGATTCTATAATGGTACAAGCAAAGAAATGATTCCATACGACAAATAAACTGGTAGGTAGTATTTTTCAGATTCATTGTACCAGGAATGGCTGCTACTTTTGGTTCTCAAAATTTTTTTATTAGCAAATCAGGTACTCTAAAGAAGTGACACACCCCACACCCCAGCTGTGTTAACTACATCTCAACAAGTATTTTTAGGCAAGCAAAAGCATAGTTGATAGAAGGGAGCTAGATCAATGGTGGAACTAATGTACAGAAGGCCATCGTGCAAGAAATGTTTTTGCCCTCCCCCCCTCGCAAGGGTGGCCAGAAGGTAAATTCCCATCTGTCGTACAACACCCACGATGCAATGCCAGCTGGGCATCTACCATTTTCCCATCCTTGCTAGGTTGTATTTGTGAGCAGTGTTTGTACGTTTTAAATGTAATTATGTTTTCCTATGGAGTACGTGTGTGTATACATATAGAGGTGTATTTGTATTTGCCATTGGAATGCAACATTATTCTATGTAATGTTTGAGTACAGGGGTGTGTTTGTATGTAGTTTTGGCTTTTAAAGGAATACTATAGTGTCAGTAACACAAACGTATTCCTGTCACTATAGTTCTAAAAGCACTGTTTAGGCCCCTTTGCCCCCGTTAAAGGTGTAAAACTCGCCTACTTTCCAGCACCACCTGTGTCTCATCATATTTGATGATATCAGCCAATCCAATGGTTCCCCATAGGCTACTGCACCAATCAGCATCTCCTCATAGATATGTATTGAATGTGGAACGTTAAGCACCTCCATGCAGAGTGTGTAGACTCTCAATGTCAGTGCTGCAATGACCGAGGAATTGCCTCTAGTGGCCGTCTAAGTGACAGTGTTTACATTAAAAAGCCTGCAGGGACATACTATACACACCAGAACATCTACATTAAGCTGGAGTTGTTTTGGTGACTATAGTGTCCCTTTATATGCAGGCATACTTTTGTGTGTAGTATTGGTGTTTTGAATGTACAGGTGTTTTTGTATAGAATTTTGGTGTTTAGCTGCAGGAGTGTGTTTGTATGTAATGTTTGTGTTTGAATGCTGGGATGTATGCACATATACACATAAGCTGACATACATACTCAGATACACACTGACACATACTCAAATATACATACACTGACACACAGATACACATACCAACACACACACTGAGAAACACATAGATACGCACAAACACATTGATACTGACACATAGATAAATACACACATACATGTAATAACGTTTATATTTTTTGTCGACCTCCTGTTAACATGAATTTTTTTAAGTGCAGGACAGTGGCTTCCTACTGGTGTCCGAGGCTGATGGGAGTGTGGGGCTGGCTGGAGCAGGCCCACTCCTTGCTTCTTTGTGGGAGGAAGTGACTGGCTCTTACTTCCTCCCAGCGATCGATACTACAGGCTCAATTCAATCCTTTTAAAGGGCCATGGTGCCTGACTGTTCTGCAATATCCATCGGGTGGCCTTAAAGGGACACTATAGTCACCAGAACAACTACAGCTTATTGAATTTGTTCTGGTGAGTAGAATCACTACCTTCAAGATTTTTTCTGTAAACACTGTCTTTTCAGAGAAAATTCAGTATTTACATTACAGCAGGGCTGTCCAACATGCGGCCCCCCAGATGTTGCTGAACTACAACTCCCATGCTTCCCTGGCTATCTGTTTCATTGAAAGAATCGTGGGAATTGTAGTTCAGCAACATCTGGGGGACCGCAGGTTGGACAGCCCTGAATTACAGCCTAGTGATAACTTCACTTGCCACTCCTCAGATAGCTGTTAGAGATCCTTCCTGGGTCATGGCTGCCTCAAATGCATCCAAACATTCAGTATCTCCTCCCTCTGCATGCAGACACTGAACTTTCCTCATAGAGATTTATTGATTCAATTCATCTCTTTGAGGAAATGCTGATTGGCCAGGGCTGTGTTTGAATTGTGCTGGCTCTGCCCTGACCTGCCTCCTTGTCAGTCTCAATTCTCTGGGGAAGCATTGTGATTGGATCAGGCCGCCACTTCTGATAACGTCAGAGGTCAGAGAAAGTTCAGAGGCAGCAGCTTTAGACTTGAATACAAGTAAGATTGTACTATCTTTAGGAAGGCCAAGGGGGCTAGGTAGTGGTTTTAACACTATAGGGTCAGGAATACATGTTTGTGTTCCTGACCCTATAGTGCACCTTTAAGTGAAGTTCCACCGCTCAGCTACATGGATATGTGTGTGTGTGTGTATATATGTTTTGATTAGATTGAGCATGCATTAATATCTATACACTGTGCTAGCAGTTTTGCTTACAAATGTATAGATTAGGAGGAAAATATATTTAAAAATAGGCTTTTCTGCCAGCTGGTAGTCTATGCCTCCGCGTACCAAAGCATTGACTGACAAGGGCGAGCAGGAAAGACCTCCCACAGGCGGTCCTTCTTCTCTCCTAAGCATAGCAACCACAGTGAATGTAATTCTGTGTATAGAAATATTTACAAAAGTGACATTAGCCAGCATGGAACTCTTGTTCCAGGCTGGCCAAATACTCCCTAATGACACTGCCGGAAGTGGAGTTAAACCTGCTGACTCCAGCCAACATAACCACTTCGAATCACTGAAGTTGTCATGATACTTCTTGTGACAAACGACCCGTGGTCTGGTCGTTTGCCACGAGCTCCTGGAGAAGCCTGCTTGCCAGCCTCCTGCCTCAGGACTATGGGCCCTGCAATAAACTTTGCCCAATGCACTTTAAAAGGTTCTGTTCATGTGATTTATGTACGTTTGTACTCCAGAAAGAGAGACCAACCGTTAGTCCTGATTCCCTGGAACTGTTTTGGGCATAGGACCATGTGCAAATTAGCTTACCCACGTGTGATTTCGCTCTAACTGTATTGTGATGTGATATATATATATATATATATATATATATATATATATATATATATATATAATTTTTTATTTTTTTTAAATACACGTAGAATCTTCTTTTAATGCTCCGGTGCTGTCTTTTAATGCTCCGGTGCTGTCTCCAACCAAATTGTATACAATACCAGTAGAGAGCACTCAGGAGTCTTTCAAGGTAAATCTCATCTGTTGCTTTATTGAGCAATTACAAATTCACACAACGTTTCAGTCGACGTTTCAGACTGTAAAAAACTTGAAAGACTCCTGAGTGCTCTCTACTGGTATCGTGTGTATGTGTGTGTGTATATGTATATGTGTGTGTGTGTATATATATATATATATATATATATATATATATATATATATATATATATATATATATATATATATATATATATATAATATATTTCTACGTATATATTTATGTAATAATGTTACATAATTAGGTCATTTTATTAATTACAACCTGCAGGACCTGCCTGACAACCCAGGCCAAAAGTCCAGGGAATTTACTTTGCAAGCCCTATATTTAACCCTGTAACTTTCCAAGACACCATAAAACTTGTACATGGGGGGTGGGGTACTGTCTTACTCGGAAGACTTCGCTGAACACATATTAGTGTTTCAAAACCGTAAAATGTATTACAACGATGATATTGTCAGTGAAAGGGACATTTTTTGCATTTTTCACACACAAATGGCACTTACACGGACGATCTTGTTGTGATACGTTTTACTGTTTTGAAACACTAATATTTGTCTCCTGAGTATAACAGTACCCCTCATGTACAGGTTTTATGGTGTTTTCAAAAGTTACAGTGTCAAATATAAGACTTGCATTTCAGTTTTTTCACGTTGAAATTCGCCAGATTGGTTACGTTGCCTTTGAGACCGTATGGTAGCCCAGGAATGAAAATTACCACCATGGTGGCATACCATTTGCAATAGTAAACAACCCAAGGTATTGCAAATGGGGTATGTCCAGTCTTTTTTAGTAGCCACTTGGTCACAAACACTGGCCAAAATTGATGTTCATATTAGTTTTTTTGCATTTTTCACACACAAACAAATATAAACACTAACATTGGCCAGTGTTTGTGACCAATGGGGGTAATTCTCATTCCTGGGCTACCACACGGTCTCAAAGGAAACGTAACCAATCTGGCAAATTTCAATGTGAAAAAATGGAAAAATGTGACATGCTTTATTTGACCGTGTAACTTCCCAAAACACCATAAAACCTGTACATAGGGGGTACTGTTTTACACGCGAGACATCGCTGAATACAAATGTGTATTTTATTGTAGTAAAAGCTAACAGTATTATGACATTCACAGCTAAAATGTCACATAAACAAAAAATTTTTTTTTTAATTCTTATTTTCTCCCATTTTTAAATATTTTATTCAAATTAAATTATGTTTCATACCTTAATATTTGATGTTAAATGAAAGCATTCCAGTTCAGAGATTCCACTGTATAAGGTCCAGAAGATCCACAAAGCGTCACTTTTAATAAAATTTACGGAATGAATGCATCCAGCAAGATGCACATTTACAAATTATCATTCACTTGCTTTCATGTGAATGATAATTTTAAGTACTAAATAATTTTTTAAAAAACGTGCTAGCCAGCCTTCACATTACAAAAGCGAAAAATGTAAAAGTGCTTAAAAATCATATGATGGTAAAAAAAACTATACCTACCGGTATATTACTATAATGGAGGTATATTACCTCCATATGCTCCACCGTGCCATGCAGGCCGATGGAGGGCATGTGTGCTATATGTTTAAACCTAGCCACTGGGCAGCTATCGCTCGAAAAGGTCCAATCCTGTAGGGATGGGAACTGTGAAATAATGGAAAGGAACATAGTCCATCACCTGTAGCAGTTGGATGGTGGCTATTCTAATACTTATGGGGAGGCAAGTGGAGACCCAAATATCAATGTTCATGGAGGGAGGACCGAATGTAAAAAAAAAAAAAAAAAAAAAACCTGGTCAAGCTTAGTTACCATGGGTGCCTGAAAACATCTGCACAACCCCCTCTCCCCCACCTCCCCCCATACAGCAGTTGGAATGATAGGTGATGTTGATTCTCTCCACTGTTGCACAAATGTATGTGTCTGTCTGTCTAAGATAGAGGCACCTACAACCTTACTGTGTATTATGTACTCTAGTCATTATATTCAGGGCCGCACAACTTGTCCTAATATAAATAAGCGATAACAGTGTGTATGTTGGATACCACATAGTTTGACCATGACATGTAGGGCACTTGGGAGCATTAGTTCCACATAGGTGAGCCATCTTGGAGAAAACAGACATAATCTTCAGGTAAACATCAGTTTTAATCTGTACATTTGCTATTGATTTAAAATGACTTTCATTTCACTGGGGATGTGTGGGGACAGTGCATGTGACAAACACAGGGGGATTTTAAGTTTCCTCTCACTCAGATGCTGACCAAATCACACACTTGCAAAGTCTCAAACCCAGATTTACATTTCGTGCTGGCTGATGTAATACTTTTCATGAGTCATTGCAGGACTCCTTGCTGCAAGTTCCAGAACCATGGCAAGTTGTGCAATATTTCACTAAACAAAGCCCCTATTAGAGGTTGTGGTGTCCAGCAATCTACACAAGGCAGCAACAATAAGCCATCACCTGGTGTCACTGGGCAAAATTATTAATGCCATTGGGTGACCAGACCTACATAGAACATCTGTCACCAAAACACATGGGACTTGGGCAATTAGGTGAGATACGATAATTATGTGAAATCATTGTAAACTAGGGCCCTGCAAATTCCAGTTTTTTTTTTTTTTTTCTTCAAATTCTGAATCAAATTAGGGTAAAAAGTCTGGAATAGAATACTGTGTAATTGTATTGGCATGACCTGAAGTCTTGCTGGATTTCCTCTAACACTTCTCTAGAAGAGAAGCAACTCTATTTTATCGGACATGCCTGGGGCACATTTTCTCTATTATTAAAACCCTACAGGGATTTTATAACTCATGATTTGGTAAGAATAAACAGGGACAAATCAGAATACATTTTCCATAGATTAGGTTATATAAATCGAAACATAACTATTATAGCATAAAAACAAATACCAAAAACTTGATTTCATTTTCAGGATTTTGGGAATACCTCATACTAGCATTTCATTCTCATATTTGGTTGTGATAATTTATGGAAAAAAGTGCATCAGATATTAGAATTTAACTGTTCTGTGTCCAGGTGGGGTCTAGCACCCTCAAGGTGACTGCATACGTGAACAACATGATATTCTTCATCACTACACCTGAAACAACGCTCCCTGGCATTGTGAGGGAGGTCTGGCAAAACTGGGCCCTTTCTAACTCTTAAGATCATCTTCTCCAAATCCAGGCTCCTAAGTATCAGCTAGAGGTCAGTTCCAATGCTTCAGTTTCACATTTCAGTAGTCAGATCAGACAATTAAATAATTGGTAGGTGTGGCTAACCCAGGGATCTTTCACAGCTATAATGAGCCAATTTCCTACCAATGCTTAACTCCTTCTGATTGGAATTTCCCTCACATATCTTGGCTGGGCCTTATTGCAGTGACATCTTACCACGTTTTCTCTACCTCTTCCAAACGCTCCCAATACAAATCCCACATGCATACTTTGCATGCCTCCAATACTTATTGATTAGGAACAAATGGGGCTCTAGAAAGCCAAGGCTGAGGTTTCAGGTTCTGACAATGCCCAAGACGGAGGGGGTACTAGCACTGCCGACCTCCAACTAGATTACCAATCCTCTCACTTACGAGTAGTGGATTCTATCAAGTAAGGTGTGCATAAATTATGGAAAAGATGCACCACCACTCCTTAACCTCTGGTACACCAATATAGAGGAATTAAGATAATTAGAGGAAATAAACCTTGCAGCTATGGGCAAATCTTAAACATACACCGAAATGTGGGCACAGTGGCTGATCTCAGCCGACAAGGAAGAATTCCAGCAATTACTAATCTTTAGGTGATGAGCAAGGAGTCACCAGCTAGGGGGGAGGTGAAAGTTCTGCCTGGGTGGGTGGAGGTCCTGGGTCGCCAGGCGATGGTGAGACTGGGTGTGGAAGGGGATGTGATGAAGGATCCTACACACCGGCACTGAGTTGGAGATGCCAAGGAGGGATGGGTTTATCCCAAGCAATATTCACCTGATGCCTGGGAGAAACTGAGACAAATACTGTAACTTAACTTTTGTGATTCTGTTTTGTACTTTCAGAATATTTATGTTTACAAACTGGACTTGAATTATTTGCCATGCAATACAGTTGTTTGGGACTTACTGATGTGATTTCCATTAACTATGCACTATTTAACGGAGACCTCAGAGTTTCATATCACCCAGCTATATAATCTGATTTTTAGGTCCTTACCAAACTTAAAGGATCAATATAGGGTCAGGATCATAAACATGTATTCCTGACCCTATAGTGAAAACCCACCATTTAGGTGGCTTGCCCCCCATCCTACCCCCCAAGCCCCTCTGAATGGATTAAAATCTTATTTACGGGTCTGCCGGTGCTGGCCCCGTCCCCTTGGTGACTTTTTCAAAAGTGCAGATATTTAGCCAATTCAATGCTTTCGCATGGGGAAAGCATTGGATTGGCTAAAATCAGCAAGAGGGCCGGACCAAACACCGGTTTGGCCAATCAGCACCTCTTCATAGAGATGCATTGGATCAATCCATCTCTATGAGGAAAATTCAGCATCTCTGAAAAGGCAGTGTTTTAATAAAAATGCCTGAATGGAGCTATTATACTCACCAGCTGTAGTTGTTCTGGTGACTATAGTGTCCCTTTAAGTACCTGCGCATCCCATTGTGTTACATTTTTTGGAAACCTTTTGAAAGCCAGGATTAAAAATATTTGCAAAAAAAAACCTGTTCTTGAAATTGGTATGCATTTTTTAAAAAGAAGACCTTCCACCTGAGATTTCTATCTTGCTAATTTTGGGCGTTTGACATTTTTTTTATACTGACATTTGATAAATGTTCTGAAATTTATTTTTCTATTAATCTGTCAAATAGCCTATCTAAGGCTATAATTACTCCCGGATGCCTCAGAATAATGTGCTGCAAACACCACTCTAAAGACTGTGACCATCCTAATTAGGAGCAGGTTCTGTGTTTTCTGTTGCAGAGGGCTCAAACTCCATCACAGTGGGGGGGAGCAGGAGACTTCATGCAAGAAGATTAACTGTCTCTCTCGCCTACAACCCCTACTAGTTGGCACCATAGACTTGCCTTGACAATAGAGTTCTCCTTTGAGAGACATGACTTAAAGGAACACTCACAAATGACTCCAGCCTCCTTAACAACTTTATCGCAATGACATTGTTAGGTTCCCCCTGTCTACTGTCTCCACCACTGGCGGTTGTACAGTCCAGGGAAGTTTGCATTGACGGCCAGTGATGGGTAGAGAGTCCACTGTACACTGATTGCAAGTAATAATATGTACTATTACTTACAGTGAGCAGCCAGGGATCATGTGACATTCTCAGCCAATAACTATCCGCAAAGGTAATGCTTTCCTGCTCATTTCAACAGCAGGATGACTGAGGGAGGCAGTGCTGACTGGCGCCTGGGGACAACTTTGAGGTTAAAACGTTAGGAAACAGTGACAGCTGCTTTAACTTTTTTCAAATTTGCAAAGTAATTTAACACTGCTGGACATTGTTGTAATTTAATCTCAGGTAAAATTTTGAAATGTATAATGCAAGCATTGTGTCTTTTGAAAAGCATTTTTTACCCACCGGTTAATTTTTCTTATCCTCTTGCTTTTATGAACTAATGTTTTGTAGGGTTTTTTTTTTCCCTATTTTATTTTTTTTTTTTTTTTAAATGTTTGCTATTAATGCATAGTATAACCTATATATGCTGATCATCTACATCATTAAAACTATTCACTTCACTGATAGGTGAAGTAAATACCATTGATTTATATCATTACAATAGTACCTGTTAAGTGGTGGGATATATTTAGGCATCAATTGAACAGTCCGTTTTGGAATTTCATATGTTGGAGACAGGAAAAGATCTGAGTGACTTTGACAAAGGCCAAGTAGTGATGGCTAGACACACAAGATCACAGCATCTCCAGAACGCCAAGTCTTGTGGGATGTTTCCAGGATGCAGTGGTTAGTACCTACCAAAAGTGGACAACCGCTGAAGCGGCGTCAGTGTCATGAGCACCTAAGGCTCATTATGTACGTGGGGAGCGAAGGCTGGCCCATCTTGTCCGATTACACAGAGTTACTGTAGCTCAGATTGCTGGAAAACCGAATGCTGGCCATGATAGAAAGGTGTCAGAATTTGTTTTGAATGGTTTGACTTGTTAACTGGAGTCTGCTGGGCCCTGATTTCCACCTCCACTACCATCACCGGAAAGTCGGATATTCCTTAGCAGGAACTTCTGTTGGCTCTCCTGTACTACGCCATGTAATGCTAATCGCTCTCAGCCAACAAGTAAAGCCTTGCGTTGGGCATTTGGAAAGGGGAGCTATACAGCACCACTGACACCCTAACATAGGTTTATACACATTTTTGATTTAGTGTAGATACTTTCTCTAGGTGCCTCACTTCACATGGGGTCCCCCAATATGGCTGATCAGCTTAACTGACAACTGGATCTGGATGTCCACCTATGAGTGCTCAGAGAACAGAATAGGACCCCAAATAAGGTTGAACTCTGCTCTCTATATCAGGAGGGTAGGCTCTCTTTCATACACCGGAAAATACATCAGTCACAGTACTTGGCATGTGTTCAAAATTGTTAAAGTAGTTAGAAACGTGCTGTTAGAAAGAATGTTCGGTTAGATTAACCACAGGGTGTACCACGCCCAGGCGCCAGGGAGCTGCGGTGGGGGATGCCGAGAGTAGCGGGCCAGTGACAGAACTACACAGTAGTGAGTATGACCGGGTTCCACCTGTCACAAGGGACCCAGGAGGTAGCCGACTGGCCACCTAAGAGTCCCCCAGAGGCAGGTCATTTTCAAGACAGAGGCGAGCTAGAGCTGATGTTCTTGCTTTTCCTTGTCTTGCAATAATACTGGGTGTCAGGATATGGAAGATTTTAGGAGCCAATGGCCTCCAGGGATAAGATCCCCACTGGACCCCAGGGAGAAGGTGCCTGTGACAGTAGTCACCATCACTGGGGGCTGAAGACTGACTCTTTATGTAGGTCCCCAGGTTATTCTTATGTCTTTGTCACCCTGTGCCCATTCTAGGTGTAGGGCGTGTATAATGTATTGTTGTTTAAAAAATGTTTGTGTGCTCTCCTGCCCTGCTGACGCATGCAGTCAACTAGGTGGATAACTAGGTGGACTAGGTGCAATCAACTTGCAAGGATCTTGAAGCAACTATAGGCACTATCTGAATAGCAAGGCTTGTTAATTTGCATATTCAGGTAGATTTGCATATTATTAGTTCCTTTTGGAGCTGTGTTTCCATTTTTGATTTGTTCAGCGATCCCATTAACTGAGTCTTCAGACATTTTGGCTGGCTGCATGGTCCCTGTAGCTGGGAAAATTCAAAAACAGCTAGGCCTGCAAATGCCTTTTAAAGGTAGTAGCTAGTCACAGTGCAGGCAGAGGTGTAGATACCTACTTGGGAGGAGAGCTACAGAGGGGACAATACCTGTCTGGAAGGAGAGAGATGCAGCGCAGTCTGGTGGAAGAGCTCCTGAGTGCCCCCCAGTCAGTGGGGCTGAGGTGTTCCAGGATACTTGAAAGTGGCTAGGAAGCAGACTATGCAGAGGTACTTGATCAGAGTACTGGAGCTCCTTTACAATCCCCACTGGACACCCAGGGAGAAGATCCCTACTGGACCCCAAGGGAGAGGACCCACACCATCTCTCCATAAGATAGAGAGTGGATTAAAAAAGAAGTAGGACTACAAAATTAAATTAAATATATGCAAGAATGTGTAAATGTGTCCGTTATTGAGTGTGTTTCAACTGTGTGAGAGTGTGTCTGTCATTGAGTGTGTGTCTGATTACAAAATAGGCTTATAGATGGAGAGGTGGAGTTGTTGCCTTAGCAACATCCATGTCTGGACTGGACATTTTTAAAGGGGAGGGGTTAGTAAGATGACCACGCCCAATGGGGGACACCCAGACATATGTGACTCTAGGATTTGTGGTGCTTGAGATTTAATTGCGTCCAATTAACCCCTTAACGTTGTTCTTGCATTGCATGCCGTCCGCATTATAATGAGCTTTAAAGCCATTGCGACAGCATGAAACACCGTAACTGCTTTCAGCCCCAGGTGCTCCAAGTAACTTACCTGTGCCTCGAGCTTCTCGGGGACTGCCTGACACTCCAGGGAGTCCCCCTATGCTGAATTTGGCTCCCGCAGGCCATGTGTTCACTCTGATAGTCCCCCTAGTGCTGAAAATCGAAAAAAACAAAAACAAGTTGTAAAATGTTTCACGACGATGATACATCATCAGTGAAAGGAAGTATTGTGTAAAAAACAAAAACAAATATGACTGCTGTGGCCAGGGTTTCTGTCAAAGTGGCAACTAAAAAGAAAGGACATACTCCATTTTGAAAACCCTGGGTTGTCTACTTTTTCAAATTGTATGCCATATTGGGGGTAATTCCAATTTCTGGGCTTCCATAGAGTCTCAAAGGCAACATAACTAATCTGTCAAATTCAAATATACAAAAACAGAAATAGGCAAGTCTTTTATTTGACCCTGTAACTTTCCAAAACACCATAAAACCTGGACATGGGAGGAACTGTCGTATTTGTGAGACATTACTGAACACAAATATGAGTGTTTTGTAACACTAAAACGTATAAAGCTGATATCATCATTGGTGAAAGGGCAGTTTATTTGTGAAAATTAACGCTAACTTTGGCCTATGTTAGTGACTAAGTGTCTATTAAGAAAACTGGAAAAACACAATTTTGCATATCCTGGATTGTCTACTTTTCCAAATAGTATGCCATGATGGGGTTAATTTTCATTTCTATCCTGCCATATGGTCTCAAAGGCAACATAACCAATCTGGCAAAATTCAATGTGTAAAAAATGGAAAGGGGATAGCCTTATATTTGACCCTGTAGTATTTCAAAACTCCATAAAACCTGTACATTGGGGGTACCTTTGTACTTGTGAGACACCGCTGAACACAAATTTGTGTATTTTATTGCAGTATAAGCTAACCGTAGTATGATATTCAGACATTCACACGCAGAACTAAGAAAATAAAATTTCTTAAATAGTTTTTCGTTTATATCTCTATAAAATTTTAAATCATATATTTATGACAGATATAAGATGTGAAATGAAAGGCCTATTTCTCCTAAACAAAATGATATATAATAAGTTTTGGTGCACTTATTTTGAAAGAGGTGACTTGTGGATGAACAACCATATACTCCAATTCTGTTTGTTTTGATGTATTCTTGATCAGAACGTGTACTATTGACGCAGTCCTTAAAGGGATACTACAGTGACAGGAATACAGAGCTGTATAATTGGTCAAGCTCATTTGTTTTGTGTAAACCTTTTTATTTTCCTTTCTGAAGTTAGTCCTGCTTTTAACTGAATGAACACTATAGAAACCCAGACCCTGCAATGTAAATCATTGTAGTTTTAGAGAAGCTGCAGCGTTTTCATTGCAGTAGGAAGACTGCTACCAGACAGCCACGGGAGGCGCTTCCTGGATTTTGCAGAGTTTGATTTCCTGAGGGCGCCCAGCATCAGAGAAATCCTTATAGGAAAGCATTGATTCAATGCTTTCCTACGGGGAAGATCTGATGCGTGCGTGGCACTAGCTGTGCATGTGCATTATATCCCCCATCGGATGACATCGGGGCGAGGGGGCTGAGAAATACAGCTTTGTATTCCTAACATTAAAGTGTTCATGTAAATAGCTTAGAAATTCTAATACAAAAAACTGATTTTCTGCTCATTTTACATGAAATGTGTTGTTCCCTCCCCTTTCAAATTTCTTTAACCCCTTAAGGACTGGACTGTTTTTGCGATGTTGTACATTTGCGACCAGGCATATTTTTACACTTTTGTGGTGTTTGTGTTTGGCTGTAATTTTCTGCTTTCTCATTTACTGTTCCTATACAAATTATATATTGTTTTTTTCAGGACAAAAGGGGCTTTCTTTACATACCATTATTTATATAATCTCATGTATTTTAATTTAAAAAAAATAAAAAAATCTGATGAAAAATTGAAAAAAATACATGTTTTTTGACTTTTACTTGAAAAATCTTTTACTCATCTACAAAAGCGAATGAAAAAAGCTGCTAAATAGATTCAAAATTTTGTCCTGAGTTTAAAAATACCTAGTGTTTACGTGCTTTTTGCTTTTTTTTGCATGTTATAGGGCTATAGGTACAAGTAGGATATTGCGGTTTCAAAACATACATTTTAAAATTTATCAATAGTGACATTGTAACACTATTATTCGTCATAAATCTCTGAATAACACCCCACATGTACATATTTTTTTTAAAGTAGACAACCCAGGGTATTCAATATGGGGTATGTCCAGTCTTTTTTAGTAGCCACTTAGTCGAAAACACTGGCCAAAGTAAGCATTCATATTTGTTTGTGTGTGAAAAAAGTAAAAAAACTAAATTGAACGCTAATTTTGCCAGTGTTTGTGACCAAGTGGTTACTAAAAAAGACTGGACATACCCCATTTGCAATACCTTGGGTTGTCTTCTTTTGCAAATGGTATGCCATCATGGGGGTAATTCTCATTCCTGGGCTACCATACGCTCTCAAAGGCAACGTAACCAACCTAGCCATTTTCAATGTAAAAATATTTGACCCATATTTGACCTTGTAACTTTCAAAAATACTATAAAACCTGTACATGGGGGTACTGTTTTACTCAGGAGACTTTGCTGAACACAAATATTAGTGTTTAAAAACTGGAAAACGTATCACAACAATTATATCATCAGTAAAAGTGCTGTTTGTGTGTGAAAATGTAAAAAGTAATATCATCGCTGTGATATGTTTTACTGTTTTGAATCACTAATATTTGTGTTCAGCGAAGTTCCCTGAGTAAAACAGTACCCCCATGTACAGGTTTAGGTGCTGTAGAGAACGCTACAGGGTAAAATACAGTGCTAGCAAATTAAATTCTTCTGGAATTCTCAGCCCGGCTTAAGTAAGGTCCCTTAAAATTGCAATCAATAAAATTACTGAATTATAGAAAATATTACATAGAATACGACGTAGAATTTAAATATATATGCATTATTTATATAGTTTCAGTTCAATGTATATTTACAATATTATGTAATTTTGTATATGGACGTATGTATATTTCTTATTATTTTTATTTATTTTATATATACATAGATATATATATATATACAAATTATTCTAAGTGTATTTTGATATAAATATATATATACAATTTTAAAATACAGTTAGAATAAATTTATATATTATATAATTTTTTTTTTTAAATTTTTATTATTTAAAAAAATTTTTATTTAATTTAAATTACTTATTTATATTTTATAATAATATATATATATATACAATATATATAGTTATTATATATATTATATATATACGTGTGTAATTTAATTATAAGTGTATTTTTATATTAATATAAGTACATATTAATATAAAAATACACTTAGTATGACATTATATATATATATATGATATATAGACATATACATATAATATATGTCTATATATCATATATACACATATATAATTATTATTTTTTTTTTTTATTAACATTAACTTTATTTTTTTTTCAGATTTTACACATGCAGGGAGACTGCCTGTCAGCACAGACAGTCCCCCTGCAGGCAGACACTAGGACACCTATTGTGACCATGTGATCGCTGTGTTAAGCGATCACATGGCCACAGGGGTCCTAATCTGCCGTGGGGAGACTGTCTGGGCTGCAGACAGTCTCCCCACAACCGGAGCCACGCTGATTGCCGCCGGGGGAACGACGGCGATCAGGTAAGTAGCTCTGACCGTTAGGACGGTTCAGGACCGTCATCGGTCGGCAACGCAAAAATGCCGATGACGGTCCTGAACCGTCATCGGTCGGGAAGGGGTTAATCACCTGTGTCTGTAAAAATATGTGGACATTGAAGTAGTGTTATTGGGTGTCAAGGAAACCTCCAGTATTTAATATTAATCTACTTATCTGTGATTTAGTTTAACAAATCTATGAAAGCTATAATTTACAATTTAAACAAAGCGGTTTTCCTGACACTATAGTACCCTGAGGGTGCCCCCACCCTCAGGGTCCCCCTCCCGTGGCGCTGAAGGGGTTAAAACCCCTTCAGCAATTTACCTAAATCCAGCGCCGAGTGACCTCTCCTCCCCTGCCGACGTCAGCGGAGCTGGATGCGCATGTGCATCAAGTGCCGCGCGCGCATTCAAAGTATCCATAGGAAAGCATTTCTCAATGCTTTCCTATGGACGCTCTGCGCAATGGAGGCGAAATGACAGCCACTAGAGGCTGGATTAACCCCAAATGTAAACATAGCAGTTTCTCTGAAACTGCTATGTTTGCATCTGAAGGGTTAAAACCTGAGGGACCTGGCACCCACTCGGGAGCTAGACAGTGGTTTTATTACTATAGGGTCAGGAATACTTGTTTGTGTTCCTGACCCTATGGTGTTCCATTAAGAATGGCTTGTTCCCACTAGCCTCACACCTACCTCTTTACTGAATGTTATCTGTAGATTTTTGTTTTGCGTGTTTACATTTCCACTATTTACATCAGGTACTTTATCATGTTTCACAGTCAGGAATACAGTTTTAAATTGTAAAATATAATCTATCATAGATTTGTTAAACTAAATCACATAAAACATTTCAGCAGATAAGTTGATTAATATTAAATACTGGAGGTTTCCTTGACCCCCAATAACACTACTTCAATGTCTACATATTTTTACGGACACGGGATTAAATACATTTGAATGGGGAGGCAGGATACAGCCCTGGCTAATACATTGAATTTCCTCCATGAGGAAAGTTCAGTGTCTCCATGCAGAGGGTGGATACCCTTAATGGCAGTGCTGCACACTATGCACTACTGGCCCAGGAAGCAGCTCTAATAGCCATCTGAGGAGTTTCCAGTGGAGGTATCCCTAGGCTCTAATGTAAACCCTGCCTTTTTTCAGAAAAAGCCTGATTGGAATGATTATACTCACCAGAACAAATTCAATAAGTTGTAGTTGTTCTGGTGACTATATCACAATTTTGTCTTTCAGTGACACCTGTACTCTGTACTAAATATAAAATGAGATTGTATTTTAAGAAGGATAAATGTAAAGGTGGTTATATCTATGTGATTTATTTTCATGTTAACCCCTTAAGGACCAAACTTCTGGAATAAAAGGGAATCATGACATGTCACACATGTCATGTGTCCCCTTATGGGGTTAATCATGTATTAAATATAATGTGCAGTATCCCAATAAATTTATTCTGTGGTATCAGATTGATAATGACCCAAGACATGTATCCATCACAGCATAGTACTGGTAATTGTATTCTCTTGTGGGCATAAACTAGGGATGTGTCATCCATGTATGCATACTTCTCTTTTATTTAAAGGTGATAAATATGTAGAACTGCGCATTTCAGAGCCTTGTTACTAACATTCATAAAATGTGGAATATGAGTTGTGAAAGAAACTGATGTTACCTGTCCTGTTTCTTATATATATATATATATATATATATATATATATATATATATATATATATATATATATATATATATATATATATATATATATATATAGTGTGTGTATAAGCTGCTAGAGTTGCCTTTACATTAGTCAATGTACAGTGAGGGCTGGTACTCCCAATGTCTTCTCGATATTTGACCTTGTGTATATATTCTAGTATTTAAATTTTTATTCTATTGACACAGTTTCCTTCAGACAAATGTTTCTCACCAAATACTGTTGACTTAAAAAATTACATTATATCTTTAACTTTATATCAGTCCCTTTCATACAAAACTTTTCAAACTAACTGCACACTCCTATATGTCCTCACAGATCTAGATACGCTGAGATAGGTAAATTGATGTGCATAGTGCTTGAGTAGCCACTGTAAATCCAGCTTGCAGTGCTGCAACTCCATACCTCCAAACATTTCAAGTGGACAAAGAGGGAGACTTTGATTTTAGGGTGTGGCCAGGGGCAGAGCTCTTCTGAGAAAATTTAGGTGAAATGCTAATAGTTTATGCAACTAATATGCACTTTAAAACATTTACACAGCTTGATTTCTAAACACATGTACTGTAGTGTAAAGACATATTAGTGAGAGTATTATTGGAGGACAGTGTCATAATACCAAAGATTACAAATTCAGTGAGACCGTTATGACTTTAGGCCCTGATCTTCTGTCCTAAACTGATTATCTAGTATCCCACTAATGAACACACCAGGCACAAATTCTCAGAAAGCACTAAGCTAATTCAGGACACTTCTGCTTATGCAACAGAGATTCAGCACTGCTCTGTGCATGTGCAGCCCTAGGAGAGCTGACTTGCAAAGCTTGTAACTTAGAATAAATAAATGTTCCACCACTCTGCATACTGTGTGTGGGGGAGGGGGCAATAAGTCACATAGAGCATGTACTGCACATTAAGAGCAGGGTCTGTACATAAAGAACAGTGTAATTTAAAGGGACACGCCGCTGCCCAAATAAAATAATGAAAACATAAATGCATTTATTTTTTTAATTTGGGTGTACTAAAACATCTTGTAAAAATATCTGATATCTTTTCTGATGTCTATGCAAGCCCTGCCCTTCTTACCCCACCCAGACCTTCTGTGGCTGTCCAGTCACAGACTTTTTTTGAAAATGAAAACAAAGTATTGCTAATTTTACTATTCGGATTTTACATTTATAGATAGTGTTGTTAAAGAACAGGCTTGATTTTTTTCTTAATGTTTTTTTTTATTAACATATAATGCTGTTTTTTATATTTGATACAAGTATATAATGCATTTCTATTTTTAATTTGCCATCGTGGCACATTGTTGTAGAGCATGACTGGTGTGCAAACTATGTTTTAAGTAGTTCACTCTATGAAACCAGTATTCTGTAGAAACGAGTTTATGTGTTAAAAAAAATAATAATAATAAGTTGTTTTTTTTTGTTTTTTTTTAGAGCTCGCTATAACAATGGTATTGGGCAATCAGTTGACAGTCCGAGCCTAATAACAAGCTGCGACTCAACCCGTGGCAATGAATCCACATCCACGACGTATCCGCCTAAAACCATGGCTGGTAGCAAAGGTGGACAGTGGCCTGTATCCAGGACTACACTGGGAAGATCGAGATAGAAAGCTTTTTCGCATCCCCTGGCGTCATGCAACCCGCCACATACCAATACAAGATGATGAGAACACTATATTCAAGGTAGGCATATCTGTTTAAAGTCTGTTGTCTTTGGAGTGAGGACTGAAAGTTCAGAAGAATTACTGGTCCATAATGCAAACGGTATTTAAAATATGACATGACAAGAGACAACATAGGAAATGTATATTTGATTGTACATATCCCAGAAACCTCTACTGAACATGTGTTCTCTGCGGCACAGGCTCTAAAGCCTAGTCTAATCTAACTATCTATCTCAATTTGTGAGATAATATCTTCTTGATCCAAGGAGAGATCTGATTGCCATTCTGGGGTCAAGAAGGATTTTTTCCTAGCAACATTTAAATAGGATTCAAACTGGGTTTTTGCCTCTTTTTTTTGTATTTTTTTTTTTTGTATCAACAGCAAAAACAAATGTAGGAAAGACTAAACATGATGCACGCATGTTTATTTTCAGGTTTGTAATTATGCCTCTACATATCCTATCAATCGTGTTGAGTTGCAGAGGTTTATTTATACATTTATGGTGTACGTTCTGTGCTCATTTGGAAAGCAGAGTGCAAGGATCGAGATAGACTTAGCAGTCTCAAACTTTGTTGATTTAAATTTCATTATTTTTTTCATTACCATTTCTAATATTTCCCCTCTAGTCTTACCTGATGAATAATACTTTCTCTTTCAACCCTTCTTTTGTACTGAAATGAAAGATTGAACTAGAGAAGTCTCTTCACATCATCGAGATTTGGACAGACATTTTCATAAACTCTACAAAGATGACTACATGCTTGACTTGGAAAGTGCTATAAAACATTATCATTGCCTCAAGCATGTGGCATGTTACTATAAGTAATTTCCCAATATACTTCTCTTTAGAATCTCTGAGGCAAACAGACTTTTCATAGTGAAACAGTGGAAATGTGCACTACTTTCAAACAAGTGGAGAAAAACTCACAAATGTAGAACTGTAGAACATTTCCAGCAACAAAGAAGTATATACTATGTGTGAGCAACATTTGTGCTTAAAACTCTGCACATACAGAGATAACTGCACTTTTTTGCACCCCCAACACATTATGGTGGGTATATGCAAATTAGTTTAGATTTTTGCTTCCCAAGCACTACCAAGCCTCAATAGCAAACCAGTTACCAACCTCATGCTTATGATTTGCATTAACAATGAAACAGCTGTCCATGAGTGGTTCACTGGCTTTGCATCTTTTCCTAAGTTGTGTTTCAAAGCTGTTGTATACAGCAAACACAGACTCAAAGGAATCCATGTTTAAAATGGAATGAGGCGAAAATGTTATTCTTTGTTAAACTAATTTGCATATCCCTACCCAGAATCCTTTGCGGTAGTAACATCACTGCAAATTTGTGATTTCTGTGGGAAAAGCAAGTCTTATGGCTTGACTGGTGTGCAGATTTTTGTTTAACATTGTAATATATATATATATATATAATCTCCAGGTATTTAGTGCATTGCAAATCTTTAATTTTAGATGTTAAAGGACTACTATAGGCACCCAGACCACTTTAGCTTAATGAAGTGGTCTGGGTGCCAGGTCCATCTAGGATTAACCCTTTCTGCTGTAAACCTAGTAGTTTCAGAGAAACTGTTATGTTTACCTATGGGTTAATCCAGCCTCAAGTGGCTGTCTCATTGACAGCCGCTGAGGCGCTTCCGCGCTTCTCACTGTGATTTTCACCGTGAGAAGACGCCAGCGTCCATAGGAAAGCATTGAGAATGCTTTCCTGTGGACTGGCTGAATGCGCGCGTGGCTCTTGCCGCGCATGCGCATTCAGCCGATGACGGGAAAGGAGGCGGAGAGTACCCAGCGCCGAAGGAGCCCGGCGGTGGAGAAAAGGTATGTGTTTAACCCTTACTCACCCTAGAGCCCGGCGGGAGGGGGACCCTAAGGGTGGGGGGGACCTAGAGACCCTATAGTGCCATGAAAACGAGTTTGTTTTCCTGGCACTATAGTGGTCCTTTAATAGTATTTGATGTGAAACATTCCTTATCAAGGGTACCTCTCAAAGGAGACGCTTTAGAGTTTGAATAGTATGATGCATACAAATGCAAGTTAAGAAGATAGAGGTAGTGCCATCTTCCTCTTATATATACACTGATATGAAAACAACTGTAGCAGTGCCAACCTTCATATACAAGTGTTATTAAGCAGGGGTTGAAACAGGAGTTTCTAGATTCTCCCACACCTTCTGGTCTGACTGATGGCAATGAGTCGCTGCAATGTGCAGTTTTACAGGGACTTCCCCATCATATTTATAACCTTGAAAAACATAAAAAAGGAAGTAAGTGAGAATGTATATGTGGATCACACATTCCTAGTTTATGACCACAAGACACTGTTACTAGGCTGAGATGGTTAATGCCTCTGTTGGGTTTTCATCAATCTGGTTTCCTCTGCGGCATACACAGGACATTCTACGGAACAATTAGTTGCGATCTGCAATTCACATTTAATATATAATTTAACATGAAAATAAAATAAAATTCACACACATTTAACCATCTTCAAAATTATCCTTCTTAAAATGCAGGTATAACCTCAGTATTAATCTGTCTTAACATTTAGTACATTTACGGTTTGTAAGTGTTGAAATTCCGTGCAGTTTAACAAGAGGACATTACAAATTTCAATGGCCAAGTTGCCCCCCAAATAGTAAAAAAAAAAACAAAAAAAAAAAACTAAGCATGTTTCTCTTAGCTTGAGATATATATACTCTGAATTTGGGGGTGGCGGCTGTCATTGAGCTAAAGTGGTCTGGGTGACTATAATGTCTCTTTCATGTAGTTGTTCTGGTGTCTATAGCCTGTCCCTGCAGACTTTTCAATGAAAGAAACAACTTTTCAGAGAAAAGGCAGTGTTTACATTGCTGCCTAGTGACACCTCTAGAGGCTGTCACTCAGATGGCCACTAAAGTGTCGCCTAGCTAATGTGCAGCACCTAAATTCAGCGTCTCCACGCTCTGCATGGCGCTGCGCGTTCCTCATAGAGATGCTTTTAATTGATTTAATGCATCTCTATGAGGAAATGCTGACTGACAATTGATGATCTCCGTTAAGGAGGCGGACCAGCTCTAGCGAGACCGACACATGAGTAAAAGCATCATTCCCATGCGATCGGAGGGGGCTGGTGACCTAAACATACAAATTCATTGACAGACACCCAGACTGACACACACACAGACAGAAACACACACTGAGAGATAGTCAGACGCACACACACACACAGACACACACTGACAGAGACAGTCAGGCACACTCACAAAGTACTATTAATACACTCAAATATACACACACAAACATTCATACATACACAGAGAGAAATACACATAGAGACATTCACACGACAGATGCACAGATTTTTTTTTTTAAATACATATTTTTTAGTCACGCTCCTGTTTCCTACCTTTTGTGCTCAGGAGGGTGGCTTCCCTTGTGTCTAGTGGGATTAGGCAGCAGCATGTGACCGGTTAGTGGGGCTGGCTGCGGCTGATGGGAGTAGGCAGCCGCTGTTCCAGACTCCCTCCTTTCTCTTCCTCACTGTCTCAGCAGCTCTCTCTGTGCGCCGGGAGGAAGTGAAGGGAACTGTAATAACTTCTGAGGTCACGCAGAACCAGACTGGTTGCCGGTGTTCCATCGACTTTGCGGCATGGGGGCGGGAGGCGGGCAGGGAGCAGGGTTGAGTATGGGGTCAGGAGGAGGGCGGGGAGCAGAGCCGTGTTTACCTGGTATCCTGCCAGGTTAGCTTGCAATTCCCCTGCACAGGGATTGAGTCAGAAGGAGGAGGGAGCGGGCTGACCAATCCCAGACGACAAAACAAAATATTTAGTCACCATGGCGACCTGGCATTTGTTGAGCCCTGATGTAAACACTGCGTGTTTACTGTTAAAAGCCTGCAGAGACTGATTATACTCACCAAAACAACTACATTAAGCTGCATTTGTTCTAGTGACTATAGTATCTTAGGAGTCGCTGTAATAAACAGAACTGAAAGGTCATCAACTTGGAGGAAAGAAACAAAAATCATGTAAAGTCCTTACTCGGCCTGTACAAGATGAAATCAAATGCACAGTTGGACTATGAGAAGGCCTTGCAGGCAGGGCCGGCCTTAGGGGTGTGTGAGCTGTGCGGCCGCACAAGGCGCCATGGCAGCAAGGGGCGCCATGCGGCCAACACAGCTCACACGTGGCCGGTCGGGTTAAAACTTTTTTTTTTTTAAATTGTAGCTTGCCGTGCGGCCAGGGCGGAGCTAAAAGTGCCGGGTAACTGCTGCAGGGGAAGCAGGAAAGAGTCCCTGCTTCCCCAACAACCAGTCTCCAGGAGCTGAACTGCCTCCACTCCTCCATAATGAACAGAGGTAACAATGTGTGTGTCTGTGAGAGTGTCTGTGTGTGTGACTGTCTGCGCGCGTGGGTGTGTGTGTGTGACATACCTGTGTGTGACTGTGTGTGTGTGGCTGTCTATGTGGTTGTCTGCCTGTGTGTGTGGCTGTCTGCATGTAAGTATGTGTGTGTAAGTCAGACTGTGTGTGTGGGGCTGTCTGTCTGTGTGTGTGTTGCTGTCTTCCTGTATTTGTGTGTGAGTGTGTTTATCTGCCTGTAACTATGTATGTGTGTTACTGCCTGTACCTGTGTGTTTCTGCGACTACCTGCCCTCTGACTATGTGCATGTGGTGTAATTGACAAGTGTATATGTATAGCTGTGCATCTGACTGTGGGACTGTGTGCACATAACTCTGCAAAAATATACACCTGCATTTACACATAGGCTTAAATGCATATTTTTATCTGAATTAAATACGCATCACACACAGCCAATAAACCCAGCACAAATATCACATACAACCAATACACATATATCCCACACAGTTAATACACCCATTACAGATATCACACTAAGCCAACACATAGCATGCATGTCACACACAGTCATCATACCGATCACATACACAGACAACACAAACATTACATCATATTATAGTGAGATGTATTACAGTGAAGCTTTGGTAAATAAAATGCACATTACTCTGTGTTTTATAGTTAGGGAGCACGGTGATACACTAATAGACTCATTACTTAGAGTTGTATTGTTGTGTAGGGTATGATCTTGTCACAGAGCTCCACATTACTGGGAGTTTTATTGTTTTGGAGCTCTGTGATAAATGGAGAAGTATCTCATTACTACAAAATTTTATTTCCAAAGAGGTCAAGGTAAATAAGTATAATCCATAGCTCCAAAGCAAAACCACTCACTGTATTATGTGACATAATTAGTCTGCTCCTCTGTAATGTAGGGGAGGCAGTCTGGCATTTCTGGCCTGCACTTTTGTTGGCTGCAGACCATAAGTAGCTGTCTTCCTAGCTCGGGATAATCAGAGCGCTGCCGCAGATTACCACAGGACACTGCAAGTCACTGCGCTTGCGAGACATTTATGCATGGTCTGTACCCAGTGGAGGGGCAGACCCGATTCAGATCAGCATGCCCCTATCCCAACTAGGTAACAACAGAAAAGGAGGAATTAATGTGTTTTTAAATCATTAATAATTTTATAAATCCCCTATACAATCACTTCACTCCTGTACACACACTGTGTGTGTGGGGGTGGGGGGGCACTGTGAAGATTTTTCGCACAAGGCGCATAAAGGCCTTAGGCCGGCCCTGCTTGCAGGAAATTGTCTATCATGATGTGTTGTGGTTAGAAACCTTTCTTATCCAAAGGCCAAAAGCTTTATGAGGTTTCAGTGTGTTAAATACCACAGTAATGGGTTATTACCACTGGCAAAAATTTCTATGGAGGAATGGATGCTGAGAAAGTACTTTAAAGAATGAATGTATGTTTGATAGCAGGAATGGTAATTTGTGGTACTTGCAGTGAAGCATGGCAATTACCTTGAAAATTCCCATGCCATAACGCTGTTAATAGTTTTGAGGATGTGACACTTGCCTGAGTCCTCTAGATCCCTGTAAGGAAACCTAGTATATCCAATACTCATTCGGTAGTTTCCTTCCGAACGGCCAGAGCATCAGTGACTATAACTCTCCGTTCGGCAGATAAAATAAACGATTCCCATACGCATGCAATAGCTTTTCCAGACGATTCCCTTAGTAAATCATACGAATACCCAAACATCAGCCGGAGTCTAGAAGAAGGGTGCAACAGAACTGAGCTTTAATGACGCCACACTGGCTTTTATGCAAGTCCCTGTGCAAGGGGACATCCCACAGGGAGGGACATGGTACAGCCAATCATAACAAGAAAAATTGTTATACACTCCCATTGCAAACATATAATTCCCACGGACTACGGGACTGAGTCCACGCCTGTGGGGTCGGGACGATCCAGGCCATCCAGTGCCTGGGCGTATAGTCATCGTCCGTTACGTGTGCCCACTGCGTGGGTGTGCGTGTGTAGCTTACTAGTCTCCAAGATAATGTGTTGGGTGTATAGCTCGGGGCGTGGTGCTGTCTGTATGTCATCTGTCGTGTCAGACAGGTGTGGGGCCTTATTGTGTAATGCCGCCTCTATCCCTTACGTTGAGGTGTATCAAAGGACTGGGGTGTCCAAGTAGCCTAGAGCGTGTTTTCTGCTGCTGTCTAGGGGGTCAGTGATCTTCTCCACATCTGTGGCCTGGTCATACCGAGGTCTACAGCCTTCTCGGTGTTTCACTTTTACTCTAAGGCTCAGTCCGGCCCGTTAGACAGGCCTGTCTAGTCTGGAGAGGGCCAGGGGGAGAGGATGATAAAAAAAAAAGGGGGGGAGGGGGGTGAGGGTGGAAAGGGGGGGACGGGTTACGCGGCCAGGGTATTGGGTGCGGGGGGAGGGGTGTGAAGGTGCGGGTTGGTGTGTTGGTTTAGGAGGCCTGTCTGCCCTCCGCGATATATAGGAGCCAAGGGGTCCAGGTCTGGTTACATTTTTCGGAACGTCCCTGTAGGTCCGCCGTCATGGCTTCCATGGCTTGTATTTCTACTACCCTGTCTACCCACTGTTGGAATGTGGGGGCCGCCATTTTCTTCAAAGTGTTGGAATCAGGGATTTCGCAGCCGTCAATAGATGTTTCGTCAGAGACTTCTTGTAGGTTTGCAATGCCATGGTTGTGTGGTGTAGTAACATGGGTAGGGGTTGTAGCGGGAGTTCTGGATCCGAAATTTCCCTGATTTTAGTATTCACCATCTCCCAGTATGGGGAGATGACTGCGCACGACCACCAGATGTGGATCATGGTCCCTCTTCCCTGACCACATCGCCAGTACGTCTCCTCAGCGTCTGGGTTCATGCGGTGTATTATATCCGGGGTCCTGTACCAGGTCGTCAATATTTTATAACTCATCTCCTGAAATTTCAAGCTAATGGAGCTCTTGTGTGTGAGTAGAAACATTTTATCCCATCCCTTTCCCATCTGTTAATGAACTTCGGTGTCGGCCCCATCTCTCCCTCTAATAGCATTGCGTATAGCTTCGATATCCCTCTCACCATATGTTGTCTAGATGTGCATATCTTCTCGAAGTCTGTGAGGTCACAGTGAAATTGGTGTTTAGCTGCCACATTGGAGTAGAAGTAGACTCGGTCCAGGCCTGTTGGGGTGGTGTCGGGGAGCAGGTCTGTTAGTGTTTTTAGTGTGCCATTGCCACACCATTGACGTAGGTATATCCAGTCCGTTTGTGCAAAATTTCTTAGGTCTGCTGGTGTCCGTTCCCCTCCTATGTTGGGGTTGTAGACTATGGGTGTGAGTGGGCTGGTGCGGGTGGCGTAGTGCGCACCAGATCTTCACGGTAGCATCTATCAGGGGGTTACCAGTTTTGAGCTTGCTGGGTGTTATTCCGGTCCCCCACAGCGTCGCGGGAATCCATCCCCCGGTCTGTGAGATTCCGGCACGCACCCAGATTTTGTCTGTCTGTCGGGCATGCCAATCAGTAATTCTCAGAAGGTGAGTTGCACGGTGGTAGCCTATGATTGAGGGCAGCCCCGCTCCACCCCTCGGCTTGGGTTGTTCAAGTAGTCGTTTGCTGACCCGTGGGGCTCCCCTCCTCCAGACAAACCTCCGTATGGCTGTGGCGATGGATTGGAAAAAGGCTTTCGGTAGGGTGATCGGGATCGTCTGGAAGAGGTATAGAAGGGTGGGAGGATGTTCATTTTGATTTCGTAAATTCGTCCGAACTATGAAATGTAGAGGTCTGTTCATTTTTGCATATCTTTCTGTAAGGAGGTGAGGATGGGAAGAAAGTTTGCCTGGTAGAGTTGCGGCAGCTCCCTGGTCAGCCAGATGCCGAGATACTTCAATTTGGTTTCACATCTCCTGAACCGTAACTGGGACCGCAGGTGTGCATCCAGTCTTGTGGAAATCGAGATACTGATGAATTCCGACTTGTCCGTGTTGAACTTGAGATTCGACACACTCCCATACTTGCGGAAGAGCTCTAGGAGGTTCAGGATGGTAGTCAGTGGTCTTTCAATGAAGAAAAGCATGTTGTCCGCATAGGCTGCGACTCGATGCTCTGTGCCCCGGAGGGTGTGTCCAGCTATCCCCCCCCCCCGTCCTAACCGCCTCCAGGAACAGCTCCAGTGAGCGGGCGAACAGCAGGGGAGAGAGGGGGCACCCCTGTCTTGTGCCGTTTCGGATAGGAAACGGCTCTGATAGAGCGCCATTGAGTCGTATTTGCGCTGTTGGTATTGTGTAAAGGGCGGAGATCCATGCCTGTACATGCGGTCCGAAGCCCATGTGGTGTAGCGTGGCCTTGAGGTATGTCCAGTCCACTCGGTCGAAGGCCTTCTCTGCGTCTGTGGACAGGAGGGCCAGCCCCCCTCCCTGCCCTCGGGCAGAGTGGATGATGTTAAGGGCCCGTATGGTGTTGTCCCATGCTTCTCTGCCAGGTATAAAGCCCACCTGGTCTGGGTGAACTAGGTCGGGCATTATCCTGGAGATGCGTAGGGCCATGGCCTTTGCGAACAGTTTGAGATCCGAATTGAGGAGAGAGATTGGGCGGTAGCTCGCGCAACATGCCGGGTCCTTTCCCTCTTTTGGGAGGACTGTGACTATGGCTCTGAGTGAGTCTGCCGGGAATTGGCGACCCTCCAATATGGAGTTCAGTCGCTCTAGCAGGCGCGGCAATAGGATATCTTTGAAGGTGCGCAGATAGCTCGCAGGGTAGCAGTCCGGGCCTGGTGCTTTGTGTTGTTTGGTAAGCTTGAGTGCCGCGTACAATTGCTCGACGGTTAGTGGTTGTTCTAAGCCTGCCGTTGTCTCCAGGGTCAGTTTTCGGGCGGCGTTCCTGGTGAGGAAGTCCACGAGTTCGTGTCGGTGCTGGGTATATCCGCCAGGTTGTAAAGGCCGGTGTAGTAGTCCCTAAACGCCTGCATGATCTTGGCCGGGAGTCGAGTTTCTTTCCGTTCCTGGGTGTTGATTTTGTGGATGTGGTTAAGCCTCCGCTGTTGCTGGAGGGTCCTGGCCAATAGCCTCCCGCAATTGTTCGAGTTTTCGTAGAAATATCTGTTAGACCTGCGTATCACATTGAGAAGTTTCGGGGAGAGCAGATCTCTAAGTTGTCTCCAAGCGTCAGTCAGTAATAGGTACACGTCATCTGTTAGTTCATTTTTGTGTTTGTTCTCTAGTTCAGCTATTCATTTGGTCAAGTCCAGGATGCGTTTGGTGTTCTTGCGTTTGCGTTGCGTGCAATAGCTGATATAGTGCCCTCTGATTACGCACTTATGTGCTTCCCAGGTTATCAACGGGGGCACATCGGGTGTGGTGTTAGCTTCGAAGTATTGTGTGAGGACCTGTGTGGTCATTGTTACGCATTCGGTGTTGGTCAGCACCGACTCATTGAGCTTCCACTGGCGTTCCTTTGGCTTGAATAGGGGTGATGTGATCCGGACGGATACTGGTGCATGGTCGGAGTCTCCATGAATCCCTATTTCCACGTCTATAAGCAAGGGCAGGTATTCTTGCTCGATGAAGATATAGTCGATCCTGCTGTACTGGTTGTGTGCAGCTGAGTAGCAGGTGTAATCCTTGTCTTCTGGGTGTGCTGCCCACCAGCAGTCAGCCAGCCCCAGTCTGTTCAGCGCTTGTTTGGCCGTGCGTATGCAATGGTCGGGGATAGTGCTGGATCCTCGTGAGGAGTCTATTCTCGGGTCCAGGGGTAAGTTTAGGTCCCTAGCAAGTATCAGGAGTCCTTCTCTGAATTTTTCAAGGCGAGACAGTGTCCGGGCTAGAAATGTGTGCTGGCCTCTTTTGGGGCAGTACACATTGGCTAGTGTGTATGGGCGATCAGCTATCGTGCCCTTCCCAAAGAGATCCCTTCCAATGCACGTCCACACAGATAGACCCGCTCGGAAGGTGACTGTCTGCGCGAAGAGAATCGCCACCCCCGACCATTTAGATTCTTGGTGGTTCGCGAAGTACCCTTGTGGGTATCGTCTGTTGCGGAGCGTGGGGGCATTCCCCTCGGCAAAGTGAGTCTCCTGTAGGAATGCCACGGAAACCCGAAGGGACCACAGTGTCCGCAGGAGCTGCTTACGTTTTTCTGGGATATTAAGTGTTATATATTTTATCCTCTTTATCTCTGCGCAGTTTATTTGTTTCAGCTATTTTATCCTCTTGTTGTTTCACTCTGTTACAGATCTCTTGTTCTTTTTCTTCATATTATGTTGTTTCCCTATTAATATTAACCTGAGTTTCTGATACTTTACCTTCCCCCTTTTATTAACAGATCTTTTTTCTTTTTCATATTCCACTATTAATCTAGCTTTCTAAAATCTGATCCCATTTTTTCATGAAATTTGTATTATCAATTCCACAAGCTTGAGTTTTTCTACTCTTAACCTTATAGGAATTAACCTTAAATTATAGGAATTAATTTAAGTAGTCCTCCAAATATATCTCCCACCATTTAAAAAAAAAATATTTAGCTTTTTTTATTAAAGGGACACTATAGTCACCTGAACATCTACAGCTTAATGTAGTTGTTCAGGTGAGATCTATAGCTCCCTGCAGGCAATCTAATGTAAACACTGTATTTTAAGAGAAAATACAGTGTTTTCATTGATTGATAGGAATACCTCCAGTGGCCGTCACTCAGACGGCCACCAGAGGGACTTCCTATCATGCAGGGCCCTAAAAATGCCCTGTACACGTCAGACGTATTAAAATACGTCTGACGTGTGCAGGAGAGAGAAGGCACTGGAAGCGTCCGATTGCTCGCGCCCGCCTATTTTGTCATTTTGACGAAATAGGGGGCGCGGCTTCACGAGGCTCCCGGCGCTGGAACCAGGTGAGTAAAAACTGCTGCCTGGAGAGTCCCTTTAATCTTTCCTGGCTAAGGAAATAAGAATTTTATGTTTCTCTTAGGGGCATGGTGTCATGAATGCACCCTACTGCAAGCGTGCACAAGACTTGGTTCTTGTGATGAAAGGTTGAACCCCTTAAGGACACATGATGGAACTATTCCATCATGATTCCTTTTATTTCTGAAGTTGTGTCCTTAAAGGACCACTATAGTGCCAGGAAAACATACTTGTTTTCCTGGCACTATAGTGCCCACCCCTCTCAGGGTCCCGGGCTGGATGGAGAGGAAGGGGTTTAATTTACCTCTTTCTCCAGCGCCGGGCGGGGAGCTCTCCTCCTCCTCTCCTCCCTCTTCTCCTCCTCTTCGGCTGAATGCGCATGCGCGGCACTGGCATCTTCTCACTGTGATAATCACATAACTCTGCCATCGCCAAGCCAATTAAGCAATAATCACATAACGCTGCCTCCACCAATACAATTTATAAATAATCACATAACGCTGCCATCGCCAAGACAATTTATCAATAATCACATAACGCTGCCACCACCAATACAATTTATAAATAATCACATAACGCTGCCATCGCCAAGACAATTTATAAAGAATCACATAATGCTGCCACGCCAAGACAATTTATAAATAATCACATAACGCTGCCACCACCAAGACAATTTATAAATGGGGTGCCTTCATTCCCCAATCAAAGTGGACTAAAATCCCACAAAATAAGCTTTAACAGAGTATGTCAATTCAATCTACTTCTAAATTGGTTTTATCAGCTAACGTCTTTACCTGAACTTAACCCATTAAGGACACCGCTTCAGAAGCTTGTCTTACGCATAAGGACACAAGCCATTTTTGTATTTTTTGCTTTTTGTGTTCAAATGCCATTTGCATCTCTGTCATTTATTGCACCAACACATATTATATATTGTGTTTTTAGTGGGCAAACAGGGCTTTAATTTGATGTCACATATACATAGATACATTCTCATTAATTATAAAAAAAAAAAGCAAATTTTTTTTTTTTTTTAAGAGATTGTTTTCACAGTTTTGGCAATAACAGCGGGTGCATAATATGTCCAGCTTAGAAAAAGTAATTCAAAATAAATTAATTTGTGTCTTGATTTATAGAGTACATAATATGTATAGGATTTCAGCTTGTTTTGAAAGTTACAGGTCACAAAATACAAGGACTAAAATAAAATTTCAGTTTGCAACAATTTTAGAAGTTTGTCTTGTAGGTTTAGTAACCATCACAGAAAACATAAATTGCCACACAGAAGTATATATTTATATAAAGTAGACATCACAGGCTATTTACCTAAGGTTAGTTTGACACTTTTTACGTAGCCATTTCATCGCCAATCTCTGCTAAATATTGGAGTAAAATTGTGTTTTTTCTTTATTTTGGCATATACACATATAACAAGGTTTTTGTAATGTGTATTTCGTAAACCTGGTGTGTGCTATTCCTGCACAGAACCCCATTTTGTGTTCAGCTACATATAAGTATAACAAGTATAACAATACCCCCATTATATGCCTTTGACACTTTTCTGTAAAGCTACAATGCCACATAAGAGACAGGGCTATTTCAGTTTTTTCGTAGATGGATTTGACAGGGCCATGTCTCATTTTAGGGTATTATAGCAGTGTGACTGTTAAAATAACCCCAGAAAGGGCTTTCATTTTGTAAAGCAGACACCCCAGGGTATTATATATATATATATATATATATATATATATATTGTATATTGTGCCTTAACTTGTCACAATTTTTTTCAACAATTTGTCAATGTTTGTGGTGAGGGGGGGGGGGAAATTGCATTTTTACATATATGTTGCATTTTTGCTGAGTATTTCTTACACTTGATATGTACCACTGTCATATCTTGATATGGACTGTGTCCATGTTCCATTTTGGAGTAGTTGAGTTGGTTGGTTATTCAAACATCTCCACAAACACATACTATTTATTAAAGGACCACTCTAGGCACCCAGACCACTTCAGCTTAATGAAGTGGTCTGGGTGCCAGGTCCTTCTAGGGTTAACCCATTTTTTCATAATTATAGCAGTTTCAGAGAAACTGCTATAATTATGAATGGGTTAAGCCTTCCCCCTAATCCTCTAGTGGCTGTCTCATTGACAGCTACTAGAGGCGCTTGCGTGCTTCTCACTGTGAAAATCACAGTGAGAGCACGCCAGCGTCCATAGGAAAGCATTGTAAATGCTTTCCTATGAGACCGGCTGAATGCGCGCGCAGCTCTTGCCGCGCGTGCGCATTCAGCCGGCGGGGCGTAACGGAGGCGGAGAGGAGGAGGAGAGCTCTCCGCCCAGCGCTGGAAAAAGGTAAGTTTTTACCCCTTTCCCCTTTCCAGAGCCGGGCGGGAGGGGGTCCCTGAGGGTGGGGGCACCCTCAGGGCACTATAGTGCCAGGAAAACGAGTATGTTTTCCTGGCACTATAGTGGTCCTTTAAAGAATATACCCTGGGGTAATTCAAAAGCGTGGGATAATTTTTTATCTAGTTTGTTCCAGGTGTAGTGGTAATGAGCATTTTTAAATGTTTTTTTTTTCACTTTTTAAAACTCGTTTTTAAACTTTTTTTTAATAAATTTTTTTTACAGATTTAACATTTTTATAAACTTTTTTTTTTTTACGGTTAACCCCTAACTAGCGGTTAGCAGCACTAACCGTAAATTCCCCAATTTCCCATAACTCCCACCCACCCCAGCTAATAAAATATATCATTTTAAAATATTTAAATTAATTAATTAAATAAATTGAACCCCTGAGGGTTAAAAAAAAATAAAAAAATTGGATCACAGTATAATACTGTGATCTGTATTTTCATCACTGTAGTTAGTGATCAACTGACGGGAAGGGGTTATTTTTTATTAGGACTGGGTAAAGGGGGGTGGGATTTTTTAAAACTTTTTAAAAAAAAAAACTTTTTTTAACGTTAACCCCTAGCTAGCCTAACACCAAATTCCCAATTCCCCACTAACTCCCACCCACCCCAGTTAGCTAAATATAACATTTTAATATATTAAAATTAATTAATAAAACAAAATTAACCCCTGGTGGTTACGAAAAATAAAAGTTGACCCTTAGGGGTTAAAAAAAAAAAACCAGATCACAGTAAAATTTAGTCTCTGCCAATTGATCACTGTAGTCAGTGATCAATTGGCAGGGAAGGGGTTAATTTTTTTAATTTATAATGAGTAAAGAGGGGGTGGGATTTTAAACTATCTTTATTTATTTTTTAACTCGGAGAAGATCAGCACTAATCCATCTCCCTGCACTTCACACAGACTACGGAAGAGCAGGGAGGCGGAACGTGAGTCCCTGCAGCACGTGTGCTCGCTCTGACAGCCTGAGGTTAACTTTAGTGCATTACGGAGCCGGTCCGTCATCCGGCGTTAACTGCTTCCCCGCCGTTATGGACCTGGTCCGTCATCCAGTGGTAAGGGGTTAAAGGAATAATTATTGTGGACAAAACAATAGTCACAGTTCGTATATAAAAACAGATTACAAATTATTTACACCAACAACAGATAAAAATAAAAAGGAAAATTAACAGTATTTCTTCTTACGCTCTTAGATTCTAAACGAAACAGTGTCTTCTGCTGTCTATTTCTAGCACGGAAATATGGTGACTAATGCAAAATTAGATCTTTGCCCCTAGTAAGCACACTTGACATTTGCCCATCATTAGATTTTTACGCCCTGTATTCATCTCAGGTTTGCCGGCCTAGAAGTGGAATAGGTGGAGGGAAGGCGTACCGCTAAGTACAACAAGTTATCTCCCCCTTGTGTTTCAGACCAACGCCTTCCAAACTTTTGATTGTATTTTCTATTTTCTGCTAACCACAGAAATTATTATTGCATCTATGAGTTTGTTGCATTTTTTCAATTCCACACATATGTCACTTGTGACCTAATACAGCAGACTTCACAATTCCTTCCAAACGGTTTAAAGGACCACTATAGTGCCAGGAAAACATACTCGTTTTCCTGGCACTATAGTGCCCTGAGGGTGCCCCCACCCTCAGGGACCCCCTCCCGCCCGGCTCTGGATATTACCTTTTTCCATGGGCGGAGAGCTCTCCTCCTTTTGTTTGCGCACGCGCGGCAAGAGCTGCGCGCGCATTCAGCCGGTCATAGGAAAGCATCTAAATGTGCACAAAATAGGTGGCATTATTAATTATTCATAATTATAGCAGTTTCTCTGAAACTGCTATAATTATGAAAAAATGGGTTAACCCTAGAAGGACCTGGCACCCAGACCACTTCATTAAGCTGAAGTGGTCTGGGTGCCTAGAGTGGTCCTTTAAGCTTGGTAAGCAAAATTTATATTCATTTTCTTTTGTAGGGTTTGCTTTCCCCATTCTAAATGTGCACAAAATAGGTGGCATTATTAATATGTAGGTTATTATTAATGATTTTTTTGGATATGATACTGAAAGAGAATAATCCCCTGACTGCTAATTGGTCACTTAGCAAATCAAAAGAATCCACTATTCATGAGGGGATGCAGGTATATGGTAGATTAGTCAGTTAGTTTACATTGAAACTAGACAAAGAGGCAACTCGTGTAACATTTCATACCTGGCATAGGAGCTCTGGTTGAAGTCACAGCTTCAAATGAGAAATTTATATTGTAAGCCTTCTGGCGTCTATCACATTTCTACACAATGAATTTTAACCCCTCTCCTGTCTCCTGCTGAAATTGAAAATACCTCCTCTACCGTGTAGCCAATTCATATATGCACTACACAACTCACCTTATTTAGCAATATTCTATAGCGCAACAATGAATTCTGCATCCTTGGCGTGACAAATGGTATCTGTGGTTTGGTAAAACATTTTTTCAAACTTTGCATTTCTACCTCTCTGTATATTGGTTAAAAAAATTGCAGTGATATTTGTATGTTGTGAAAGTGATGAGGAACTAACACAATATAGAAATATATATGTGTGTGTGTGTGTGTGTGTGTATATATATATATATATAATGTTAAAAACTCAACTCAAGTGCAAAACAGTGAAAAAATATATACAAAGAAAAAAACTTCCCTTAACAGAGAAGAATGTGCCCTGAAGACTTCCTTTAGTTTTAAAATACAGAATACAAAGAAAAATAGGGGAAGTTCTATTAAGAAAACAGAATAAAAAAACAAGATGGTATATAACTGTGTATAATTATTATTATTTTATTATTTATGAATAATACTTGAAAAATCCCTAGTGCTGTGCAATGAATTATGATAATGTTTTCCAACTGGCCACTCACACTTAGTATGCCAAATAATGCCTTGTAAGCAGTGGCGTACACACAATCCATTGGGCCCCGGTGCAAAACTGATCCGTGGGCCTCCCCCCACTCCCCACCCCCGACAGACACATACAGACACACACACACAAACACACACACACAAGACACACATACAAACAAACAGACAGGCGCACACATACATACAGACAGACAGACACATACAGTCCGACACACACATACAAAGACATATACAAACCAACATAGACAGGCACATACAGACATAGACACATACACACGCACACACACACGACATACAGACAGACAGTCACACAGACAGACACATACAGGCACACAGACAGACACACACACATACACATACAAAGACTTATACACACATACAAACACACACACAAAATGTTTGTCACCCTCCTGTTTCCTACCTTTTAGGTGAAGGAGGGTGACTTTCCCTGGCGTCCACTGGTGGCTCAGGTTGATGGGAGTCAGAGTTCCCACTCTGACTCCCTCCTCTGCTTCCTCCGCGTGGGCTCTGTGTATGCTGGGAGGAGTGACCGGGGGAGTCCCTTCCTCCCAGCAGTGATGTCATCACAGGGGGCCTGGTCGCGCTGTTAAAGCGCCCAGCGCTACCTGGGCCCCCTGACAATTCATCTCCATCAAGTGACCCTAACAGCATGGGCCACCTGTTGAACCCCTTGGGCAGTGGTCCCGGCGGTTTGGCACGCGGGCCGGGGCCGCAAAAGATGGCAGCGGGTATCCAGTCGCAGGGGTCCGCAGGGCGGCTGGGCCCCCTGGAGTGACGGGCCCGGTCGCAGCTGTGACCACTGCGACTGCGGTATGTACACCACTGCATGTAAGTAATGCCCAGTGAATTGGTGTGTCTTCAGATGTCTAGAGTTAATGTTCACTATTAACAATGAAGGCTCATGAGTTCAGAAAGAGAAAAAAATATAATGCAAATTAAATGATGTGAATTTAAAACAATGTATTCACTTCCATCCAAGGTTAAAAACAGCAGATATAATTAAGTCACCACAGGTTGCCCCACTGGTTTTGTCCTTTTAGGGCCTTTGTCAGGGACCATTGATTTTTGAAAAAGCATAAAAAGAAAGTACTTGTGGGCAGTAGCACATGGCGCCGGAGCAGTGCAGAAGATTACATTTTATATTCATTAATTTTTCTTCACCTCAGACTTTGCCTTGGGGGGCTGGTGTGCTAGCTTAGGTGGCCGCATTGAGGCTTCCAGTAGCCTTTACACCGGCCGTTTACAGCACAGAATGGCCAGAAAAAGGTGCATTTTTTGTTGGAGCCAACCAGTGCACTCAAGCTGTGCTCCCCAGCCTCAGCCATCTGACAGAAGAGAAAACCTCATACATGAAGAAACTTCACGCTGCCTTCAGAGTCCCCACTGCCAGTAACTGGTACTTGTAGGCTTGCCCAGCAGCCCATGATGGTGATTGTGTGTGTGCTTACCAGTGAGCTTGTCTGTAGTGAGCTATTGTGTGTGTGTGTGTGTGTGTGTCAGTAAACTTGTGTTGGTCGTAGAGCTTGTATGTGTGTGTCAGTGAGCTTTCTGTAGTGAGCTACTGTGTGTTTTAGGGAGCCTGTCTGTAGTAAGCTTGTGTGTCAGTGAACTTGTCTGTAGTTGATGGGGGGAGGGGGGAAGGAGTGTGGGTGTCTGCAGTAAGTCTCTATTCTGAAAACTATTAGATTAGGCTGTCAGGATTCTTGTGCCTATAGTGTCCCTTTAATTTTAATTGATTGGATGCTAGACAGACAATACATACCGATTGAAAAAGCCCTTGTGAAGGGTGAAACATGTCTCGGATAGCGGAATCCATGTTGGACATCAACATTAGCATATTGCCATTTTTATTTATTTTATTTGTTTAAACGTGTTTAATTTTATCAAATAAATTCATTTTACTTCAAAGTCTGTTTTGGGTCCTCCTAAGTTGCTCCAAGAAGGGTGGTTTCCTCGTTATAGACACCCAGGCTATTTTACCCAGAGCCAGGAACACAGGCTCTGGACAAGGTGAGCAACCACTTGCATTTAAATATATACCATCCAGTATCCTTACCTACTACACCAAAGGTGTTTCTTGCTGTGTTGTTTTTGTCTCTTTCTTTGAGGAGAAGTATCGTGACCTAAAGGGTAAAGTGCCACCAGGCAGCATTAATGCTGATCAGAGTTGAGCCTTTACTGTTTAAGGCTCTTTTACATGGGAGTTGACACTTCAAAGTTTCTTCACATTATACTTCAATACCACAGATTTATGCTATGTGTTCCCCCCCTGTTTTCTCTTTTGTATATGCATTGAGATCAACTGGACTGCATTACTGTCCCAATTCTGTGATAAGACCGGTAAATCCCCATTTAGGGTAGGTGTCTAATCTGAATTATTTAACGCTCCACTCTTGAAGTTAATAGCTTTTGGGCTCTATTCCACTTTCTTTTTTCAAAACTATAGTTTGTTTTTGTTTTGTTTTGTTTTTTACAGATATGGGTCATAGCCAAACTGTGTTTACACCGATACTTATCCGAGATTTTCCTGCATTTACAATAATTTGTGGGTATAGACAGATACTGATCAGGGATTTTCCTGGATTTGGATAATTTTTGTGTGCCTGAATTTAGAAAGTTTTAAGTGAACATTATTATTTGCGATTCTATCATGGCCTTTTAAACAAAGGGTTAAATACATGAGATACCAAGTCAATATGCTTTGAGTGTATAGGTTTCAAAAATTCTTGTGCATAGGTATTGATTGTAGTCCAATTATGACAAATTTTAGCAACAGTTTTGTTTGTCATAGATTGTAAATTATTTCAAATAAAAAATTTCAACGCATCAATGATTTAAATGCAACAAGAGAAAATTGTAGCTCATGAGTGCTGTCCAAACGTGGACAAAATTGATATTGTAAATGTGTAAGTGTATCTTTCACAATAGCAATATTCCATGTACATTTAAAAACCTAAAGCTGCAGAGAATGTTTAAAAAAAATAAAACCACAGCCCATTGCTAATTGTTAGGTGTCTATTGGCTTGTGCATAAATCTATATAGTGAGAGTGCCACTTTAAATAAGAACATAGACAGGCATGGTAGAAAAACAGAGCAACTTATGGCCGGAGGGCAAAATGAATGGCCATTTTTTATGCATGAGACTTCTGTGTGTCTTGTGTGTATGGTCCTGTTAATGAGGAGCACACAATCTATGGATTTGATAAATAAAGGCTTCTGGAGTTCTGGGTTATGATATCATATATTCGAGCCTCCTCTGCCAGTATGACCTTATAGCTCTCTGAATGCCCAGTTGATGCTCGTCCATAGGGGCACTTGAGACTGTGCCCCATCAGTTTTTATGTGGGTGGGGGGATATGCAGTAGTTTAGAAACACGATTCTTTTCAAGGAGGGGGTTAGATAATATGGGGGAGAAAAGTATCTACTACATGGCAATGTTACATTTCAGAGTTAAACCTAAAGAGAGCTAGAGACTTGGAGAGTGCTGCAGAGCTAGAGTTAGAGAGTTGGAACATTATACAGAGACAATCTAGGTTGTGGGTACCATTGTATTGCATCTCTGTGTCATCCATATCAGTATCCCTGGGTATGTGGGATAGTTATAGGTATATGCATATTTTGCCAGCTCTGTGTGTAGTGTCTATGTATTTTACTTTGCCCTGCCTGTTGTATGACTATCTTTCTGTTGAATGGAGGCTACCTTTTGAGGATAAGCATATAGATGCTACAGGTCAGAAGATGGCTATAGAGTTAAAGGGTGGAGTCAAATCCTGAGGGTAGAGTCTACCTGCCCACCATCCTAAAACATCTCCACTGTGTATGCCTAAGAGACAAAGAGACTGTATCCCTGGACTCCATTGTCATTGACAGCCAGAGTGTTTTTATGAATGTGATGTCCCAATTCAGCCAGCAGCCATTTGTAAACACCTCATAATCTGGCAGCCTCTTTATACCCAGATACTGCAGTGCACTGGAGAATTTCCTCTGGACCGGCCCAGGGGCCTTGAGAAAATTGTTTTTGCAGGCCACCAGCTAATGTAAAAATATGTTGACAAAACTCATGACATCCCAGAGACCACCCTTTCCTTGGCGCATTCATTCATATAAAATATCAGATTTATCAGTGTCCGTTTCATCCATCATGGTTGGCTGTGATTAGTAAACTGCCCTCAACACTCTGTTAATCACCATTGTCTTGGTCACGGGTAGGTAACCTTTTAGTAGTACTGTGCCAAATGGAGATTTTAAAGTCCATTGGCGTGCCGGTACTATTTTTGTTAAATTGAGGTGTGTATGTTGCCGTATTCTGCTTGTGTTATTTGTGGGTGCCGCAGTTGCTTTGTAGCATTGTATTTGTGCCTATGTGGGCTGTTACATTGTATAGAATTCGTTCATGAGTAGTTTGTGGTATTGTGTATGGTTGTGTATGATACCTATGAATGTGGGCTGTGTATAGGGGCTGTTTGTTGAATTGTGTGTGGATGACATGTCGCATTGTGTGTTTGTCTGTGTAAGAGGATAGTCCATAGTGTTGTGTTTGTGTGGGGACTATTCGTATAAGTTGGAGCCTCTTTCTGCAGCTTTGTGTTTACCTAACAGTGTGGGTGACTTCCCAGGGGTCCAGTAAGGACCGGGCTAGCAAGGTACAGGTCAAGGGCTAGAGCTGCCATAGCTGCTTCGGGTTGCTCTACTCTAGTGCGGGGTTTTGTTCACCAGTGCTGGGCTATAGTGATCTGAGATCACTTCCTTTAAATGCTGCAATGAATAAATTGAGGATTGCCCTTCACCACGTGCAATCACCACTCGGTTTACACTAAAGACTCCTGATACACCCCCCTGTTTGGCTCTAGTAGTCTTGAGTGCTGTACAAAGGCACCCAGAGTGCCATGCATGGCACACGTGCCGTAGGTTGCTGACACCTGGTCTAGGTTGTACAAACTAACAATGATAATGCAGAAGTGTGTACTGTACTCAGACCAAGTACCTCTGCCAGGACTACTCCCTAGCAGCTTTCAGAGACCCTGAAGTGCGTCAGACCCAAGCCATCCTGGTTTGCTGTAATTGGTAAACTGCCCTCAACACTCTGTTAATCACTAATACTCCTACAGCCATAAATTACAGAGCTTATAACAATTTTACAGTTTTAACAACTTTAAAAAAAATGTTTACAACTCACAAATACATGTTGGTATAAGTACCCATAATATTAAAATCCTGGGAAGCATTTCCTGTTAAAAATATATATATTCGAAAATAAGAAAGGGGATGAGGTAGCATGACATTGTGCTTGTGTGGTATCATATTAGACTATTTGTTTGTTGTTACTTTCTAGGCCAAAAATAGCCTAAACCCAGTGTGATCATACAAGGCACACATTTTCTCATCAATTCATCTTAATAAGCTAAGAATTGGTACCATGAAAAAAATGCTGTAAAACAAATTGCTTTTAATGAAAGAACAAAAGGCTGTTTGTAGCATATTCATACATTTGTAAATATTGTTTAGTTTATAAAGTGTCAAATTATAGGAAAAATGAGTTTCAGATGGCTGATTCACGATAAGATATAACATTCTATGATCCTTGTTCATATTTAAACGTACAACTCAAAGTTTTTGACTGAGTCACTATTCCTAATTCTGGTCTCTGTTCCATCAGGCTTGGGCTAAGGAGACTGGAAAATTTCAGGAGGGAGTGGATGAACCTGACCCAGCCAAATGGAAAGCAAACCTTCGTTGCGCCCTGAACAAGAGCAGAGAGTTTAAACTGCTGTATGATGGCACTAAGGAAACCCCCATGCAGCCCTTCAAGATTTATCAGCTATGCGACCTTCCAGGACAGGTTGAAGGTGAGTTCATGCGTGTATTCACATTCAGTCCTTTATCATTTCTGGAAATATAATTTCCAATGCATCATGGGATGTATACTTTTTGGAGAACTGCTAAAATATACTGCTATTCATATCAAAATAGCTTGCTATACTCATACCAAGTACCTCCGCCAGGTCAGCTATCGGAGACCCAGAAGTTCGTCATACCCAATCACTGAAGCTTGGGTGGGGTCGCTGAGTACCTCCTCCTCCTCCCGGGGCCACGCCACAGTGATTATAGCTTTTATACATCCTTTCCCCCACACATTAGTTGAGTCTGAATGCAAAGGGTAGAATTAATCTTTATTGTAAGGTCACAATGTTGACTCTTTCCTCCTGGGGGTCTTTATCCCTGTAAAGCTCATCACCGAGCGCCCTTGCTGTCCAAATAGCGCCATGATCAGAGAATCCGTACCTTAGATACAGCATGTTAAACTTTTAATGCGGCTATTCTTCAATCCGGCGACTATTTCCAGGAATGCGGCCGCTTTGTGCAGATCTCCAAAAAGGGGTTCCCCTCTGGGCAGGGGAGTGCTTTCAAGCCCAAAGTATCTTTCGATACCTCCCTGACCTTCACTCCAAACAGTGCTCTTTGAAAGTTAGGGGGCTATCTGCTAAACAGCTGCAAGACCGCAGCACAGTTCAGAATTTCATTCTTTGGAATAAAATTCCGAACTGAAAATAGTACAGAATTTCAACCGAACACGAATGAACAAACTACAGATATTCGGTTTGTAAGAAAATTGGTAAATTCACCGGTGCCCTAGTTTAAATGACAGATCATTCAGTCATGGCGAATGGGGGCATCGCGAGAACGTGGAGGAGGTTGAATATTGTGGGAAAAAGTTATTTGACACAGGAAATGGAGCTGACTTAAGTTTATCCTTTGGTCAAAAAAAGTCAAGTGTATGAAAAATACATAGGGCAAAGTAGTCCCTACTTCATCTTATGTTTTAAAGAAAACTAGATCAGGTATGAAGAAAAGGAGTGCTTTCCAGTGGATTCTGAACGAGAAAGAGTTTGGCATGACACTTTGAATACATAATTTAGCTGGACTGTTAATGTGTGTTTTTTTTGTAATTCATTTTTACATAATCTACACTGGAATGTAAGGACTTTGAGGAGGAAGTGGCATTCAATCCTTTTTCTCCCTTTTTTCAATTTATATTCAAGGGAGAATTGGGTGATGATAACATTAACTCTTAAAGTGAATTGTCCAATTTGAGATAGAATACAGATAAAAAAATTTTTTAGTTCAGTAAGCTAAACACAGTTATTCACGAAAGTGAGAATTGTCTGGAATTCAAAGTCAAATTCAAACTTAAAGCCAAAATTCTCAGTCTCCTTCCAGTTCAGCTGTTTTGGCCTTAAATTTTGAAATTCTCTTTAAAATTCGTACTTTCATGAATAACACTTTCTAAATATTTATACATTGTAAACATTTTAATGGCTAGGTCTCCTCTTTCCTCACTAGCTCATTTATTATATTATCTTGAACCTTTTGAACACGAGAAATGTATTTATTTTTTTTAACTAAAAATGTTACTAGTAGGGGAATGACAGAATTTTGTTTTTGGTTTGGGATCTATTTAGTCCATTACTGTTCGCTCTAGAACATACATGCAAGAATGATGCTTTGTTTTCTTCTGCACTGAATGACTAGCAGAGATCCAAATTTGCTAAATCTCATGCCCTTTTATTTTTTCTAACGATGCAATGCTTTCTGTCTCCACAGAGCCACCTGTGGATGAAAATGGTTGTGAGGAAGAGGATGAGGTGAGGCTCATAACACTATTGAAGTGTTCACATTTTCGTCCATTCTTTTAAAGTTTTCCTTTCTTCTACTTTAGATGAAAAGCCCTCTGTTCCTCTGAACTATTTCCTGTCACCCAGTTAGCAATGTATTTCTTTTAATTACAGATTGATCACATATTCCCATTGCTTGACATCAGTGATGAGTCTAAGAATATTCCTGTTTCAGTGCCTGCAATTCATTGGAGACAAAGTAAGACCTTTATCTAGTTTATAGACTGTAAGCTCGTTTGAGCAGGGCCCTCTTTAACCTATTGTTCCTGTAAGTTTTTGATATTGTCTCATTTATTGTTAAATCTCCTCCTTTGATAATATTGTAAAGCGCTACGGAATATGCTGGCGCTATATAAATACCAGTAGTAATAATAATAATATAATTTGGAGGAACTCTGTGTCCTTCAAAATAATAAAATTGTATTTTATACTTGATTTATATGTCCACAATGATGTTTTAAAATGTTTTTGTTTATTAATTATTCTGTCATTTTATTAATTGTATAATTCTAAATTGACTACCAAAGATTATTTTTTATTTTGTAAACTAAACTCAGCGGAGCACTGGTAGGGTTTTGGCAAAAACACCGAAAACGTAACGTTTGAAATGCTGCATCTTCTCGTGAACAAATATCTTGACTTCTCTCGTTTACCTGTTTCGAAGACAGTGTATCAAACTAACAAAGCTGTTTATTTATTAAACCGCAAGTTAATTTGTAAATTGTAAAGATTTATAGGCCAAGTCTGAACAATTCTCCAACTGAGGTATACCCAAAACTTTGCTTGTTTTGTATAAATTTGTAGATTTGAAAAAGGAATTGCACATTTTGAAGCAACGGTTGAAGAGTCATTTTCACGGTTGTTCAATTTTTCGGGTTATTCATTAAAGTGAGAAGTATGAAGAATTCAAAGTGATTTTCAAGATAGCTGACTTGGAAATATTCTCCAAGTCACCCATGCTTCCAGTGCGTGTCTGTGTTCGTGTTGGACACGTTTGACCATCATTACATAGAGAATTTCTGTTTGTGTAACTGACAGTATTATACTTGCAGATCACTTGCATCATCATCCTGTTGTTGATCCATATATCTGGCCCAAATCAGAACCTGGATTCATCAGCTCTTGTGGAAGAAATGTATTTCATGGACGTCAGGAGCTCATACAACACAACCAGACCCCCCCAGCTCCTGCTGTGACGCCATCAGTGCCAGGGACATACGCAGGAGTGGAGCTTTCCCCCCAGCCCCCATTGGCTCCACAGACAGGAGTAATCCCTATGCCAGATTTGGTTCCTCCACCATCAGATGCAGTGCTACCCATACAAGGCGTGATTACTGCACCAATTGATCAAGGGATTCCAGAAATGCTTGTCAGCCCCCAGATGCTTCCATGTGAGTATTCTAGGTGGGATCACTGTTATTTTGCTTTGTTTGTGTCCTAAAATTGCCAAGTATTCTGCAATAGCTGTTACTCCCTAACATAAATTCCAAAGTGTCAAATTAACATATGCAGGGCTATTCACTAAACTCTGTATTTCACAAATTAATTCATAACGGCAAAACTATATAAAATTAGCTGATCAGGAAAAATTCTCTGATTCCGCAATAGTCAGTTTGGATATTTATTTATTTATTTTTGTCAGTTTTTCTTTTATTGAGGCTCAGTGTATCATAACAGAATAAAGAAAATGGGTTATAGCAGGTGATCACATTTCAAGTATACATTTGCAGCTTACAGTATAACCGGAAGCATATCTGCCTCTTTTTTTAATATAAAATATAAAGCAACTCTGGTAACTAATCAAACTTGTCTGGAATGTCATTGCAGTATTAGGCGTGCAAAATAAACCAGTCATGAGAAGTAGTTGGAGTGTGACAATTTCAAACTGTATATTTCTTGTTTGCCGTCTATAGCAAGTGGTGACTGTGTGCAAAGTAATAATGACTAGGATGACACTCTGCAACTGAATCCTAAGTTCGGTATTGGCGCCTAGGTTTAAGTATGGTAAATTAAGAAAGCTGAGTGGGTCAGGGCAGTTCCGTACTGCTAAACCGTTTATGGAAAGACCGACTGATCAAATGTTCCTCTGGTCATGTGAGGTGTACATTAGTTATATATGTGGTGTTACAATCGAGCCTGCCCTGTCACTATAGCAATAGCAAGCACTTCATAAACCTATATCATCCTAACATTCAGTAAGCTTGCACTGTTTGCTATGTTATAGCAGATCATAGTATTAGGCTGGTCAAAGGGACTTGCAAAGCCAAAAGACAAGAGAACTGTGGTTTTTGCAAGCTATTTTTTAGAAATCCTCCCCTAATGAAAAAAAATGCATATATAAATACATGCATTTTTTTATTTGGGGCATATCTGCTGAACAGTGATATTTATTATTTCTGTATTTGGGCAGTGGAGTATCCCTTTACGTTGAATGGTAAGGTAGGAGTACAGGGATTACCTAGCAATACAGCATGTACATGTTTCCAACTCTTTTCCTTGCTATCCTGACTCCCGTAATTGTCGAAGCTTGAGTAGAGAGACGGGGGTAGGGTTCCTGGAGTGGAGCATTAGGACAGGCCTCATCGTGTTTTGCTTTGGACCCAAGGCCCCCATGTGTTTTTAGAAGCTAACAAAACACCTGATGACTTCTATTTGATAATACCAGCATTTTAAAAAACATAAAAAATGCAGATATTACCCCTTTAATTTAAAAGTCCTGTGTTTACATCTAAGGTGAATGTTGTGATGTCAGACATAATTGTTTGTAAAATATGAAAGTATAAGTTCTGAACTTATTATCAGTGGAAATTATCTGAGTTAAATAACCCTTTCTGTATTATCTAAATTGGAATGTATGTATGTATGTGTATATATATGTGTGTATATATAAATAAGATTTTCACAGGATTACACACAACTGCTCCTTAGAATTCACATGATCTTGTTAATGTGTAATACAAGTCATCTCATTAGTATGGCCTACTCATACTGTGTCTAGCAATTACACTGATATAAAATAATGCAACATTTTATGATAATGTATACACAGTTAACCTAATTGAGCCGTGGTATATGTTGAGAAAGTAGTGGTTTAGACAATGTCACAAGGTAGGCGAAGGAGGGATTTTAAATGCCAAGGTGGCCGTGAACAACAAAGAAGATTGGAACACTGTCTGGCAAGGTGGGCTAGGAAAAGGTTGTCTGGGTAGAAGGCAGCTTGCTAGGAAAGCTGGAAATTAACTAGTTGGAAGAAAGGCTGGCTGAGATAAAATGCAGCTAGTATAGAGGGAGGAAAGTTAAGGTGGCTAGTTAGGTGCTATCTGGGTTGGAGAATAACAAATGTAATTAGTTGGAACGTAGGTTGGTGGTTGGTTGGTTGGGATGGATGGAATGTAGCTAGTTAGGAAATGATGAGTTAGTTGGCTAGTTGGGAGGAAGTCCAACATTTTAGGAGGGATGCTAGTAAGAAAGGATATCTTGGAGGGAGGATGGCTGTCTGACTGGGTGGATGTGGCTAGTTAGGAGAGACAATTACTAGCTCAGAGAGAAGAAAATTGGGTGGTTTGGAAGGGATATGTGGTTAGCTAGAAGAGATGGAATGTAGCAAGGAAGGAAATTGGTCAGATGAATAACTAGGAGAGAGAGGTACCAAGCAATCTTAAAGGACAACTATGTATCCTCAAACCATCAGATAGTTTGCCTTGTGTATTCAAACCACATAGAAGGCACATAAATAAACCAACTATGTTCTATGATCCCATTAGATTACCTGTTATTACCTTTTATTCCTTTCTGCAGTGACTGACTTGGAAATAAAGTTTTTATATAGAGGAAAGCAGGCTGGGTCTTTGGTGGTCAGTAACCCTCACGGATGCCGTCTGTTCTACAGTTACATAGAACCTACCCCAGAGCAAGTAGAGCTTTTTGGTCCAACTACTCTTGAACAAGTTCGTTTTCCAGGAACCGAAGGGATTGGTAATGAGAAACAGAAGTTCTACACCAACCATTTGCTTGACGTTATGGATCGTGGGCTTATCTTGTCACTACAAGGGCAGGATATATATGCCATCCGTTTGTGCCAATGCAAGGTCTTCTGGTCTGGACCCTGTGCGAACAACATTCATGGCCCAAACCCAATTGAGAGAGAAAAAAGAGTCAAACTATTCAGTCTGGAGACTTTTCTGAACGGTAAGATTAGAATGCTATAGTAAAGTAGCGCAGAGCATCTAAGAGACATGTGTTCTATAGAACCCTGGAACCCAAATAAATTATATGTTCAATATGTATATTGTTGTTATTCCCCAACAAGCCAGTACTCTAGGTCTCGAAAACAAAACTTTTTATGTCCTGAAGAAAGTTCAGAACCTGAACTGAAACGTTGACAACTATGCACTGATAAAATAAAAAAGAAGACGTTTTGTTTCCAAGACCTAGAGTGCTGGCTGGTTGTGAAATAATGATATTATATATTATAAGAATTATCGGGTTTGCCAGATGTACAGTTGCAAAAAGCCATACAAGAGGTGAGAGAAAAATCCATTTGAAATCAATGCTTTATAACCATTTGCTGCTTAATGCTTTTAATCCATCAGAAAATAGATGAATTACAAATCTGATCAGTGACCAGAAAATCTATAGATACGTCCGTGGTAGACTGCTCTAAGTTGAGAATCTTCCTTAGTCCTGTTCTCTCACCTGAATCTTATGTGTATTTTCAAACTTATATCTATATATTTTTTTAAACTGAAACTATACTGTGTCTGTAATAGTGACACTCATTGTTTAGAATTTCAAATAATTTTCATTTGGGTGGACAGAAAGACAATTAAGAAATGCAAGTACATATTGATCGTTATTTGGTTGTTTAACAGGAAGTATAAACCTTTACTTTTAAATTGAAATATGGCTTATTTTTAGTAGAGCTACACTGATACAAAGAAAGTTTGAAATGTTAAATAATGGTTGTATTTGCTTGCAAACCACATTGGGGTAGAAAAGGGGGGATAGTTTTTATCCATTCTTCCAATAGCTTTTAGGATATTGGCTAATATTCTGTTTTTTCCAGTGAGTCGGCATTGCTAGCCAGTGTTTGTTTTGTTTAGTTTTTTTCTTTAAATCTTCTCCACCGTAGAAGAGTGGTGGGGAGGTGTGAGTCACTCCTCACGATAATTTAGAAAGCTGAAGGCCACTGGGATACAAAAGGATGTCATATCCCGGCAGCCAACATGCTGGTAAATGGAGGCTACACAGTGAGGCATCCAGGCAGCATCTGGCTAGGAACTGCTTAATTAAAATGTAGTGTATGTCAGTATCTTTGTATGAGTCACTGGGTGTGTCAGTGAGTGTGTAGGAGTTGTCATGTGCATCACTGTGCTTGTATGGGACACCCTGTATGTTAGTGTGTTTGTATGTCACTCTGTAAATAAATGTGTATCATTGAGTGTGCCTGGCTCACTGTGTATGTCATTTTGTGACTTGGTCACTATGTGTGTTAGTGAGTGTGTAGGGGGTCAGTGTGTATTGGTCATGGAATGTTTGTGTCGGTTTGTTTGTATGGGTCACGGACTGTGTGTCAGTGTGTGCTTATGGGTCACTGCTTGACTAGCAGTAAGTGTGTGACTGCCAGTGTGTTTTTTGTATGTGTACCTAAGAGTGTGCATGTATTGGTCTGTGAAACTGCATGTCCGTGAGCAGAAATGTGTGTGTGCATTCACTAAACTGAGTTGTAGAAAGTGAAAATCCTAATTGTATAATTTAGGCCAATACAACTGATTTGGAAAAAGTATACAACTCGGCTGTAGTGGCAGGTAGATTAGTTTAGCATAAATTTTGGAATTCAAATTAAAAAAAATTACTTTAGTAAATAACTCTACCTGTCTTCCAGTCTTTCTGGAAACCTAGTATATGCAATGAAGAGTATGCTCATAGAATTTAAGCAAAAATATAAACAAAAAGTAACTTAGTTATTAGAATCAGATGTACAATAGCATACAGTCATGCTTTAATCCCATTACCAAATTTTTCACAAGAATGCATGGTAATGAGGATGAAAGCAGCTCATTAGTTTATTTTGTCCTATCAGAGCGCTCTCATTTTGGAGAGATATTTTCCACATGTATATTTATGCACTATTTTGGCATAAAGCATGATTGTTTATTCCTGGTCTGTTCCTCAGGCGGGTGCAGATCACTATGTGTGCTCCCTCTCAATCCTTAACAGGAAGCATTTTTTTCCAGTGATCTGCACCCACTGAAGTTACAGAACCTTCCACTGGACTGCTAGGGAGCTACATCTACACCAAATGGGCCAATAGAGAGTAGGGCCAGAACACACTCCCACTGGTCCACCAGAGAGCAGGCCATGAACACAGCCACACTGGGCCTCCATGGAGCATGGCCCCACACATACCTTCTCTACTGATCCATACACGTATATATAAACGGAGCCATGCAACACACTGGGTCATAGCCATACACATATACATTGATCAACCACAACATTAAAACCATTGGCAGGTGAAGTGCGTAACTATTATATTGTTACAATGGCACCTGTCATGGAGTGTGAAATATAAGACAGCATATAAACAGTCAGTTTTTGAATTTCATGTTTAAGACTATGGGTGATCTGCACCCACTGAAGTTACAGAACCTTCCACTGGACTGCTAGGGAACTACATCTTAGAACCAAATGGGCCAATAGAGAGTATGGCCAGAACACACTCCCACTGGTCCACCAGAGAGCAGGCCATGAACACAGCCACACTGGGCCTCCATTAACTTACTCAGTTACATTTTATCTTCACCTGTTACACATTGAGTGAGTGGATAAGTTCCCTCTTGGATATAAGGGGGTCCTGGTGGCCCCTGTTAATTATTAACCTTCAAAAATTAAGTTTGATAGTAGGACAGATACCCTGACTTTGCACATTGCTAATATGGTAGGCTTCAGGACAATGTAACTACCAAAGTATTTTTATTATCACTGGTATACATTGTATTTGTTGCTATGTATCTGCATTGTTTTTGTTTTTAATAAATGTCTTGACTTGTATCGTGTTAGCAGTGTTGCTTGTTGTATTGTTAGAAGACTTTCAAGACCGCATTTGCTCATGAGATCTCTTTACATTTCTAAATATTTGCTATTTTGTTCTTGTCAAGTGCCTTAATTCCAGATTTGTAAGTATATGGCTAACCTAGACTGCAGCAATTTTGCCCACAATATCAGCAAATGTAAACAACCAAGAAAAATATTGAACATTTCAGTTACTTTAAACCTATCACTGCCTTAATATGTGGACTCTGACTGAAGCCAGCCAAACGTGTAATAGCAGGGGAATGCCAGTGCTATCACATCAATGCAAATAAATGCAGTGCGTTGTTGTTTGTTTGTTTGTTTTTTTTATAGTAAGCGTTTGGTTTTCGATTAATCAATCAATATTCTTGTTCTCAAAACTCAACCAAGCCTGTATTGGACAGTTACTTTAAACCTATCACTGCCTTAATATGTGGACTCTGACTGAAGCCAGCCAAACGTGTAATAGCAGGGGAATGCCAGTGCTATCACATCAATGCAAATAAATGCAGTGCGTTGTTGTTTGTTTGTTTGTTTTTTTATAGTAAGCGTTTGGTTTTCGATTAATCATTCAGTATTCTTGTTCTCAGAACTCATTGCCTGTCAGAAAGGACAAACCAACTCGCTGCCTCCTTATGAAATATTCTTCTGTTTTGGGGAGGAATGGCCAGACCAAAAACCCAAGGAGAAGAAACTTATTACTGTGCAGGTAAGTACATGTACATATTACAGCAGTGTGTTCCAGGTTACTGGCATGCCATGGTTCAGCCATTATAGTGTGTAGTTTTCTTTGTACTAACTTATTAAGTCTGCATTCCACCTCCAATCTTAAAGGGACACTATAGGCACCCATACCACTTCAGCTCATTGAAGTGGTCTGGGTGCAATGTAAAACTTTGCAGTACTAGAGAAACTGCAATGATTACCTTGCAGGACTAGGACTGTCTCTAGTGGCACTTCTTGCTTGCTAGGCAACTTTTGGTCCCCTAACTGAAGACATCCAGCATCTGTTAAATCCTCACAGGAAAGCATTGCAGCAATGCTTTCCTATGGGGAGGGCCTAATATGCTTGCGCATCGGGTGACATCAGAGGATGCGGAGCACCAACCCAGCACCGAGGGAAATCACTGGAATTAGATGAGTACAGAAAGGATTTTTTAATCCTTTGTAAGCTGGGGGAGTGTGAGGTGGGGGGGCAGGCCAGAGAGAGATGATTTGTATTCCATACACTATAGTATCCCTTTAAGGTTGCAATGTAATTTATTTGTTTTTTTTTGTCACCAAGCGCAAGCCCAGCATTTTCCAATTTAGAAATATTATTTCGTATTACCCCTAATCTTAAAGCATACATTTACTTTGTAAGTATCCCTTAGAGTTATTGTTATGTAAATGCTGCATAAGAACCTCTATTTAAGAATGACGAAATGTGGATTTATATACATTAAAAATGCTTGACAACTGTCAAAGTGCCCCTGTTTTGGCACATCCTGAAATAATTCAATTAGATTTACAGCACATTTTTTTTGTTTTATTCCCACTGTGGATCTTGTCCTCCTTCTGTACATCTCCGACCACACTTTCTACCTTTATATGGCATTAAATCTATTGGTCCTGTTTTAATTATAGGTAATCCCTGTGGCAGCTCGTCTACTCTCTGAAATCTTCACAGGAGAGTCTTCGTGGTCAGCTGATAGTATTAAACTCCAGATTTCCCATCCAGATCTGAAAGATAAAATGGTGGAACAATTTAAGGAGCTCCACCAGTTGTGGCAGAGCCAGCAAGCCCAAGCCATGGCCACAGATGTCGGAACATCCAATTCAGGGGGAGATGTGGGCCCTTGGCCTATGCATACCGGTAATATGCAATAGCAAGACCCATTTCACAGCATACACTCTGTTTAGGTGATGCCTGCGGTCTTCAAAGTATCTTGGGAAAAGTCTTGATTATATCGAAATAACTTCGGAGAAATCTGTTACCAAACATACTTCTTATTTTATGATGTTTCCCATAAACCTTATTCCTTTTCTCAGAACTGCTAAAAGTTTATACTTTGTACTTTCCACAGTCATTTTGGAATCTATAATTGTATAGTTTTATTGACTTTCTGATTTTTTTATTTTTTTTTTTAATTCTTTCCTCCTTTTTTTTATTTTAAAAGAATGATATAGCTATAACAACTACTCACAACTATTTGTTGATGATCGTTAAAAGGGACATCTGACGTTAATTCCTAGACGTTTGCTTTATTATATATGTAGTATTTTCCTTCATTCAGAATGATGCTAATTAACTTTTCTGCTGTTGACTTTGCAGATTTTTCCTTACAGCAGATACAACATAAATTTCCTGTAGCTACACTGTGACTTTCACGTATTATGACTATTTGTCATGCACATAGACAATACAAATCAGTTAGACAAGGCTCTGGTTGTATTAAAGGTTCCTCTTTGGTTGAAATGCATTTGTTATTTTAAAGAAATTAATGCACGCGCTACTTCTGTTTTATGCTTGCCATTGCATGCTTCAAAAGAGAATATTTTGGTTGTATTTTTTTAAATAAGTGGAAATTCCTGCTTCAGGTTCTTTTGTTTATATTTGCACAAAAAGATAGTTTGTTTCTTTGCACAAATGTACATAAATCACTGGTTTCCCTCATAAATCATTTTATATGTTTAAAAATAAAAATAATAGTAATAAAATTCACCCACAGCATGTGCACAAATAAAATAGCTAAGTGAATACAACCATTTTCAGGTCACGGTCTTATAGAATTAGTGCTGCTAACATTTTGGCAGCCAATCAGAATTTGTATCAGAGGATATATTCAATATATCAGAACTAGAAAACCTTTAAGTTAAGAATAAGCAGCTACCTTAAAATAATCTGTGTTCTTGTTCTATTACTAGGCAAGAGCCATAACATGTTGTAGGCTTTATATTTTATCTATAAAATGCTATTGAAATACACAAGGTTGGGTTAGTTACAGTTGTATGTTGTACAATGTTCATCATTTGATAATACTATTGGTATACATGTATCACCAACAGGTTTGTGATAACACAAGACGGTAAACACTGCACATTATGGGTAGTCCATGCATAGTACAGGTGGTGGATATAGTTCAATTATTAATGTGTGACTCCCCCGCCAAATAAATAAAGGGAAACCAGTAAATCATTAGCATCCAATTTTACTATGTAGCCCAAGCCTTGCCATACTTGGCCTTCTTGTCTAGTCCAGTAATCTCCAAACCAGGTCTCATGTACCTTCAACAGTTCAGGACTTAGCATATCCCAATTCTGATCCACAAAAGGTACTAATAAAGCCTAGATGAGGTGTAGGCAACCTTCGGCATTTCAGATGCTCTGGACTGCAGCTTACATTATGCTTATTCCCTGCACTTTGGTGTTTAGCAAGTAAATGCCAACTAGATCAATCCCAAAAAATGTTTTACATAAAGTCTTTAGATACATTTATACGTAAGCTCAGACTGAACTATAAGTACAACTAACAACATATCTGATAGAAAGTAGATTTGCACCAACTGTAGTCCTGTAACAAATAGGTAGCTACATGTACACATTCAGCTTCCCCTAAAGCATAAACTTAGAAAATAGATAAATAGGATAACCATTATTATCATCTTAAGGACAGGAATGCTTCACCTTTTATTACCCACCATGGGAAACAGAATTGTACATATTAAGTTCCTGCATTAAGTATTGATGATAAGGAAAACTAGTTTTTCTGTCTAGGTACACTTACATGGCTTTCCAAGCCGCACGCAGTTGCAGTTTATTTTTGTAGCTTTATTAGCCTTAGTTGTACATTTGTTTTATTTTTAATATGTGCACAGAAAAAAAAATGTAAAAGGGAATGTTCTTATCAGAGTTATGTATTATAAGAGTTATATATAAATGCAAGCGTATGTAATTACATTTTCAGTTTTTATAGATGTCTGTATTTTGAATTGTTTTGTTATTAAAAAATAAAGTTCCCTATGTGGCCTGCTTTGTCATTTTTAGCTCCCTGTTGTTACTCAATAATTGTCTGTTGAGTATCACTTCTCCATTTTAAAGTAAGGTTTTATGATATACACTCACTGAGTATTGTATCTTTCTCATTTAAATATGAAAATATAACCGGAGGCAATTGGTGAAATACTCAAATAAAAAACTGGAAGAACTGCATATTCGAGAGCACTTAATATTTAAAAATTCAACAATTTGATACTCACTTTTCAAAGGTTCTGCAAATGCTGATATGAAGCTTCAGCAGTGATCTTTTCCAATTAGTATTCTTATCGCTGCAGTCTGTTCCTTTGGCTCAGCCATCAGGGGATTTCACACTTACTCCTCTGCCCTGCAAAATATCTTTACTGTGTGTACACGCCACTCAAATCTCTACCTGCCCTGTTATTCTGTGGAAGCAGATCCCTGGCTACAACTTCTCTTTTCACCATGCACAGCTGAAATCAAATTTCTAACAGATAGCTGGGTGTTGCTGTTATTGGTTTATTCTACAGTTTTCAAATGTGATCACCTGAACTGCTGTTGAATGTTAAACTTCGTATCTCCCATGAACACCTCCGACTATATATACCAATGCTTCAAGTCCATGAACAGATTATATATATATTTTTTTTTAATTCTTTCTTTTTGTTGTGCCGTGTATACAAGCAGTCTAGTCATGCCATGATAAGAATAACATATCTTACAAAAGCATATCTTACAGGTGATAAGGCAGTTGGAGAGAACATGCACACATTTTTTAGTTAGAGTGACAGGCTAGTAAAGATGCTAAAAAAACATATCTAGATCGGGCTTGTAATGCAGTTTTGTAACATAGTAAAAACCTCTCGACAGTAAATAGATGCTGTGAGTACCAGGAAAGCTATTTAGGGCATAATATAACAGTAGGCATTAATATGTGCTTAGTGGGTGCATTGCAGGTAAGTATGGGTATCAAACCACAGCAACTTCACCTTATGGGTGCAAGATTTCCTAGGTTGCCACCTGTAATCTGTTTAAGGCTTAAAGGACCCAATTTGGTGATGCAAGTGGGGCAGTGGCATATGTAACGTCCTGCACATAACAGAATTAACCGTGAGCTACGCTACATAGGTAAAGGCTGTGCTGGGGGGATTTATATCTGCAGCGTTCTCAACAAGCCTGGTCCGTGTGAGTGCTGTTCAGCCGATCCCCCGGCTGGGTTCCTGTCCTTCAGGCATGTGCAGTCCAGGGTGAGCCCATGCGTGGGTGATGTGAGAGGAATCTGGTAGGGAACCTCCTTGGCCCCAGGTAGATCGCGGAGCCAGCACCTCTGTGCCGCAAACTCTGTATTTAATTGAGTCCAGCCTCTTCCCATCCTGGGAAATGCGGAAGATCATGTCAGCTTTGTGTAGTGATTTCCGTCTTCTCCGCCGGCGTGGCTGGTGCCTGGGGGTTGGACCCCGGGTGGCTTCAGGCCCAGGTAGGCGTAATGCAGAGTTAACTGCTATCTTGCGCGTCGAGTTGCCTATGGAGTGCTCCGCAGGCCTCACCCCACGCAGCTTCCATACCCGTCAGTGGGATGCGACTAGCTGTCTCCAGCCTCATCCGTTCCTCAAGGGTAGCCCAGAATCGATTGAATATCTCCTCCAGTTTGTCCACGCTACTGTGGGACCAATCAGCTTCATGAAGTACATTGTCTCGTGGTGCTGGGTTACATGTGTCCATTTTGTAAGCCGCCACACACCACTGTCTTTAGTACCTCTGGGTAGGCGTCTGTGGCTCGGTTGGCCCTGGTATTTAGCTCAGCAGGGACCAGGATAACCCCCGCCGGTCCAGAGGGGGGAAAGCAGGAGCCCAACCACTTCTCCTGATAGGCAGGAGATCGGCCGCGTCTCCCGCCCAAAATCGGGAAGTAGGCCGCAGGAAGCTTACAAATGTCGGGTTTTCTCTCCAAAAGTGGTCCCTGTGTTCTCGGTTCAATGGGTGCTGATATGGGCTCTGATTGAGAGGAATATCACCCTATTTGAGGCATATAAGTTTAGCAAGATTGAGGAGCTCTCTCAACCTCCGTCTGGCTCGTTCAGTGGTTAGGCCCCGCCCCTCCAGAGATTATATTTTATGTCCTTTGAAACTGTAGTTTATGTAATTTCTGTATACTGAGCACTGGTATAGGAAATGTATGGATTAAACCTGCAATGGGCATCTGGCCCTTTTTAGTCAAAGTCTCTGTGTTGGTACCATATATAAATGAGGTGTGGGCAGGGCCCTCTTCAATATTGATTGAACCCTGGGAAAGCATTTTGCAGCATTTTGACCCTATCCCCTACCCCACTTCCTAACCCTAACAACTAAAGTAGAGGGCACTGGTGCAAGAACTTTTTTGGGCCCCGCTATCGCTAGGGTGGCAAAAAGATATATCCCCATCTGTTATGCAATTCCAACAATTCTTTGACTGGGGCTCTATCATTTTCACATGATTGCAGGGTTGTAATTAGCATTGAGCAATGTTTGTGTATTTGAATGTAAGTATGTGTTTGTGTGAATGTAGGGGTGTGTTTGTAAGTGGTGTTGGCGATTGAAAGCAAGCAAGCATGCATTTATGTGTAGTGTTGGTTTTTGTATGCATGGGTTTATTTATATATAATTTTTGTGTTTAACACATGTCTTTGTATGTAGTATTGACATTTTAATACAGGAGTGTGTTTTGTATGTAGAGTTGACATTCTGTGCAGGGATGTGATTGTGTATAGTGTTGGCGATTGAAGGCTGAGATGTTTATAAATACACCTACACTGCCACACACATTGTGATACACATTAACACACACACACTGACACACATGCAGATATACACACACTGACATACATGCAGATATACACACACTGACTTCACACACATACACTGACCAACAGATACACAACCTGATACACACACACACTGACATACATGCAGATACATATACACACTAACACACAGATACAAACACTGACACATGCAGATACACACACTGACTACATATATATACACACATACACACACAATGTACAAAATATATTGTTCGCAAGGTTTGAAAATAAAACACAAACCTATGATAACTATGGGAGTGGAGCGCTATATAATAGGGTAAATGGGGGGTGAACACTTACCCCAAACACTTATAAAATTAGAACAATGATTAAACATGTAAAAAAAGAAAAACCATATAGTGTAAATCCGTTATTAAAATCGGAATGTAAGTGGACCGTAATAACTTAAAGGTGAGAGCCTCTAAGCGGACAGGTTCAAATCACATCAGAGTTTGTGTCGTCTGGTGACACTATACCTCTTTGTTATCAAAGAAAATGTCCTCAGAAAATGAGAAAAGATATAAACAGAGACCACTTCTAGTCTAGTATATTTTCATACATGGGTGTTTATATATTTTGGTGCAAATAATTGCTCACCTTTTCCAGAGCCACTGAGACCTGGCTCTTGGTATATTCACTTGGGTGCCTATAGAGAGGGCACCACCCTTCTTTGGAAGCAAGTAGTAGATGGAGCCAAATGTATTTACTTCATAGTATAAAAACAACAAAATAAATCAAACTGACTCATAAATACTTTAAAATGTCCACTAAAGGCTCCTCCGTCTGAGACACGTTCCACCCAGATCCCATGACTTTCTCAATTGATGTATATCAGATATACACAATGACTACATACAGATATAAACACACATATACTGAGACATACTGAAACACATCTACAGATACACTGACCCACACACATTCTAATTTAGAGAGAAGAAGCTTGTAAAATATAAAATACACCCACAATTGTTTTGTTTTTTTAATGTTTTTACAAATATTTATTGCACAGATTTGTAAACTATGTTAAAAAGTATCCCCTCTGGGACCCATTAGAGACTACAATAAAGTCTAGTGGGCCCCCGAGAGGGTTCTCTCCAACAATCTGGCCCCCATTCACAATATAGTAGTATAACATAGATCTCTCACCTTAATTACTGTTGCTGGCTGGCTGCTGTGGCTGGTTGACAGGCAGGGAGGCTTGTGCTTGCAACTGTGGCTGACTGGAATGCTTCTTTCTTCGGCCAGCAGTTGTATGTTTATCCCCCTTCCCCTCTGTGTCTCTCTTTTTCCACTTCCCCTCTGTGTATGTGCGTGTATCTGTGTATTTATGTTTGTATGTATGTGTATATGTCAGTGCGTGCCCCTGTGTGTCAGTGTTTGTATCTGTACGAGTGTCATTCTGTGTATCTGAATGTTTGTCATTCAGTGTCTCTGTATTTGTATGTGTGTCAGTTTGTGTATCTGTGTATCCACATTTGTGTCAGTGTTTACATCTGTAGGAGTGCCATTTTGTGTGTCATTCTGTGTGACTGTTTGTGTGTGACTATTTGCATATGTCAGTGTGTATCTGTACTTGTATGTATCTGCATGTATGTCAGTGTATGTACGTGTGTCTGTATGTGTATCAGTGTGCATCTGTGTACCTGCATGATTCAGTGTATGCACCTTTGTATCTGTCACCACCACACTCACTGTCACCCTACCACCCTATCACCCCTGCACACACACAGTTACCCCTTTACCCATCCTGTCACAGTCACCCCCAGAAGACAGTCATCATACATACAGTCATGAAACATAGCTTCGCCATAAACAATGCACAGAGACCACAGGCATGCAGTTACCCCACACACATACGGCCCAAGACACAAACATACACATGGTCACAGAGACATTTAAACACAAAGATACTCACTGTCAGGCACACATTTACAGGTACCTACTCAGGTAGACATTGCCATAAATACACACAGCCCAATACACATTGTGACTGCATGTCTTTATTTGTCAATGTGGTTGTCTTTATTTGTAATGGGTACACTGTGATATTTATTAATTGGTAAACATACTGTAGTAATTATTAATGGGCACACTGACTGTGATTATTTAATGGGCACCTGGCTTGGCATATGCTTAATAGGCAAACTGACTGTGGAATGT